ATAGCTGCTTCCTAGCCATAACTTCCTAAAATACATAAAGTCAAAGTTGAGTGTAATGACTATGAAATTGGGGGGAATTACAGTAAATGTTAGATTTGGTTAAATGTAGCCCTGCCATAGCTTACAAGGAATATTGTATACTATGTGCTATGTAGGTAGGTAGTAGGTGCACTATGTGCATCCCAAATGATGTAAACAAAATGAACATGGCATAATAGTGAATTGAGAGACAGGGAAGGCACACCCCATCCCCTAGGGTTATACAATATGGAAGAAATCTAGGCGGAAGTACATAAATAAAAATATAAAAGAAGTTAATGAAACATTACAGATCAACAATTATTTTCTAGCCTCCATTGAGAACCATTTGTAGTTTTTTGTCACCACCGTCAGACAGAAAATCTGACGGTGGTGACGTCTGACGGTGGTGACAAAATCCTACTCTTTCACATGATATGCATGAGTTGTTCACATTAGCCATCTTGTTTCCCCTCTGTTGCTAGCTACTTTAGACCTCTTCTTAAAAAGTAAACATTTATGTCATAATCTAATCTAATATTTTTTATACAAAAGAGACGGTGTTGACATGTTATGGTTGTGACATTAGCAGTGTCCAAAAATATGAACAAGTTTAAGAGAAAATAGCAAACCTACAGGAGCTTGAGTGACCTTAAGGCATCCAGTAGAGCTGAAGATTTGAAAATGGGGTCCTCAGGCATGTAGTTGACCTTGTAGTTGCCTGATTTTATTGCTTTTTATAAATATCTGACGGTGGTGACAAATATGTGGGACACATTTTGAGCAATCACAAAATAATGGTTATTATTGTTCAAAACTCACTGTTTGTAGTTTTAAATACATATTAAAATGTACCCTTTCATTTGGTAAAGATATTATTCAATTCAATTATTACTTTTTGTTTTTTTAATCAAGTTGAAATGATTATCTCCTATCCAAGGACAACTGATTTTATAGGCAATGGGCCAGCATATAATCATTAAATTAACAATAAAATAAAAAAAACTTTAAAAGAACCTTGCATTTGTGCAAAGGACCCCCTGAGTATAACCTTGATTGTTTTTATTCATGAAAATTTTATTTCTTTCCAACAGAATTAGCACTTTTCTTAGTGGGACATGTTTTTGCCAAAGTTTCAAGAATCAGTGATATTTCAAATGAAGCTCTATGTGGAAGTTTTCAGAATGATGTTACTGAGAGGTAGGCCTGTAACTCTGCATGATAAGGTCTCTTACTGACAGTAATGTTTCAGCTTTTAGCCAAAATAATGTTCCATAATGAAGGATTGACCAGTAAGCTGGGCGACGAGAACTGGGCTAAACTACTAGTCACGATATAGAAACCAGTTTAACTGGTCTGGGTTTTCCCCTAGCAATGTATTCAACTCTTTCAGTATCTCACAGAATAGTTTTCTGCCTTTAACACTCTGTGAACATTTTGGAGGAGTTGGGGTTGATTAATTGATTTAATTGGTAAACTGTCTCTAAACCAGAACTGTTTTCTGCAGAATGAAATACAGCCTAAATACAAATAGGTGCAAGGTTCAAACCTGTCCCGGAATTAAACAGACAAACACTAATGTGTTACAGCAATTGATGCATCAGCGTTTTTTCATCTTATTGATGAATAGATATAAACATATGAGAGGTCAACAATAGTGGTGTAATAATACATCCATTCACATTGATTCACTGAAGAATGACCCAATCAATGCAAAGTGAAAATACCAATCTGCATCATCACCTTTAAAAAATACGACTTCATTTCAAAATTCAAAGCACATGAGATTATAGGTTATGATCTGTCTCTCAGAACAACGCAGTTCTTTTTTAATCAAAATGCCTATTTCAATTCAATTTAGTTTATTTAAATTCCATTAGCTTTTATAGAGTACAAAGAGTTAAAGCAAGATGCCATTAAAGACAAAAATATGACAGACAATATAAAAAGAGTGTATATAGTACCAAAAAAGCATAACAGAAAGAAGTTGTAATGTCCTTGAATATGTTTCCCTTCAATATAAAAATAAGGAAAGACTACAAAAATAGAGATGGAAGGAAGCAGAATGATGAAAAGGCTAAATGAAAAGTTAAAAAGCCTAGTTCAGAATTATATTTAGGTTTATAAACTAAAAAAAAATGTCATTGGAAATATCAGCATTAATGCCTCTAAGGTTATGATGGACCAAAATAACGTGTTTTTCATGAATTTCTTCTAGAAGCACTTTTGTTATTTTTCTTAATATATTCAGGCAAGTTGGCGTTCCTTGTTATTACATTGACATTAATTTCTGACATTGTCATGATTTAAATAAAGATATGACCCAAAATGCAGAAGAACAAACAGAGAGATCAGAGAAAAGTTTAACAGGTTTATTGAGAAGTTGGGTGGAGGTTCCAGTGTTTCTCTGAACACTGCTCAACCGGAACTGAAAGGTGAGGGGAAGACACTGCGGTTAGTTCAGGTTCAGTGGAGAAATTGATTCTCGAACTTGAAGAGGAGGAAAGGTAGGCAGACTCAAGTTTCCAGAGAATTGGTTGACTCTTAGTCTCCAGTAGGTGAAGGATGTGTTCCGGTGTTTGTCTCATTCGGTGGAGGGCGGACAGGGTTTTCCCAGAATGTGGTTGCTTGTAGATGAACATAGAAAAACTGACTGCCACTCAGATTTCCTGCGGTACTTGAACGGACTGTGGTGCAGATGAATCCCTTGCTCAGTGTGAAACTCAAACGACTCCTCGGGGGAGAGTGGATCCAAACCTCTGGTTTGTTTTCTCAGCTCAGTTTGAAGCTCAGTAGATACTTCCAGGGAGAGAAGGTCCGAAACTCCAGTTTGCAGGATGACTTCCCAAAACTGGCAAACACTCTGGTGTCGAGGTAGTGGCAGTCAGCAGCTTAAGAGCGCTCCGTTAACGAGGTAACCCCTTGCAGGTGCGTGAGGAGGAGAATCAGAACCAGGCATCGTCTGGTGAAGGAAGGGAGACAAACACACGAAAAACAAAGACCACACAGACTGGAGTCCTAACAGACATCAAAATATCCATGTTTGTTGAATGTTCCAAAGGTAATAAGGTCTCTGCCTGGATTCCAATAACACTATTGGCTGGAAATGTTGATTTAAAGGCACACTATGCAACATTTTTCAGTTAATTAATGTGTTCCATAACGTTTTGGATGATTAAATGAGTCATTTCAGGTTGAACAAAGGTATTCTCGGCCGCCCTGGTGGTCTGTGGGGGAAATACCGCACTTGCAATTGCAGGAGCACCGACCCGCACCCACAGGCTCAGAAGTCTCGCGAGAGTCGGTCTTGCTTTACGGCGAGAACTGCTACACGCCCCCAGTTAAAAGCATGCTCGTTGCTAGCACAGTGGCGATCTTTGTGCAGTTATGCTACGTTCACATCGGACGCAGCAAAATCGCGTCTGCTGCTTCCTTTTAGCTGCTTGTACCAGTTAGTTCTGACGCGCGGCTAAAGCAGCTTTGCTGCTCTGGCTGCGCGGTGCAAAAGTGTGTCTGACGCGCTTTGGGCGGAGCTTCACTATCCTTTCTCTGCCTTGCAGCTATATTTGCTGTGATCAGTGGGAATAAAGTAGTTTTAATATGTGTTTAAGTGAGAAAATACACCTGAAAACGTAATCAGTGCCGTCAGTTCATCCAGATTACCATCCTGCCTTCCAATGTTATTTCTGTCGGAGACGCTCAGACCCCCACATACCAGCGGTGCGCCGACAGTAGGGATCCCTTCATCAGCAGCCTCTGGCCGGGTCGCCTCCTCGCGGTTCACCGCGGCAGCTGGTAGGTGTTTTTCATCTAAATAATCCAAACTGTTGCAGCAGGATAATAAAAGCCAACATATTCTGACGGTAGATTTCTGCATTTTAAGTTAATTTAGGCGTCAATAAACTGTTTAAGAGGAGTGATCACAGCGCTGTGTCTCTCTCCCTGCATCAGATGATTAAACGCGCCCGACGGGCTGCTTCAGCTGCTCAGACGTGCTGCGCCTGCTGCCCAAAACGCGCCGCGGGACCTTTTGCTGCGCCTTGATGCACGTCAACCATTGACTTTGCATGTAAACTCGCTGCTTCTGTCGCGCCAGCTACGTCCAGTGTGAACGCAGCATTAGTCATTCGTTGCGTTCGCCTGTCTGCTAAGCTCAAAACAACCGCGCGTTGCTTGACGGAGAAACCAGGAGAACAGCTGAGCATATTTACGACAGTGCACTTTTACTTTCGCCCTCTGGGGGGAGCCTCGCTGGAAAATCAACATCGGTTGCATAGTATACCTTTAAGTATTTCTCTGAGTGCTAATGTTGGGTTAATGCTGTAAATATTCTCTTTTAAAAGTTCAATAAATATAAGTAACAAAAAGAAAAGCATTGTATCCCCCGCCAATCAAATCGATAGAACACGGTGTCGTTTACGCCCCTGGTCGCCAACATGGACGCCCGTCTGGGTCGTCTCTGCACAGACACACAGCACTGTACCGGAACACCTCCCTTCCCTTCAACACCTGATGCTAATCTGGAGAAACTTCCAGTAAAACCCATTTTACGGCGTTTCACTGACTGTTGGACAAACAGGTCTGAAAAAAGGCTTTTTTTCCTCCCGCCTTTCAAAGAGGCTGCTGAGTAAATCAGGACAGAAAAAGGCAGCTGTGATCCTGAGGGGAGCAGCAGCTGTTGCACAGACTGCGTCTCTCTAGCCTCCCTGCGCAGCTGAACTTTCCTCTCTGCTGCAGACGCTCCTGAGGCGGCTTGCTCCGTGTTTCTCCACTATTCAGCCTTTGCTATCCTGTTTCTGCTGCTTCGCCTTTTCCTCACATGCCAGCTAATGAGCAGCATTCCTCAGACTTGACTTAAATCGTATTCATGTTTAAATTACTTTATAACAATAGTTGAGGATAATCTGATGGGGGGTCAGTTATTTGTTCACTGGTTGTTTTTTTGGATTGTTAATAAATCTGTATTTCTGTTTGGTCTGCAGGTCTGTACGGGTCTCAGCAGAGTGGAAGGAAACATCCCAGCAGCCAATGTGAGTCAGAGTTTAACCGTCTGCAGGGTTTAGAAAGACTGAGCGTCTGTCAGGATTAAACTGGAGGATGCAGCTTCTGTACCAGAATTTCTCTGAATCCTGGTTGGTTGATGTGTCTAAACTTTTTACACCTTTGGGCCAAAAAGCAAAATGAAAGGAAAGCGGAAATTAGTTATAGTATAACTAATTTAAACTGCAGTATAGATACTGCAGTTTAAAAACATTTGATAAAAGTTGAAGTAGCAACTTGACCTCTTTACTCAAGTAAAAGTGAAAAACTATGTGCTTCAAAAACTACTTAAAGTATCAAAGTATAAATTACCCTTTAAAAAAAACCAGCCAGATGCCGCTATATGAATTAAAAGCTCAATTTTTCAACTATTTCTGTAAATTCTTAGAGATAGGGCCAAGGATGAGGGAGGTCTGGTTGGTCTCCGTCTCCCGATACGCTCTCGCCTGTGTCCGACCTTTCAGACATTTCAACATCTTTTTCTGAATCCCACATTGTAGCATGGCATAGACAATTCACGTTAGCAGTTTAAGAACACCTGCTTGCTTCTGATGATTTCCTTTAGCTAACCAATGAGTGTTTGCGTTCTATGACTCATCCAATCACACTAGTTTTCACTAGATATGGGCGGAGCCAATGATCTGCATTGGATGGAGCACATGACGGGAAATAAATATGTAGAAACATTAAACCAGGGGGAACCAATTAAAAATCAGCGGGGGCTGAATAAAGAAAATAAAAAACCAGTAAAGGTCTGCAGACATTTTTAATGATCTGTTAATTTAAACAGAATTTATCACTGAAATAAAATGCAGGTGTTTATCCATCCATGTTATATATTGAATTTTCAAATAAAAAAAAAGAATAAAAAATAGAAAAATTTCTTATTTTAAAATCTAGTGTGTTTTGATGTAGAGAACAAAAATCGTTCAGTTTGGTTTATAGATAATTTCCTGATTCCCATATTTTCTGAAACCCCTGAACTGATCGTTTGTTCTTTTCTTTATTTTTTCTGTCTTAATGTTGGCAGTGGGCTTTAGGCTGCCCTGCAAGGCTTTAAACCTGGGTTTAAATGGAGACTAAGCCATTCTCAAGCACATATCAAGGAGCTCATTCTGAGCCTGGATCAAAATGAGGTCCTTGGCTGATTCCATCCTTCAATCCCACAACAGCAGGAGAGGTTTTAGAAGTCATTGCAGCCTGTTTGTGATCCTGGAAATAATCCTGTGTTTAACTTTTAGGTAACGAGACGACGTTGTCCATTTAATGATTTATTTCCACTTCTAATTCATAATCAATCAGATCTATGACTCCAGGTGTTACGCCCAGAACAGCTATAAGATGCATTAACCCCAAAAATGAGTCCAGATTAAAGATTTTCATAAAAAAAGATTTATTTCTACTGTATTCCATGCAATCCAATCATCCACCATGGCCTGAAAATTAGTTAAAAAAAATGAAGGATACTAAAAAACGAATTATTAGGGCACCCGGGGTACCAGGACTGCACAACTACGCAGGCATGGATGGACGGGGAATCCAGGGCTGCTGGCCAGCCTCATTCATTACTCAGACAGGTTAATCAGCTCGTTATCTCAATCAAGAACTGTTTTCTCCTGATAACCAGATAATAATCTACAGATAACAATGAATGGTTAAACTGTGATAACGAGATAGTTATGTCGTTATCTCGACAAGGCAAAGGGAAAAAAAAGAGTCGAGTCAACCGCTCTCGCTTTCCGTATTGTTTATTCTAATGTTGTTTTTAGTGTGATGTTTTCAAGCCAGCTGACAACAATTGGAGAGCTGTCAATCTGCTGGCAGGTCATTTGCTATCTCTATGAAAGACTTCCTTTTTTTCCTGACTCATCCTCGCTTTATTTTTAATATTTACTCCTAAAATCCCTCCAGCCTTTGGCGTCATCTTCCCTTTTTTTCTGGAAACCTGACATTCCTAGTTTGCAGCCAAACAAACTTTAAAAGTTGCAGCAGAAATATTATTCTCACTACTATTTTCTGAAAAATTACTTCTACCTGTATTTTTAATAGTCCGTGTCAATTCCCCCCCCCCCTCTGCCCTGAGCCTGGGACAATTGACCCTTTTGCCCCCCCACCCGTCGGCAAACCTGTGAGCAAAAGTTCTCCTCAGGCTCGACCTCATTAGTCTGAGTAATAATCTATTAAATGTTCTTGTTAAATTTTTTACTTTCTTATTCTAATCAACTGAAAATTACCTTTTTTTATATAAAAATCAATGTTTTAATAATAATGGAATAATAGAACATATAATAATCATAATAACCCTCGGTACGCTGCCTCTAACGGCCCCATCAACCTGTGACCCTGCAAGATCGGTGAGAGTCAATCTATGCATTTATAGATTCTAACTAGATTTAATTCTTATTACTGACTTCACTCTGTGCATTAATATTATTGCTAAATATTAATCTAACCTATCTCCAAAGGAATTGTAAGAAACCAGTCTGTTGTGGTTTCCCAGATGAATCTGGACACAGTAACACAGTAACCTCTCCGTCACCATGTTTCTGAGCTGCTTTCTCTGGAGAGACGCAGAACGACTCAGCTGTGAATGTAGGCCAGACCTGAAAGCCAGTCGCACGCTCACCTCTGTGTGTGACCTACATAAAGTGTTGCATGCTCCGCTGCTCCGACTTACTAACCGTCTGTGTTTGTGTCTTTCCTCAAAGCTGTCAGAGGAACCATCTGAGCAATCAGCAGAGGGCAGGACTACATGCGAGCAGCTGGAGGGAGAGAAATGTTGGGAAAGGGTGGGCGAGCAGCCCTGGCTCTCCTGTCATTTCTACTGCTGCTGCTGCAGGAAGCGTCGGGTATCGAAGTTCCTCTCGATCGTAAGTCTGGAAAACGTTGTCGATGAAGGGAAACGCGTAGAAGCAGCCCTGAGGTCACAGACGTTCAGACTGCTGGGATGAACAGACCAACATCATCTCAGTTCTTTTTTCATCAACAGCCGCTTCTATCTGCAGTATTCAGTCACTGAGGGTCAGTGGTGGATGAAGTACTCAGCTGTAGTACTTGAGTGATACATGTAGTCCAATCTTACTAAACTACAAATAAAGTTACTCAGTCAAACATCTACTCAAGTTAAAGTGTTTGAGTACTCACTTTTGAAAATACTTCAGTATTAAAAATGCTCTGTTTATTTCTATCACTTTCCAGTTCAACCAGATCATCCAGTCAGATTGATTCAAAGTTTTCTATCTAAGGAAAACCAGCTGATTGCATCGACTCATTGACTCTTCAGCAATCCCTCACACTAAGCATGCTTGTAGCGACAGTGGAGTCAACCAGCTCCACAGGCGGCCCCGTCCAGGAAACACACAGCCAGGCAGACGAGCTCCGAGCTAGCTCCCATGTCAGAGGATGAAGAGAGCACATCCAGTTAGTCACAGTCAGAGAAACAGGACTACACTGGAAAACAGGCCAAGCTCCAACATCTATAAACAAAGGTGTTGATGGCAGCAGCACAGCTGATATTTCTCTCCAGGATGGAGTCACAGCCAAACAGGAACAGACCAGATGAAGCTACTATGAGAAAAAGCAGAGAGAGCAGAACGTTAGAGATTGAACTAACAGATTCTGCAGAGTGGGAGAATAGAGATAGAATGAAGCAGAATGATGAAAAATGCTTCCCTATCTCCTCCAGCAGTCTAAGCCTATAGCAGCAGAACTATAGAGATAGCTCAGGATAACCTGAGCCACTCTAACTAGAAGCTTTATCAAAAAGGAAAGTTTTAAGCCTAGCCTTAAAAATAGAAAACCAAACCAACCGAGCTGACAACCCGGTCTTGGCTCACTTCAAAACGGGTATTTTTGGACTGCAGGAATCATGCCTCTGCTTTGACTTCACACCCGCTGTAATAGTGAATGAAGCATTCAGATTCTACCTGATTACTTGTCTTTTGCTTAGAAAAACTTCTGCTAACATGCTGGTTGCAACATTCAATGCTCTTTTAAAAGACGAAATAAAACCTCAGTTATGCTAAAAATAAGCTGGTCTAGACTCTCCAATCATCCTTCAGCTTTAGTAATAGCAGTGCTGTGATAAATTAGCCGCTTAGAGGAACCCAGGGCAACCAGAAGCGTTCTCAAACCAATGCTCTGCTTCATGCTACATCCAGGGTCCTGCATCAGGACCCTGGATGTAGCATGAAGCGATGTAGTTTCTGCTATGAAGGGACCATCGAGTTAAGGGGGCCTGTGGATCCTTCAAAGCCAGCTTTTGTTTTCTAACTAACTTAATGTGTTGTCATTGATCTAACGTTTGTATGTTGTCTCTGTTTTGGTCCCTGCTTATTCTCTACTGATACGGAACATTTTTACAGGTAAGTTTTCTCGGCTTCCTTCACAGACACTTTTCTCTTTTAGGGTAACGTAGCTTTTTCTAACCATATTCACATGCTAAACAACCTAACTATGTGTTATTACAGTCCTGCTTTCAGCCTCCGGCTCTCCACCTTTCTTGATTTGTGTAGTTTCCTCAGATTTGTTCAGTGATGCTGTATTCTAAGCATAAAGCAGAGCTGATAAAGTTTCTAACTTTTGATAAGAGACGAACTGCTTGTTTTTCCTTTGATTTTGGCCTTCATCGACCCGCTAATGTCACACATTAGGAGCTCATGCCTTCATGTTTGAGAAGTGCTGGTGGAGATTCTCAGTCATCCAGGTCATAGTCATTCCAAAAAGTTAAAAAATATTCTAATGAACTTTGTTTCCAAGTTTGAAGACATCTCTCTTCCCATCCATGAAGATTTTTCAATTCAAAATGTCATAAATAGCGTTGAGTTCCAAGCAAAAGCCTTGTAACGGCTTAGAAAACAAGCAGATTGAAACTGGAAAACCAGCTTGAGGTCCTATTGTTCTGCAATACGTGATACTGGCCCATTCCTCTGAAAAGGCAGTCGTTTAGGATCATTGTTGGCCTGGCTGACCTGGAGAGGTTTTTTTTCTTCCCCTGCATAGCGATGGGGTTTGAGTTTGCACTGGGAAGCAACAACTCTATCACTGGTAGGTTTTTGAGAGCTGAAATCTAAATCCACCACCTCTGTTTAAGTTCTGTCTTTCTCCTTTAACATAAATGGCTTCCTTCACGTCCCTATCAAACCACCTGTCTTCTTTATCTTTGAGGACCTAATGTTCACATTTAAGACAAAGAAGACCGGTGGTTTGAGAGGGATCTGAAGAAAGCCATTTATGTTAAAGGAGAAAGACCGACCTTAAACAGAGGGGGTGGATTCATTTGTGGACTCAACGACTCCGATTATTAAGGGGTGGAGCTGATTTCAGTTTCATTATGCCTAAGCCATTACAAGGTTTAAAAAAACACACAAAAAAAGCTTGGAACTCCATGCTAATCCAGAAGCTACCTGAATGGGAAGTCTTCAAACTTGGAAAATAAAGTCCATTTATTGATTTTAATCTTTAACTTTTTTGAATGTCTGAGAAGTAAAAAACAAAGTAAAGAAGTCAGAAGGCATCAAACTCCAAGCAGCTAGGAGCCACTAAGCTCTAACCTGATTACTAAAAACCTTTTAAAGCTCCAGGTTTATCATGGCTGTATAAGATTGAACAGTTTGTCTCTAATAATACTAACGACCACATCCCAACCTCCATCTTTTTTCCTTCTTCTGCTTTGCAACGGACTAACAGCAAAGATCCAGCGAGACCGTAAGTACCACTTGGGACCTTTTCATTTAGCAGCAGCTAGCATAGCTCATGTTAGGGTTGTTAAGTTTCTCCAACTTTAACCTATAAAGAATGAAACAAAGACAGTGTAAGAGTTTTCCCGACCGTGCTTTGCAAAGCGGAAGATATACAGAGCTTTAGGATTACTCTGTGCATCTTCGTCTTGCTCTACTCTTGCAGGCTTATTTATTGAACAGTCAACACATTACAACAGCAGGCGTTAGTTTTGATTACGCAATCTCTTAGACATGGCATGAACTTTTAAGATAGGGAACATGTCTGGTTTCAGTATACGCTTTTAAAAAAAGGTATCGGGGGTCATGAACTTCAAGTTCTGTGTTTCTCAAATGAAAAACAGGAAAGCATTCTTGCAAAACATTTGACCGTCTTATGAACCTGCATACACTATTTCCACTGATGACAGTAACATAGAAAACAAATAATTAAAAGCAATATAAAATATATAAATGAATAAAATGATAAAAACAACAGAAATCAGAATAACTCCAACAGCTCACCTTCCAGTGTTGACCCAGAGAGGTCTGACGGTCCTTCATCAGCTTTTATTTACCGTCTACTGCAGTAAATTTATGAAACACGCTCTTCACTGAGCAACTCTCTGATATTCGGACCCATAAAAATAACACAGAATAAATGTCTGTATGTTCTATAAACTGCGATTACTCTACTAGATAAAGTATACCTGTGAAGATTCTCAGTCATCCAAGTCATGGCCAAGCTTGAAGAATTCAGCTTAAAGGAATAGTACACCCAAAACATGATTAGCCTTCATTTTCTACTCACCCCCATGCTGAACAACACTCTGGAGTACTTTTTTGATATCTCAAATGCATCTGGAGATCTGGGAGGCTTCTTGCTGTCTGCTGACATTCAAATAATGGAGGTCTATGGCGCCCGAGGCAGAAAGGTCCATAAAAGTCCACAAAAAACGTGTCAATATTCCTCCATACTGCTCGTCCAATGTATTCCAAGTGTCCTGAGTGGGTAGCGTCCAGAATTTACTCGAAACGAAGTCATTTAGAATGTTTTTAGAGCATAAACAGTAGTGTATAGGATTTCCTGAAAGCGCGTTCACGACGCTACGGAAACCGCGGCAGACCAAACCAGATGAAAGTGCGCATTCATCTCAGCAAAGAACTCATGCTCTTCCTCAACACTGAAGTCCTCAGACATTTTTCTTTCATTGTTTCTTTCTTTGCACAGGTAAACAGCACATTTCTTCTTCTACGCTTGCATTATCGGCAGAGCAGACACTGAATGCGCACTTTCATCTGGTTTGGTCTGCCGCGGTTTCCGTAGCGTCGTGAACGCGCTTTTAGGAAATCCTATACACTACTGTTTATGCTCTAAAAACATTCTAAATGACTTTGTTTCGAGTAAATTATGGACGCTACCCACTCAGGACACTTGGAATACATTGGACGAGCAGTATGGAGGAATATTGACACGTTTTTTGTGGACTTTTATGGACCTTTCTGCCTCGGGCGCCATAGACCTCCATTATTTGAATGTCAGCAGACAGCAAGAAGCCTCCCAGATCTCCAGATGCATTTGAGATATCAAAAAAGTACTCCAGAGTGTTGTTCAGCATGGGGGTGAGTAGAAAATGAAGGCTAATCATGTTTTGGGTGTACTATTCCTTTAAGCCGGGCATACAATGTACGATTTTTCCAATGGTTGCTCTCAGCTAAAGCTCACACTGTACGACAAAACCGCAGAGTTTAAAAGTTCACAGCTCAACATGTTTGGTCTCATGCTGTGCGACCCGACGCTCTGATGCGATCTACCTGCTCACACTGTACGTCTGAAAACCTGGTGGGACTCAGCTCCGCAGTGAGATGGCGCTACTCGGACTCGTCAATCCAGAAGCCAAACGAGTAGAAGAGGAACATGAAGCTCACTAGAGTGAAACTGCCTTGGATATTTGGGCAATTTTATGCTGAAAGCCCTAAAAAGAAAAAGAGACGACGTATTTGGACGAAGACATGGCTGAGCAAACATGGCTACTACAGTCTGTAAGTTTTACAGAAAGAACTCCATTTTACTCATTGCCCCCCCTGGACATGCTTCTGTAAGGCGGAGCCTGCGGAGGTGGCAAGAAGATTCCCTGTTTGCCCACTGAGCGATTTGCCCACAACCACCTTTAGATGGCAGACCGAATTTGACCTTATGATTCCTGATGGGGAGGTGGTCGTTAGAGGCTGATGGCCCCTCGTCACCCCCTGTACGCTACACCACGCACCATCAGGCTAAAGGCGGGCCAATTTCTCGATCAGGCCAACTTTCAGGGCGAAAAATTGTACAGTGTATGCCCGGCTTTTTTAGAAGATATTTCAAATGTTACTGTAGGAACACTGCTTCAGGGTATTGTTCCTAAATGTGCTTTGGAAGTAGGTGAAAGGTTCTGTCTAAGACCACCTCCTCTGTTACACGTTTCTTTCCAGGTTAACAAAGATGGCTTCCTTAACCCCTCACTCAAACTATCTTTCTTCCTTGGTAACATTTCTCCTACTTCGAAAGAACTTTCAGGAACAATACACAGAAGATTCAGCTCTCACCGGCGGGGGAGGGAAGTGGGCGGCCAGTCAGGCTGGCGTTTGAATGGGAACGGCCATTTTGAATGGCTGTTACTGTAGTTCAATTAATGAGCTAATGCATGTTAGAAATGAGAATGTACACACATTCACATTCATATCTTCAGGTAACACAGAGTACATGTCAGACTTAATAATATTACTTTAGTGATAGTTTCAAGGTGTTTGCTTTATTGTATATCTCGTACCATGTTTTTTGGTTGTGCTGTTCTTTTTTCTTTTTTCTTTTTTCTTTTTTTCTCCATCTCATTACAGGTGTTGAAGCAGACTGAAAATGTTTTGTCATTGTCTCCTTCCTATCTCCTCTTTCTTTCATCTTTTGTCCTGTTTTTTTCTTTTTCTTTTTCCTTCTTCTTCTTCTGTTTTTCTGCTCTACTTACATTGCAGTGTCCATATGAACTGTAAAACTCCCTGCATAATTATAATAAAGCAATTTATATACATGAAACAAGTGGAGCGGTATGGCAATTGCGATACCGCTACACTTGTGAAAGTAAAATCTGTTGGGCTCCTTTTGGCATCAAGACAATTATTCTTATTGCCACCTTGCCAGACAGGACACTGTAAAAAAAAAAAAAAAAAAAAAAAAAAAAAAAATGAGAATGTATTATTCTCTGCCTGTACTCCTGTAGGCCCAATGTGTCAGACCTGTTGTGTGTTTCTGGACTTCTTGCAGTGAAGCAGCCCCCAACCATAACCAAACAGTCAGCCAAGGACTACATTGTGGACCCCAGAGACAGCACCATTGTCATTGAGTGTGAAGCCAAAGGCAACCCTGTGCCGACGTAAGCAGTGCACACTCACAGATCCACAGCAAACTTCAAAACACACCAAGTCACAGTTTCTGGTCCAGGAAATGCAGTTTCAAATCTCCAACCAGTGATGAAATTCAACAGGCTACATGTCCACCATCAGAATCTTTTTCAATTACGTGAACATTTAAAGTGTCTCATTGTTTCAGTTCTTTACGTTCAAAGGTTCTTTAACCTCTTACACATACGCCTAGTTTTAATTAATCCTCGCTTTTTTTGCATACCCAAGTCCAAATTACACGTAAGCCCCTGTATCACCTTGACGATTTAGACCAGCATATGCCTGATGTGCAAAAATGCTGGCATACGTAGGATAAGTTATGGGTACGTTTGGTATGAGTTATGAGCACGTTGAGGTACCCTGAAACACGCTGGTCTCATGTTTGGTTTAAAGTTTCTAACCCACATGCAGAAAACACACGGACTCAAGGGAAAAAGTTCAAAGGTTTATTGAAAACAACACAGAGAATAAAGAACTGATCCAAGGGGTTATTAGATCCAGGACTGGTCACGACTGGGTTCACTGCAGAGGGGGACAGAGTGGTTAGCTGAAGTCCAGGTAATTTGCAGAGTTAGAGAGTGCAGGTCTGTACCTGATTTGGAGTTGAGCAGAGCAGCAGAGAGGGGAAACCAGGAGGATCCAGAGGCTGTCGGCAGGCTGAGGGCTTGGCGGAGGCAGAGCTTGGTTTGAGGGTTTGCAGGTAACAGGTTTGAGTTTCCCTTTCATATTCTTCAGAGAGCGGGCAGGCAGGTCTTTGACAGGTTTGATTCTCCAGGGTTCTTCAGAGACCAGACTGACAGATTTCCAGCAGAGAAACCCTTCCAGGTTTCAGGTTTCTGGCAGGTTCAACCTGGGAAGCAGAGAGGACAAAACAGATCAGGTTCAGGCTTTCTGGGAGTCAGAGATTCAGACAGGCAGGTTGGCTCAGGCTTGCTAACCATAACTGGCAAACACTCTGGCGTCGAAGTGATGTCCTCTGCCTTCCTTATATACTGGTTTCCTGATGAGCAAACGAGTCGCAGGTGGTAAAGTCAGCTCCATCTCCAGGAGACCTAGAACGCCCTCTGGTGGAGAAAAATGGACAGACCTCCAGATCCCAACAGCTGGCACACATCGCCATACGGCGAGCATGTTGAGAAATGTCAAAATTTCCAGCTGTATGCCAGCGTATGAGCACACAAAACATAAATGATGCACATGCATCATTTCATGGGCATTACGCTGCCGTGCGTGATGCTTAAGTTAGGCTGTCGTTGGACAGAAGTTCTGGACTCGCTATGAATACTCTGTGTAGGATAGGGTTAGGAAATTCTGGTACGTCAGGCATACGCTGGATAAATCGGCAAGGCGTGACAGGGCCATGTGTAATACATCATTTGAAAGCTAACACTTTCTAGTTTCTAAAAATATAAATGAAAATAATGTGACTAAAACACAGCCTAAACTGCTGCAGTTAAAACATGATTCAAAGTTAATTTTTTTCTTCTTGAAAATAATAGGTCTCTTTTGAATAGCAGTGACAAAGACATGTTTTATAGCAGGCACGTGTCATTGTTTTACATTTATTCTGCATCATGTCAACAACTGCTGAAAATTTCAGACCTCTAACAGTTCCAGAGCTATTAGACTTTTAATTTCTGTTGTCCGATAATTTTCAAACCTCTCTAACGTTTGTTAGCCCTGGCTGCTGCAGACGGCTAACGTTAGCCCTGCCTGCGGTTAGCCTCGGAGCTCCGCCGCGGTCATCTCAAAATCTGAATGGTTGACACGCCCTGATGCATTGATGTTGCATGTAAACCAGCTGCTTCTGCTGCCTCTGCTGCTTTAGGTGTGAACGTAGCATAAGAGTCAGAACAGTCATTTTTGTGCTGAACTGTCGCTGTGGTTTCTGGAATTTATTATTTCAGACGCTTCACAGCAGCTCTTTTCACCTGTTATAGTGAAGTGTTTTAGCATTTTTTAATCCAATATGTGACGTTTGAAGCAGATCAGCCACTGATCTAAGTAATACTGTAAATAAAACTATTTACCTCTGTAACCACAAACACATGACAAACATTTACATACAAAATCACTGGATTATCTAAAAACTGGGGCATAACCAGAAGGAAGACTTGTTGATGTTTGTTGGTTTTTTATGCTTTCTTTTAAAGCAAAGTCCTGCTTATTGAATTTTCTGCCATGTGGATGTTGATAGAAAGCTCCACCTGCAGTGACTGATAAGCTCAGCCTTAGTTCCCCTTCTGTCAGTCTTCCTCATCTTCCTAATGGAGCTAAATGAATGCAGTGAACATCCACAGCATCCTGGATACAGGAGCCTTTTATTTTGAAGTAATCCAGAGAAATAAGGAAATCAAGAGCATTTTATTGTTTTTACTCTTTAAAGGGTCTATTTATTCATAAAATCTGATTTCCTAACCCCACTTGCTGAAACTATCCGTGCTGCGCTGCTCACACTCAGTTACGTGATCCTGGGGATGACCACTCAGGACACGGGACAGTCTTTGTGTGGACGCAGGCCAGCTTTACGTAAGATGCACATTCTAACTCTCCCACATCCACCCACACACGGCTCACTGCTATGCTCACAAACTGGCCTTTCTTTTCATAGGAGGAGCATTGTGCTGCCATAATGCGTTCAATTGACCATTCATGCTGATGAGATTTTTACCAAAAGACCTTTTCTGACTCCTTCGATTGTCATCGCTCTGACATTAAAATACCCAGCAAAGCACACACACACACACACACACACACACATGTTGCGTCACAATATCCTTGTGGGGACCTTCCATTGACTTCCATTCATTTCCCACTAATCTATATGGCCTAACCATGACCCTTGCCCTAACCCTAACCATTACCGACACATACCTATCCCTAAACCTAACCTAAACTCAATTCACACCTTAGTCCTAAACCTAACCCCCACCCCAAGAAGAGAAACTTTCCTTATGGGGACCAGTTGTTTGTTCCCACAAGTACCTATGAGTCCCCAAAATGTAGCATATTCCTAGGAAATTGTCCCCACCAGGTATTAAAGACATGGCCACACATACACACAATTCTGGCTTTGGCCCATTTTATATGAGCTGGTTTTTCCGACACCAAACCACATCCATCCTTTAGCTCAGTGCTTCCTAAAGTGTCTGCAGCCTCTGGCAGAGGACAAATATGCATAAAATAAAACCTCTATTATATTTTGGTAATTATGGAAGTTCCATCCATCTTCCCCCGCTTAAGGGCATACACTGTACAATGTTTTGCCCTTTACCCGAGAATTTTTTGATTGGCCCGACTTTCAGCCTCATCACCCGTCCTGCGTTGTGTAGCATACAGGGGATAATGAGGGGCCATCAGCCTCTAACGACCACCTCCCCATCAGGAATCGTAAGGTCGGGAGAAAATCAAACATGTTTGAAATTAAGTCGGCCGTCGTGAGGTATCGGTGGGCAACTCCTGCTGTTGAAGCAGAGCTACGAGCTGATTTACCAGAACCTCGAGCACTGCGCATGCGCAAACAAGGGAGTTCTTCTTCTAATTCCACCAGAATGACGAATCCGACCAGTGCCATGTCTCGGCGCACAGTCCAAAGTGTGTTTTTTGGACGTACAGTGTGAGCAGGTAGATCGCATCAGAGCGTCAGGTGGCACAGTTTGAGAACATGTATCGTGAGCTGTGAACTTTTAAACCCTGCGGTTTCGTCATACAGTGTGAGCTGTAGAGTTTATGCATGGATTTAGTGTTTGTCAGAGTCGCAGTAGGTCCCGTACATGTCTCCAGCAGTGTATGGGCGAGAGGGGGGGGGTGCACCATGGACAGGTCACCAGTCTGTTGCAGGGGCAACCTAAGGACAATTAACCTAATAATCACGTTTTTTGACCATGGGAGGAAGCCAGAGTACCCAAAGAGAACCAGTGCATGCTCAGGGAGAACAAGCAAACTTCAGGTAGAAAGATCCTGGGCCGGGAATCAAACCCAGAACCTTCTTGCTGCAAGGCAACAGTGCTGCCCACTGCGCCACTGCGCAGCCCATAAATTAAATCAGCTGCTATTCTCAGCAGGATCCAGCCTGCCATATATACCCATAGTAATGGTGGACAGTAGCCTTGTTGTAGTACTACGTATGTTCTACTGACTGGACAGTAAACAGGTTAACCAGCCATTCTTTCCCGTAATACCTAAGAAAAATATGAATTTTTTCAGATGATCCTTTACAGCCTCCATATTCTGTCTGACTTTGCTCCAGAGGCAATTCGAACACAATCCATTTTTTGTTTTTCCTTAGGACTAAAGTAGACATAGAACACTCAGACATGCCTGTAAAGTGTATCTTTAGAATAGTAACTGTAATCTCTGGAGAAGATATTGGTCCACCTTCTATTTTCTTATGCTCGGTGTCAGGACTGTAACCTTCACTGAACTCTCCCTCAGGTTCACATGGAGGAGAAACGGGAAGTTCTTCAACATTGGCAAAGATCACAGAGTGACAATGAAAAAACGCTCAGGGACTCTGGAGATCGGATTTAAAACAGGAGGAAAACCAGAGGACTACGAAGGAGAGTACCAGTGTTTTGCCACCAATAACTATGGAGTGGCTCTGTCCAACAAAATACTGCTCCGGGTCTCCAGTAAGAACCTTTCTATCACTGAGTTACTCCTAAACATGTAGACCTATTTGTGCAAAGTGCAAAAGAAGAGAAAGAAGAGACTTTCTTTAGTTCTTTAGAAGATCAAACTTCTTCATAGCTAAGAGTCTCACCCTCTTGTTGTTGCCATTTTTTCCAGAGGCTCCCTTGTGGCCTAAGGAATTGCTGGACCCAGTGACAGTGACAGAAGGCTCCCCTCTGGTCCTACCCTGCAACCCGCCCCCTGGCCTGCCTCCTCCATACATATTCTGGGCGGACAGTAGTAAGCAAAGCATTTCCTTATTCATTTTTATGATTTATGCTGCTGAAGATTCTCAGTCATCCAGGTCATAGTCACAAGGCGGACTAAGATTTCAACTTTCAAAAACCTACAATGCTTCGTCAAACTTGGAAACAAAGTCCAGTGGACTTTTTTAAACTTTTCAGGAATTCTCATGATTTACTTTTTTTTAAAATGTTGATTTTTTTCCTTAACATAGTACAAATACATGCAAGTCTTTGCATCTGCTACTTATTTGCTGCACCTGTAACACAGCGAAAAGTGGGTGGAGCTTAGTATGTTTGATATGTTGACATGTTTTATACCAGAATTCTGTCATAAATGTCATGAAGTTCTTGACGTTTCATTGGTTGGAGGATCTGATTAGAGTTACCCTGCACTGTTGGCACTGGATGCATTATTCCTGTCTTTAATCCTATTGGAGGATAAAAGGAGTTCTTTAGTTGCTTTCACACGTTTGACACATTAAAGGGAGAATTTAGAGGAAGGTTTATGCTTTTCCTTTGTTAATCAACTAATACTGATCCTCCAGAGTGAAAAGAGAAACCAAATCATGCTGTCTATAACTTTGAAACCACTTATCTATTAGTTGCCATAAATGAAATAGTAATGTATATAAATGTAGCTCTTTGCCTGAGTCGCAGTGGCAGCCGAGACCCCCCCATCCTAAACAGCTCCTGCAGCTGTTTAGGATAAGCTAGCGGTGTACCAGGAGCCACCAGCATGTCCCTGGTGTCCCGCGGACCTCCTCCCAGTGGGACGTCCATAAGGGACTTATGAGCCAGCTTTAGTGGACTCCTGTCGCTGTGAAGGACTCTACTCTGAACTTCGCCCTCACACTAGCTCTGTCCGGCCATCCCTTTGCATCTGAGGTCTCCATTTTCAGTCATGACCAGGGAGAGTGTAGAAACGTAGACTGACATTACACCATGTAGAATGACAAGGCTGCATGACTCTCAAGCTTGTATTACATTTGTGACATAAGAATATGGTAAAGCAATGTAACTTTATGTGAGGCAGATATTGCTTGACCTTTCCACTAACATATCGATGCCTTCTACTTTAGCATGACACTGGGGGGCCCTAAGGATGGAGCCATAAGGTGAACCCTAAAACACCATGCAAGACCTGCACTGTTACCAACGCTTCAGAAAGAAAAGTCACTATTAGCTGTCCTACAAGTAGCTAAATGATGTTATCACCTACTTTGCATATTTGCTCATGTTTTGATCCAACCATAGAATCCAATTAACGTCAGTTTATTTATATAATCTCAAGGCACTTTCCAGTTCACCAGACCATCCAGTCAAATTGATTCAAAGTTTTCTATCTAAGGAAAACCAGTTGATTGCAATGAGGCAATCCCTCATACTAAGCATGCTTGTAGCGACAGTGGAGAGGAAAAACTCTCTTTGAACAGGAAGAAACCTCCAGCAGAACCAGGCTCAGTGTGAGCGGCCATCTGCTGAGGCCCACTGGGGTTCAAGGAGACAGAAGCAGACATAGAAAAAGAAGCATAGATACAAAAGGCAACTGTCAACCAGCTCCACAGGCGGCCCCGTCCAGGAAACACACAGCCAGGCAGACGAGCTCCGAGCCAGCTCCCATGTCAGAGGATGAAGAGAGCACATCCAGTTAGTCACAGTCAGAGAAACAGGACTGCACTGGAAAACAGGCCAAGCTCCAACATCTAGAAACAAAGGTGTTGATGGCAGCAGCACAGCTGATATTTCTCTCCAGGATGGAGTCACAGCCAAACAGGAACAGACCAGATGAAGCTACTATGAGAAAAAGCAGAGAGAGCAGAACGTTAGAGATTGAACTAACAGATTCTGCAGAGTGGGAGAATAGAGATAGAATGAAGCAGAATGATGAAAAAAGGGGAGAGAAATGCAAATTTTCTTTCAGATATTTTCCTTTTTTTAATTGCTTTAAATAATTAGATATGATTAATATGATGAACTGCTCTATGAAGGATTAAAAAAAAGAAGAGCAAGAGAATAAAATTATAGTTGAAACTTAGCCCACTGGTGCTCTAATGTTTTCAGAAGACATTGAGGACCCCGGTGTATCTTGAGGGCCCCTTGGTGCCTGTGGGCACCACGTTAGTGACCCCTGAACTAATCTAACACCTGGGTAGACAAAAAAATAAAAAATATGAAAAAAACCATCTCCCTGTTCATGTTTACTATAATGCTAGAATTTTTTTTACACTTTTACAAACACCTTTTTTCAAAGAATATTTTATTTTTAAAAAAGTGAAAGCAGCATTGAGTTTTGGTTTGTTCTTCCCCAGTGCTAACTGGTTCTTCTCTTGGGTCCAACAGATATGGCAACCATTCCTCAGGATAGCAGAGTCTCCATGGGTCTCAATGGAGACCTCTATTTCTCAAATGTTTTAGTTGAAGATGGACAAACAGACTACTGCTGCAACGCTCGCTTCCCCTTCACACAAACCATCCAGCAGAAGAACCCCTTCAACCTCCGGGTTCAAACCAGTAAGTATAAAAACAAAAGCACCACCTGCTCTGCTTTAGGATCTAATTTTGGATCAATACAGGTTCTGTCTGTGATGCTCCGTCAATCAGCTGATTATCTCTGACCAAACAGCAGAGGCAGCGTTATTTTTCTCATGTTAATTGGAAGCCAGCTGGCTAATCTGTCAGCCGTTTTTCTACAGTTGGATCTGAAGTTAGGAGGAGCATCTCTGAAGAGCTGAGACAGAGGCAGTTCCTGTTGGAAGACTTTTCCGGATCTAGTTGGCAGATCCCTTCCCCTCTCAGAGAGTGCAGTGCTGCCATTGGCCTGTAGGGGGACTAAACCACAAAGTTTTGTGTCTAGAGTCCTAATGGCTTAAAGTTACACAGTGTTGCTTTAAAATCGCAGGGAAGTCATATTTAAATGTGAAATCATTCTGGCCTAAGCATGTATCTAAATGTAGTCTTTGTCAGACCATATTGACCAAAAAGTTAGAAAATTTCTATAAAAAAAAAATCTGTCTTAAAATCTGTTTTTTTTTTTTTTACATTATCTTATGCAGGCCAGTTAGTTATACGTCAGCCTGAACATATAAATTACGCCAATCATATATCAACACATTGAATTCCATCCCAGTGTTCACGGGGATGGACGTCTGTGTCTTCGGCAGGCGTAGAGCTAACATAACTGGCAGCGTTGCGAGGCAAGGGCTCAAACCTGTACGGCTGGAAGCCTTCTACACCAAACCAAGCTTCTGCCGCCCTGGCGTCCTCTTCCACAACATCTTCGTCCCCGCTTTCCTCCTCTAAATAAAAAATGGATGACGGAGGAGACTCATCCACGACCTCCGACACTAAACTCTCCTCCTCTTGCATGTTTCCGCTGTCCATAGCGTTCCTTGACAGCGTCGTTTCTAAGTCACCAATTTAGTGCTACTTGGTCCCAATGGAATTTCCCATTGGGAACCTGCTAGCACTAAGTTGCTAACTGGTTAGCAAGATGCTTCCGACAAACCGGCCACAACCAAACTTGGTTGCGAACCTTCCGCCACAACAATCCCGCCCCCTTGACAATCACATTCACTATATTCATTGGTGTAAAGTCGTAGCCTGGGTGCCATTCCGAACTTAGTCCCGCCCACAAGGTTTGAGGTCGGGAAGTTCGGTCTGGCATTGCTCCATAGTAGCGCGAGTATGATCGGCCACTCTCTGGCGATCCAGTCAAATTGTCAGGGCGGGCTTTATACGATGATGGACAGATGATCAACAGTAACGTAATCAACCACGTGACCAAAGCGCGCTTGGGTGACAACAACAATGGCTGCCGCTGGAGAGTTGAGGTGAGTAGATTCTGCTATTAGGTCTGTTCTAGAAGATATCAACAGCAAATTAATTTTAAAAGAGGAGCAGAGAAACGCGATCAAGGCTCATCTTCTTATTCTAGGCGTGCAACTGCACGCTTTGATTTTTGTTGACAACAACTGTGTGTCGCTTAACATACGTCACGCACTCCGTTGCTCTTATTGGTTGTAGGTCTATCCAATTGAGTGCAGAGGCATTTTTTTTCCTGGTTCGTTCGAAACACGCCCCATAATCACAGCTCTGTGGAGCAGCATCAGACTCATTCTGACTAGAATTGAGTCGGACTACGTCAGGCAAGTAAAGTCGGGCACCACTCGGGAAAATTTGGAAATGCAACGATTGGAACAGCCGCTTCCCTACGGCTTTAAAGCAGTACTAAAGAACTTTCACTTTTGGTCGATTTGGGCTCCCCCCTGGACAAAAGCTGTACTGTTTACCTAAAGGAAGACAGCATTTCTCATGAGGACCAGTGCATAGCATGGTAGAATCCAGGCCTGCCGGTCGCCTGCAGTTAGATTGAACAACATTTCTATTTCCTGTGGCTGTGAGAGATGAGGTAATAAATCTAACTGTGGTGAGACTATGTCAGATGACCATGTGAAAATAAGTAACCTTTAATTCTTATATAGTATTCCTGCACAGCCCTGTCCCCTACCTCACATGAGTTTAGAGCATTCAAACAGTTTAATATGACACATATTCACAGTAAACAAAGCTATAGACCCCAGCAGGAAGGAGTGGCATTGCCTGAATATCTGTCATGATGTTTCAAAGTTCTGACCCAAAAAATGCAGAAAACTGAACAGAGAGACCAGGTAAAAGGTTTAGCAGGTTTTATTGAAGAAGTAAACAGGGGGAGAAGCGTTGCTCTGAACACTGCTCAACCAGAACTGCAAAGTGAGGGGAAGACCCAGCGGTTAGTTCAGGCTCAGTGGGGAATTTGACTCGTGAAACTTGTAGAAGAGATTTTGGTTGCCGACTCACGTTTCCAGAGAAGTTGTTGTGTTCTGGACTCCTGTCTGTGTGCTGTGGTTCCAGTGTTGGTCTGATTCGATGAAGGGCGGAACAGGTTTGACCCAGAATGCTGTTGATAGTTGGAGAACGGAGAAACTGACTGCCACTCAGATTTCCTGCGGTACTTGAACGGGTCGTTGTGGAGAATAATCCCTTTCTCAGTGAAAGCTCAAACGATCTCTTGGGGAAAGTGGATCGAAACCTCCTGTTTGAACCCCAGCTCAGTTTGAAGCTCAGTTTATCCTTCCAGGGAGAGAAGGTCCGAGAAATCCATTTAGCAGGACAACTTCCTGCCAAGAGGCAAAGACAAACAAAGTTAAACTCAGCTTGACTCAATAAAAACTCAGCTTGGCTAGAGTACCCTAAACTGGCAAACACTCTGGCGTCGAAGTAGTGGCAGTCAGCAGCTTAAGAGCACTCCGTTTTCAACCATCTGCAGGTGTGTGAGGAGGCGGCCAGAACCAGGCGCCTCCTGGTGGAAGAAGGGAGACAAACACAGAAAACACAGACACAAAACAGGAGTCCTGACAATATCAATCCTGGACAGTTTCCTCATATACACAGTCTCTCAGGGAAATTTAGTTGCATCGACTTCCGTCTTTACAACGAATGGTTAAGTGATATATGCCGTAAAGCAGTCTGCACATTTGGAGTTGTTTTGTGTGGCAGGGTTACTGCCACACTCATCTAAGTTGTTTAGTGTTGGTGAAAGTGACAAAGACCCCCTCAGGTCATGACAGAGGCGTCATTCAACTAGTTGGTATTCGATGTATTATAAAAAAGTTATGAAAATATCTTATGAAGGTTTGATGTGTGTTGGTTTAAATACAATTTGTTTTCACTCCTTCGATTTTCCAATAGGACAATATTACAGGATTGTATGATTATAAAACTTTAAAAGGTATAATTTTTTTAATGGTTTTTGTGTCATTTGTATTCAGTGTATTCACCCCTTGGCTGAATTTTGATTCACTCCCCAACCCCCGTTAGAGCAAAGCCTCCTCTAAAGAGGAGTCAATGTTTGTGGTTTTTAAACAGGCTGGCTAACAGTCCGCCATTCATTTTAAAGCAGCCACTTTTGATTGAAATGTTTATTATCATCTTCTCTCTCCATGGCAGGTTGCTGTAGTTTAATCAGATTATGTTGCGTAACTTTGGTGTAAGTTTGTCTAGAAATGACGTAATACAACGGGTAATTTAAAAAAGGTCACCTAAAGTCTTCCAGGTTTCATAAGTGCTCAGTAAAACTTTCTGATTTAGCCAAAGTTTGAACTGATAAGCAGTTTTTTTTTGCCTGCTGTTTCTAGCGGAGCCATACAATGACACGTCTCACAATGCATCCAACCCCTACGGTGGTGAGTCTGTTTCTGTGATGGAGACCTGCTTCCTGTTAACCCTGTAGTTTGACAGTAACATGGTCTGCACACTAATCAGTGAAGCTGAATCTAACCTGAACTAACTGCTTTATCTAAAAGCTCTTTGAATAACATTTTCATAGCTCTGCCTCTGTCTTTCTTTTGGTTTTAAATAGTTTATCTAATGTGTGACTTATTGCTGAGTATTTTTTTTCAGACACTCCGTAGTAAAGGAGTTATATTTCATGATGTTTCGTAAACGCACAGTTTGGTGAATAGTCTGTATGGTGGTGCAGTGGGTAGTGCAGCAAGAAGGTTCTGGGTTAAATTTCCAGTCCAGAGTCTTTCTGCATGCAGTTAGCTGTTCTCCTTGAGTCCTCTCCAGGTACTCCGGCTTCCTCCCACTTTCCAAAAACATGACTGTTAGGTTAACTGGCTTCTCTAAATTGTCCTCAGATGTGAGTGTGTGAGTGCATGGTTGAACGTATCCGTGTTGAGACTGGCAGCCTGTCCAAGGTGTACCCTGCCTTTTGCCCATACACTCCAGGAGATAGGCAAAGACCCCAACGGCCCCTGTCGGAATAAGCAGGAGAAGATGGATGGACTCGACAATGAATTTCATACTGGATCAGAATGTTCCAGTAAATACAACAAGCTGTCCAATAAGGAGGCCCTAGAAAACCCCAACCAATGAGTCAAAGCTCTTATTTCCTTCCATATGAAGAGCATTAAGTTACAGAATCCAGGAAAATAGCCTTCAGCTCAACTACCCAAACTGGTGGTGAACAATAGTGTAACAGGGACGAAAAATCTAGAATGTCTCCAAGCAGGACCGTAGTGATAGTCTAAGGTATACTTGGAGTCTTAGTCTTAGTCTTGGTCTCAGCCTCCAAAGGCTGGTCATGGTGTTGGTCTGGGTCTCTAAAGATCTTAGTCTTGTTCTCAGCTTCTAAAGAGCTTGGTCTTGGTCTCAGCCTTAAAGGTCTTAGTGTTAGTCTTGGTCACAACCTCTAAAGGTCTTGGTGTTGGTCTCAGCCTAAGGTCTTAGTCTAAGTCCTGCTCTCAGCCTCCAAAGGTCTTGGTCTCGGCCTCTAAAGGTCTTAGTCTTGGCCTCAGCCTCCAAACATCTTGGTCTCTGTCTATAATGGTCTTGGTCTCCTCCCTTTAAAGGTCTTGTTCATGGTCCCGACCTCTAAATGTCTAGGTCTTGGTCTCGGCCTCAGCCTCTTAAGGTCTTGTTCTAGGTCTTGGTTTTGGCCTCCAAAGATCTTGGTCTTGTTCTCAGCCTCCAAAGGTCTTGGTCTCGGCCCTTTAAAGGTCTTGTTCATGGTCCCGACCTCTAAATGTCTAGGTCTTGGTCTCGGCCTCAGCCTCTTAAGGTCTTGTACTAGGTCTTGGTTTTGGCCTCCAAAGATCTTGGTCTTGTTCTCAGCCTCCAAAGGTCTTGGTCTCGGCCCTTTAAAGGTCTTGTTCATGGTCTCGACCTCTAAAAGTCTAGGTCTTGTCTCGGCCTTAAAGGTCTTGGTTTATGCCTTAGAATCACGTTGATCTCTCACAACCTTTGTCCTAAGCTTGCTCCTCCTGTTAACGATCATGCTGTCACAATAGACCCACACACCCACACCCCCACACATAAAGACTGATTGACTGAACTTTGCACATTCTCCCTGTGCTTTATTTGACCAACCAGTAGATTTCCTCCTGCAGTAGTTGCAATGGATAATTATCTCTTCTTCTCCTCTTTCTTTTCTCACCTGAAATGCTTGATTGAATAAACACCAAAGTCCTTCTGTGGCTTTATGTGGCACATCGTCCCTTCAGTGACGATTCCTATCATGTTTGTTAAATATTTCTGTAAATGAGAACATTGGCTGATTTTGCCGTCTTTGCTGACCAGCGGTAAAAAGTAATGTTTTTTATCTGTTTTTTTCAAATTCCTAACTGTGAAACGAGACCACGGGCGTTAGCTTCTTGCTCACAGATAAGAGACGAAAGCCAGCAGCAAGGAAATGATCAGAATAATAACGTAAGCCGATGTGACAGGGAGGATGTTTAGCTACTTGGAGGAAGTGACTCATGCAGCCGGATAAATTAATGCTTTTGTGCTCAGATTAACCTCCCATCATTTCTCATTTACAGGCCGCAAAGTAGCACAGTCCCCGCCAACCTTCCTGTCCCCCTCAGGGCAAGAGAGCTCCAAAATGGTGCTACGAGATGAGCAACTGCTGCTGGAGTGCATCGCTGCTGGGCTGTGAGCACCAACACCCACACATAAACACAAACATGCTCAAACCGCATCCCTTTGGTCTCATCCAGATAAAGTCCCACCATGATTGCAAACATGTTAGTACAGTAATAGCCATTCAAAACGGCCCTTCGAACCTGAATGGAAGCCGAATGGCAGCTAACTTCCCTGCAACTCCCAGCAATATGCCCTCCAACTTCCAACCATGTTTTTTACTCCCTTTCACTGAATTACAGGGTCTGACCAGGAGATGGCGCATCTCTTTAGATCTTAATGTCCACAAATCATGACAGAAAGAATAATTTTAGTATAAAGATTGATGTTTAAAAAGGAATTGTAGGGGACCAGCAAAGGGCCAGCAAAGAACCAGCAAAGGGCCAGCAAAGGACCAGCAAAGGGCCAGCAAAGGACCAGCAAAGGGCCAGCAAAGGGCCAGAAAAGGGCCAGCCAATGACCAGCAAAGGACCAGCAAAGGGCCAGCAAAGGACCAGCAAAGGGCCAGCCAATGACCAGCAAAGGACCAGCAAAGGGCCAGCAAAGGACCGGCAAAGGGCCAGCAAAGGACCAGCAAAGGACCAGCAAAGGGCCAGCAAAGGACCAGCAAAGGGCCAGCAAAGGACCAGCAAAGGGCCAGCAAAGGACCAGCAAAGGACCAGCAAAGGGCCAGCAAAGGACCAGCAAAGGGCCAGCAAAGGACCAGCAAAGGGCCAGCAAAGGGCCAGCAAAGGGCCAGCAAAGGACCAGCAAAGGGCCAGCAAAGGACCAGCAAAGGACCAGCAAAGGGCCAGCAAAGGGCCAGCAAAGGGCCAGCAAAGAACCAGCAAAGGGCCAGCAAAGGACCAGCAAAGGGCCAGCAAAGGACCAGCAAAGGACCAGCAAAGGACCAGCAAAGGGCCAGCAAAGGACCAGCAAAGGGCCAGCAAAGGACCAGCAAAGGGCCAGCAAAGGACCAGCAAAGGGCCAGCAAAGGGCCAGCAAAGGACCAGCAAAGGACCAGCAAAGGGCCAGCAAAGGACCAGCAAAGGGCCAGCAAAGGACCAGCAAAGGGCCAGCAAAGGACCAGCAAAGGACCAGCAAAGGGCCAGCAAAGGGCCAGCATAGGACCAGCAAAGGGCCAGCAAAGGACCAGCAAAGGACCAGCAAAGGGCCAGCAAAGAACCAGCAAAGGGCCAGCAAAGGACCAGCAAAGGGCCAGCAAAGGACCAGCAAAGGGCCAGCAAAGGACCAGCAAAGGGCCAGCAAAGGACCAGCAAAGGACCAGCAAAGGGCCAGCAAAGGACCGGCAAAGGGCCAGCAAAGGACCAGCAAAGGGCCAGCAAAGGACCAGCAAAGGACCAGCAAAGGACCAGCAAAGGACCAGCAAAGGGCCAGCTAAGGACCAGCAAAGGGCCAGCAAAGGACCAGCAAAGGACCAGCAAAGGGCCAGCAAAGAACCAGCAAAGGGCCAGCAAAGGACCAGCAAAGGGCCAGCAAAGGACCAGCAAAGGGCCAGCAAAGGGCCAGCAAAGGACCAGCAAAGGGCCAGCAAAGGACCAGCAAAGGGCCAGCAAAGGACCAGTAAAGGACCAGCAAAGGGCCAGCAAAGAACCAGCAAAGGGCCAGCAAAGGACCAGCAAAGGGCCAGCAAAGGACCAGCAAAGGGCCAGCAAAGGGCCAGCAAAGGACCAGCAAAGGACCAGCAAAGGGCCAGGAAAGGGCCCATGAAGTGGGGAAATTTTGAATGGCTGCTACTGTAACCAAATCATTGGGAGTTTAGTAGAAAATCAGGTTTAAAGATGTGATTTTTTACTTGTTAAATGTGATGTTTTGGAGAAGACATTCTTTCTCCTCCCAAGTCTTACACGCCTCCTCCCACCGGTTTGCCCCGCAGTCCTACTCCCACCATCAAGTGGTTCAAGAGGGGCGGAGAGCTTCCAGTAGAAAAGGTGAAGTTTGATAAATACAACAAAACCCTGGAAATCAGCAATGTGTCCGAGGAGGATGCTGGCGAGTATGTGTGCATGGCCAACAACGATCTGGGCAGCATACGCCACGCCATCGACGTGCAGGTTAAAGGTGAGGATGATGAAAGTGAAGCTTTTGTTGTAACAGATGAAGAAGCCGATGTTAGTAAAGTTAACTGCCTGCTTCTTTTCCACAGCGGCTCCTTACTGGTTAGACAAACCTACCAACTTGGTGCTAGCCCCAGAGGAGAACGGCCGTCTGGTATGTCGAGCCAACGGCAACCCCAAGCCCAACATTCAGTGGCTGGTGGATGGAGAGCCCATCGAGAGTGAGATATCTTCCTGGGTTTATTCATTTCACCTTTATTTTATCATCCTTCATTTCTTTTTTACAAGTTTTTATTCCGATGAAGCTCATTAAGGAACACGGCTACTTACTGTACATCCATCGCGTAAAAGACCAACATTTAAACATGTTTCAACTTTAAGTGTCTAGACGATTTCATAATATTCAACTCAACTTTATTTATAAAGCCCTTTAAAACAACCACAGCTGACATAAAGTGCTGTACTTGTCAAAGTACAGCACTTTATACAAATCACAAAGCCGTACAATCAGATTATTTGGGCTGTTTTAATCTGGACAACTTTCAATCTAATTGATTCTTATTTTGTGTATGTAAACATAGCTAATGATGACTTATTATACAATCTGTTTCACAAATATTCTCCATCATCGTGTCAATGATGTCACCTTCAACTTTAAAGGAATAGTACACCCAAAACATGATTAGCCTTCATTTTCTACTCACCCCCATGCTGAACAACACTCTGGAGTACTTTTTTGATATCTCAAATGCATCTGGAGATCTGGGAGGCTTCTTGCTGTCTGCTGACATTCAAATAATGGAGGTCTATGGCGCCCGAGGCAGAAAGGTCCATAAAAGTCCACAAAAAACGTGTCAATATTCCTCCATACTGCTCGTCCAATGTATTCCAAGTGTCCTGAGTGGGTAGCGTCCAGAATTTACTCGAAACGAAGTCATTTAGAATGTTTTTAGAGCATAAACAGTAGTGTATAGGATTTCCTGAAAGCGCGTTCACGAGTCTACGGAAACCGTGGCAGACCAAACCAGATGAAAGTGCGCATTCAGCGTCTGCTCTGCCGATAATGCAAGCGTAGAAGAAGAAATGTGCTGTTTACCTGTGCAAAGAAAGAAACAACGAAAGAAAAATGTCTGAGGACTTCAGTGTTGAGGAAGAGCATGAGTTCTTTGCCGAGCTGAATGCGCACTTTCATCTGGTTTGGTCTGCCGCGGTTTCCGTAGACTCGTGAACGCGCTTTCAGGAAATCCTATAAACTACTGTTTATGCTCTAAAAACATTCTAAATGACTTCGTTTCGAGTAAATTATGGACGCTACCCACTCAGGACACTTGGAATACATTGGACGAGCAGCATGGAGGAATATTGACACGTTTTTTGTGGACTTTTATGGACCTTTCTGCCTCGGGCGCCATAGACCTCCATTATTTGAATGTCAGCAGACAGCAAGAAGCCTCCCAGATCTCCAGATGCATTTGAGATATCAAAAAAGTACTCCAGAGTGTTGTTCAGCATGGGGGTGAGTAGAAAATGAAGGCTAATCATGTTTTGGGTGTACTATTCCTTTAAAGCCTCAGTACTGGGTTTGTTTGTTTTGTTTGTTGTAATCCTTGTATTTATCTAATGAAGTTATGATATGGATCTACATTACCATTGATCTGGAAAAGAAACTCTATAGATATTGATCTAGAACGTTGTGAAGGTTTGCTTCACTGGACGACGATTGGATGAAGATGAATATGAGGGCTGGATGATGACGCCAAAACTTATGGTCTGATATATGTATGGTTTGCTGCTGTCTGTTTGGACCTTTCTGAACATGTGCAGCAAATGGACTGATCCAATAAGGTGGACACTGAAGAGGGGGGGCTGAGACACACTTAATATTAAAAGCGTTCTGATGACATTTTAGCCAAAGGAGTTTTATCAAAAACATAGTTATTGTGCACAAATAAGGAATAGTTGTATTAACCATACGTGGAATCAGAGTTTTATGGGGCCCCCAGAAACTTGGGGCCCTAGGCAGCCGTCTAGTTTTGCTTAACGGTAAATCCGGCCCTGATTAGCCTATAGCTGCAGCCACAGCCTTCAGGTCAGTGGGGAACATCATCCCTCGCTCAGCCAAACGCTGCTACTGTAAAATGGAAGGAATAATGAAATACTGGACATGCAGCAGCATCCCTGTTATTAAATAAAATATTGTTTTTAATAAATGCACAGATTATGTTCTACCTGATGTTTCTCTTTGCTTTCGATCATAGCTGCTTCACCGAATGCCAACAGAGAAGTGCTTGGAGATACCATCCTCTTCCGGGAGGTGCAGATCGCCAGCAGCGCTGTCTACCAGTGCAACGCCTCAAACCAGCACGGCTACCTGCTGGCCAACGCCTTCGTTAGTGTTCTTGGTAAGACATGTTTGACCTCAGCACTGACTGCTGAAACACGAAAAGAAAGGTGGACTGTTTTAAAGCTCAAATGTAAATCAGTTCTTCAGTCTGTCATCCAAGCCCAGCTGTAACTGATGAAGTCAGCAGCTGTTTACATACAAGAAAGAAAGGAAGAAAACGTAAAAAGGTTAGATAATAAATGGATAGCCAGGCATTTAGTACGGTGGCTGAGAAGTGCAAAACACATTTACAATTCAAAAACACATTAACAAATAAAAAACAAAATAACATTTGAAGAAACAAAATTATATTTTATGAAACAAATGTATTTTTGAAAAAAAAGTTTAAATTTTTAAAAACAAATAAACATTTTAGCAAACAAATTTACATCTAAAAAAAAATTGACCGTTCGGAAACACTTGTACATGTGCAAAGACAAAACTGCAAGTGGCAAAACACAGTTACATAGCCAAAAACAAATGAACAAAAGACGGCTACACGGAAAGGGAATGTCCCAGTGGCCAGATGTGACGTCACCATTACCCTGACTTGTAGTACAAACAGCTCAATCTGTAGTCCTCCTGCTTCACGTGAAAAGTCAGCGGCGATTTTATTATTGTGGAGCAAATTTCAGCCAATTTACACCATTTTGTTCTTCGTGCGGACGGTCTCTGGAACTTTTACGGGACACGGACCAGGTGGCAGGACCACCGGAACTGCTGCAACGCAGCCACTGCCACGAATTGAGCTCGGCCCTGCTGCTTGGTCCTGCCACCTGGTCCGTGTCCCGTAAAGGTTCCAGAGACCACAATAAGGGCAAAACATTGTTCGGTTAGCGTAAACTTAAGAAAAACAGCTTCAGTGCAATTCTTTCCATCTAAAATCGCCGCTGACTTTTCACGTGAAGCAGGAGGACTACAGATTGAGCTGTTTGTACTACAAGTCAGGGTAATGGTGACGTCACATCCGGCCACTGGGACATTCCCTTTCCGTGTAGCCGTCTTTTGTTCATTTGTTTTTGGCTATGTAACTGTGTTTTGCCGCTTGCAGTTTTGTCTTTGCACATGTACAAGTGTTTCCGAACGGTCAATTTTTTTTTAGATGTAAATTTGTTTCCCTATAATGTATTTTTTTTTCTCTAAAATGAAACTTTCTCTCACTTAAAATCTAACTTATTTAAAATGTGAATTTGTTTCCTAAAATGTAAATTTGTTTTTAAAAATTTAAACTTTTTTTTCAAAAATACATTAGTTTCATAAAATATAATTTTGTTTCTTCAAATGTTATTTTGTTTTTTATTTGTTAATGTGTTTTTGAATTGTAAATGTGTTTTGCACTTCTCAGCCACCGTACTTTAGGCACAGCTGCAGCTTTATTTAGATAAACTGGCCTGAAACCAAATGGTTTCAAAGAGCTTCAGCCTTAAGCTGAAACTGTCGGATCTGTTTTCTGGCTACATTAGATATAAAAAATATCTGAATCCCATAAGAAACACAGAGTCTCTGCAATATCAAATATTTTTGGAAAACTCAGTGAAGAGTTGCTGGTTTGCAGGAAGTGTGCAGTAAACTGACGGTCCAGTTCAGCTTTATGACCCCTTCTCCTGCAGGAAGCAGCCATCAGTAGAAGGGAACTGGATTTTGGGTAGCACCTCCCTGCTAAGCTCCTGTCACACCTTGCTGATTTCTCCAGTTATGTTTGGCTTCAGGTGCCTAACCCACATGCAGAACACTCCGAGGCAGGATAGAAGTTCAAAGGTTTATTGAGAAGTTGGAATACAATGAATAAACAGATCCTAAGGGGAACTAGTCTGGTCACGAGTGGATTCTGAAATGCACACAGAGTAATCAGATCCAGGACTGGTCACGAGAGGGTTCACTGCGGAGGGGGACAGAGGAGTTAGTGGAGGTCCAGGTAATTTGCAGGATGAGAGTGTGCAGGTTGGCTTAGGCTTGCTAACCGTAACTGGCAAACCCTCTGGCACTGGAAAGACGTCCTCTGCCTCCTTAAATACTGATCTCCTGATGAGCAAACGAGCGACAGGTGGTTGCAGTCAGCTCCGGCTCCAGGAGATCTCGTGCGCCCTCTGGTGGAGAAAGTGGATAGACCTCTAGATCCCAACACAGTGTCTGCCTGACATCCCAGAATCTCCTAAAACGCTGGCATACGCTGAACTTTCTATGGATTTTTTCTATTTCTATAACAACAGCCAAACCTATGCTAACGCACGGCAGCGTAATGAACATGAAATACCACAAGCATCATTTCATGGGCATTACGCTGCATCACTTTAAGCTGCTCCCCTCAGACACATGGCTGCTCCTAAAGGGGGAGCCTGCATAAAAACATGCCTCTGATCGCGGTGTTAACCTAGCTGCTGTTTACCACCCACCCAAAAAAAAAGAAACAAGAAAGAAAGAAGGCTGCCAATACGCCATTATACAGTAGCTGGAAGTTAGAAACACGTTCAGCGCTCGTCTGGAACACGTCAGATACCTTGATATGAGTTAGAGAGAAGTTCTGGATAAGTTACGCAGAGGTTTAGGATCAGCTAGACGCCACGACTGATGAGGAACTGACACTGAACGTACGTCGACCATCAGATAACTGACCTGGAACTGACGGCCCACGGATGATGGCTTTCGACAGGCATACGACATGAAATTATGAGCATCCTCAAGGTTTTCCAACGTACTTGCTGTATGTTGAAGTGTTCCAGCGTGCTTCAGTGTGCTTATCACTTATACCAAATGTAAGCATAACTTATCCAACGTATGCCAGCGTTTTTACCAGATTTTTCATACGTCAGGCATCCACTGGGCTAAATCGTCAAGGTGTAACAGGGGCTTTAGGAACCCCACCCCATGAGGTGGTCTAATGCAGGAGAGCTTTGAGCGTCTGTCTCTTCGTATCATCTAACCATCATGTCCATTTCCCTCTGATCCTGCCACCAACAAGGGACTGGACAATAACTGTAGTTTAAATGTTTTAATCCATACCAGCACGGACACATGCCCTGGAGACGCTCCTGCATGATGTCCACCATCAGCCTGTTTGAATGCATTTCCAAACACCCTAATAACTGATCATGTCCATGAAGGCTGAGCACGCCACCGTCCTTCTAGATCTGTGAAATCGCTGCATTGTGATGACCAATCGCTTCTCCTTTTACAGACATGCCTCCAAGGATGCTGGGACCCAAAAATCAGTTAATCAAAGTCATTGTGAACAACCGCACCTTCCTGAACTGCCCTTTCTTTGGCTCACCGTTGCCCGTGTTACGCTGGTGAGGATCTTCTTTGTTCACATCATGTAAAGCAAAGAAATCTGTGTTTTTTTTTTCTGCTATTAAACACACCTGAAACAGGTGAACAGATGTGAAATAGCCAGTCACCCATCAACACCCTCATGCTCCTGCAGGTCAGCTGCTCGTCTGTGGGAATAATGCTACCTTCACCTGCGCGCACGCCGAGCAGCAGAAGCAGATGCTTTACCTGCAAAATCTATGGTTGACACACATCAGGGTCCTTCAGTGCGTTTAGAGCAGCGCTTCATGAGCTTCTGAGCATCTGAGGCGCGTGGCGCGCTGAACTAGCAGCAGCTACTAGAGTTGGAAAAAATGTAACGTTATCTGCTGGATGCGCCTCATCAACCAATGAGAGAAGCTGATCTGGGAGCTGGCAGGGAGTCAGACGCAGCACTGCTGATGCAGAGCGCTATGATCACTCCTCTCAAACAGTTTATTAACGCCTAAATTAACTTCAAATGTAGAAACCTGCCGGCAGAATATGTTGGCTTTTATTATCCTGCTGCCTGCAGTTTGTAGCACAGACCTGAAAAACGCTAACATCTACTTCCAGCCGCAGAAGCATCAGACGCATCTGGACGTCTGACCTTAATGAGGACAAGCAGCAGAAATGAAGCAGCTGAAGCTTCTTTGCTGCTCAAAGCGTGTGCGGTTGTGAACGTAGCATAAAGTAATTCATAAGTTTAGAGGAAGGAGATGTGGTTTGCTTATCAGAACGACTAATCAGGGCTTAGCTGATCAGTAGTTTTTAAATCATTTCTAGGATCCAGCTCTGCTGGAGTTTGGCTCCACAGCCTGTGTGTGTGCATCCATTTTCACTGCATAGTTTATGTTTTTATGCACTTTAGTTCTTTTACTCTTTTCCTGTTTTTGTTCAGTTTCAAGTCTTTTTATCGTCAGCCTTTTTTGTTCAGTCGCTGTAATTTAAAGTGCATTATGAATAAAATGGATTGGACTGGTTATTGTGAGTGTGTGTGTTTTTTTTAAATGGTTTAATTTGATCTTGACTGAAGCCAACTGTTTGTTCCAAAGGTTTAAGAACGGCCTGGGGAGTGGCCTGGATGGAGGTCAGTACCGGGTCTATATCAACGGTACCCTGGAGATAAAACGGGCTCGGAAGGAGGACGAGGGCATCTATACCTGTGTGGCTACCAGCATCTTAGGCAAGGCTGAGAACCAGGTCCAACTGGAGGTCAAAGGTCAGACATTAATAAATCATGTGTGAGCTCCTACTTCAATAACTGTCTTATCATATTAAGCCGCTGTCACACCTTGCTGATTAGTCCAGCGTCTACCTGATGTCCCAGAATATACTAAACCGCTGACATACGCTGAACTTTCTATGGATTTTTTCTATTTAAGCATATAAATAGAGTATTCATAACAAATCCAGAACTTCTGTCCAACGACAGCCTAACTTCTGCATAACGCACGGCAGCGTAACGCCCATGAAATTATGAACAAGCCAGAGTCCTGAGGGGGGCAGCGATTAGCCCAGAGGTGCCGGAGGTACCTCCCTCCTGCCATCTTCCAGCAGTGACGTCACGGTGCGGTAAGCCTAGCGCCATTCTCCCCGCTTTACAAGCTAAATTAATGGGAACTACTAGACACATCTGCAATCAACAACAATTATTGAAGATTTCCAGAGGACTTCACCATTGAAATTCACCAGAGCTATAGTGAAACTGACAATGCCCACGTGCATGGCAGCTGGATGCTGGAATACATCGGGTAAAAGTGAAAAAAAGAGTTATTCCACCTTTCTGATTCCTGATCCTCCACGGACGGGTTGGTCGTTGGATCGCCAACTTGAAGAGGGAGGATTTGCCATCGAACTTCTGGCCAGAGAAAAAACCCGTAATATGTAGCCAACATTTGGAAGAAGAATGTTTTCAAGATGACTTGGATAATAGCGCGTTGTGACAAACACCAGATACAGCACTGGGACTTGATCAACAGCCGATACCGCACCGTGATGTCACTAACCAGTAGGTGGCAGTAGTGTTCTTTGACAAACATGGATGCCTCCAGTAAATCACATTCACATGAAAATTACTCTGAATTAAAAACACTGATCATTTATTGAACAGGATGGAATCATTTCAGATTTAAAGAACTTTCAGAAGTTTGAATTCTGAATATAAGCGACTTTTCCTTGAAACCCCGCGTAGAAATGGCGAACACCCTAAAAATAACACGGGGGAGTGTTGGCCTAGTGGATTTGAGCACTGTGCTCTGAGAAGGTTGCAAGTACCCGGTTCGATCCCCACAGCCTCCATTCTGGCTCACTGCCCCCCGGACGCCACAAAATGGCAGCCCACTGCTCCCCAAGTGGATGGGTTGCAGAGAGAAAATTTCCCCACTGTGGGACAATAAAGGGATTTACATTTTTATTTTTATTTTTTTTACAATAACCCAGATTTAGAAAATGATGCTCAAACACAGAACCAAGCAGTTTTTACTTTGTTGTGCAACTTTAACATATTTCTTGCCCGCCCCGGTAGGGATGGTAAATATGTTATTTAATCAGATATTTAGCAGATATTAGACTGTATCAGACTGTCATATCATCGCTGTCGGACGGAAACCTCGTATGTCCAAAACCATAAAGTTTACAGGAAATTGTAAAAACAGCGACAGCGGAAGAGTCCAATGGAGTAACGAGATTAAGTCCCAACCTTTTTTCAACACTTTTAATTGGTTAATATTTTCCAAAACATACGTTCACACGTGGGGACTGACCAATCATATCAATTTATGAAAAAAAAAAAAAAAAAAGTCCAAAATGGGAGTTACAAGGTTTTTCCCCGACAGCGACGATATATTGTTTGTGAACATGCCTCCTACTGGCTGTGTGTTAGAACAGCAAATGAAAGAGTGAATCGAGCTCAAATCACGCTCAGACAGATAATTCTGCACATATATGGAATAAATTCACAACTTCCGTTTAAAATATGAGTTTTTAAAAAATCATTCAACTCAGAGACAAACATGTCAGTCAAAAACATTTGACTAAAAACTAGTGAAACTCAACTAAACTAAACTACTATGTACAAAGAGGAAGGGAAAGCATGGTTACAAACCATATATATGAGAACCAAAGTTCAAAGTTTGACACCAGGCTTCAGCTCATGCTGGTCCCGCTACACACCCACTCCCAGGCTGTGGGTTCTGCAGTACTGGCCCAGTTTAGCACATATCCACCAGTACAGTAACACTGAAGGTTTTGTGTTGTGTAAATGTACAACAACCAGAGTGAGTGTCTTACACATTGGGACATTTACTAGGGTGGGGTGATTAATTGCGTTTGCAATATAATCAATTCTATTCAGTTTATTTCTACAGCTTTAATTCACATAATGTCACCTCACATCACTTTATAGAACCAGATCAACCAGATCATCCAGTCAGATTGATTCAAAGTTTTCTATCTAAGGAAAACCAGCTGATTGCATCGACTCATTGACTCTTCAGCAATCCCTCACACTAAGCATGCTTGTAGCGACAGTGGAGAGGAAAAACTCCCTTTGAACAGGAAGAAACCTCCAGCAGAACCAGGCTCAGTGTGAGCGGCCATCTGCTGAGGCCCACTGGGGTTCAAGGAGACAGAAGCAGACATAGAAAAAGAAGCATAGATACAAAAGGCAACTGTCAACCAGCTCCACAGGCGGCCCCGTCCATGGGATTTCTACAGTTTCTATAGTTGACAAATCTGCAACAATCTCCAAAACCTTCTCCATGTTTTCATGACCTTAGAAAAACTTTATTTAACTTTATTGTCACACAAAACAAAGTGTTGAGGCGTATAGCTTTCAACAGTGAAATGAACATTACCATTTATAAAGTGCAGCAGTGATCATAATGTACCGTAAACAATCTAGGAGAGAAGGAAGCCAGTTGAAAATCATGGTGAAAAATGCATTAGACATGGAGTTGTGTTCTATTTAAAGGGATTGTGAAAAAAATCAGGCACATTGGTGGTGCAAATATGATGTTTCCAGGTGTGATGGACAGTATTGATTAGAGTTTTCAACATTCATCAGTGTGATGGCGGTGGGGAAGGAGCTGCTGCAGAACCTGCTGGTCCTGCATTGAATGCTGTGAAGCCTCTTCCCAGAGGGCAGCAGGGAGAACCTTCCATGGTGGGGGGTTGAGGGGTAATTGATGATGTCACGGGCTGCAATGAAATGTCTTTAATGGAGGGAAGAGGAGCCCCCATGATCCTCTCTGCTGTTCTCACCTTCTTCCAGTCTGAGGCGCTGCAGCCTCCACACCACACAGTGAGACAGCTGCTCAGAACGCTCTCTATGGAGCTTCTGGAGAAGGTGGGGAGGATGGGGGGGGGGGGGGGGGGGCAGGTGGGCTGGGTTGTTGTTTAAAGAAACAGAGGATTTCCTCCTGAATAAGGCTGGAAGATAAGAAATGTGGAAGACGTGCAGCACTGCGAATACTGTCCAGATGATCAGTAAGATTATGTTTTTTTTTCTTCTTCTTCTGGAGGAGAATTGATTAGAATTAAAGCAGTGAAAGGAGCTGATGTTTCCTCCTTGTTCCCAACATTAAATGGAACCAGAGCAGAACTAGTAAGGTTTTAATCAAACAGAGTTTGATGCAGAGATCTGTCGATAAATCTAGAAGCTTCCTGATGTTTCTCTGTTTCATCTGATTTTCTAAGTATGGCTGTTTCTCTCTCCTTCCACCTTAACTCAATTAAGAGCCGACACGTATAATTCAGGCTCCCACGCCTCAGTCAGCTGTGAGGGGTTCTACAGCAGCCTTCCACTGTAAGGCGGTCTCTGACTCCACCCTGCCCACCAAGGTGAGCTGGACAAAGGATGGAGAGCCTCTGAATCCAAGATGGAGGTATGACACGTGATCTTTTTTAAGGTGACAGTAGAATCAGAAGAGCTTTGGTTTCTGTGCTCGATGACAAACATGCTGCTACATAAATAACAACTTTTTTTTTTTTTTTTAAGGGTAAAGATTGATAAAGATTCCCTGACCATCTCCAGTGTCAGTGAGGAAGATGAGGGATTGTACACCTGCATCGCTCAAACTGAGATAGACCAGGACGCCGCCTCAGCTCGCCTCACCGTCTTAGGTACAGCAGCACTCAGAACTGAGCTGCAAGTAGTGATGTAACCAGGCAGAAATATGGGACACAAACACAGCCCACCATGGTGACTGGAAATGACCGGATGCTGCGACATCACCTGCCGAAACTAAGCTAACAGGAAATCAATATGGAGGTTCTCCTGATGCAAACTATCTGCAAAACTTATAGTGAAAACGACTCAACTGGGAAAATCCAAAAGCCAGCCCTGCAGACGGGTTTAGTGTAGCGCAGATGTGAAATACGTGGGGTCTCCTTTTATTTTACATTAAGCTGAGTAACGTTCATGGATGGTGTCATGAAAGATCGCTGCTGAAATTCTGGACTAAGAAAGAAAAATGCTGCAATATTTCCTTTAACAGCTTCTTTAAGATAACAGACGTTCATTAAAGGGCTGCAACTAACTATTATTTGCTTATTGATTAATCTGTCTATTATTTTTTCAATAAATCAATTAATAATCGAACAGCACAAGGTTCTATGTAGAAGATTTTTTACAGATTTAAACCAGATGGAACTACAACTTTTCCACTTGAGAAGTTCTGGATAGTAAGACAGTATTAGGGCCAGGCTAGAGATTTTTTTTCTATTTCAAGAATAAACTCATAACATTACGAGAATAAAGTCTTAAAATTACGAGAATAAATTTGTAACATTACAAGAATAAAGTCATAAAATTAAGAGAATTAAGTAGGTAGATTACGAGAATAAAGTTGCAACAAGAATAGTCATAACATTACGAGAATAAAGTTGTAACATCACTAGAATAAAGTCATAAAACTATGAGAATAAAGTCATAACAATAAAGTCCTAAAATTACGAGAATAAAGTCGCGAAAATACGAGAATAAAGTCGTAACATTACTAGAATAAAGTCGGAACATTACGAGAATAAAGTCATAAAATTAAGAGAATAAAGTAGTAATATTACGAGAATAAAGTCATAACATTACGAGAATAAAGTTGTAACATAACGAGAATAAAGTCGTAACATTACGAGAATAAAGTCGTAACATTACGAGAATAAAGTCATAAAATTAAGAGAATAAAGTCGTGACAATAAAGTCCTAAAATTACGAGAATAAAGTCGTGAAAATACGAGAATAAAGTCATAAAATTAAGAGAATAAAGTAGTAATATTACGAGAATAAAGTTGCAACAAGAATAGTCATAACATTACGAGAATAAAGTTGTAACATTACTAGAATAAAGTCATAAAACTATGAGGATAAAGTCGTGACAATAAAGTCCTAAAATTACGAGAATAAAGTCGTAACATTACGAGAATAAAGTCATAACATTATGACAATAAAGTCAAAACATTATGAGAATAAAGTCATAACATTACGAGAATAAAGTCGTAACATTACCAGAATAAAGTCGTAATATTACGAGAATAAAGTCATAACATTATGAGAATAAAGTCATAACATTACGAGAATAAAGTCGTAACATTACGAAAATAAAGTCATAAAATTAGGAGAATAAAGTAGTAATATTACGAGAATAAAGTTGCAACAAAAATAATCATAACATTACGAGAATAAGGTTGTAACATAACTAGAATAAAGTCATAAAACTATGAGAATAAAGTCGTAACAATAAAGTCCTAAAATTACGAGAATAAAGTCGTGAAAATACAAGAATAAAGTCATAAAATTAAGAGAATAAAGTCAAAACATTACGAGAATAAAGTCGTAACATTACGAGAATAAAGTCGTAATATTACGAGAATAAAGTTGTAACATTATGAGAATAAAGTCATAACATTACGAGAATAAAGTCGTAATATTACGAGAATAAAGTCGTAACATTATGAGAATAAAGTCATAACATTACGAGAATAAAGTCGTAATATTACGAGAATAAAGTCATAACATTATGAGAATAAAGTCATAACATTACGAGAATAAAGTTGCAACAAAAATAATCATAACATTACGAGAATAAGGTTGTAACATAACTAGAATAAAGTCATAAAACTATGAGAATAAAGTCGTGACAATGAAGTCCTAAAATTACGAGAATAAAGTCGTGAAAATACAAGAATAAAGTCATAAAATTAAGAGAATAAAGTCATAACATTACGAGAATAAAGTCGTAACATTATGAGAATAAAGTCATAAAACTATGAGAATAAAGTCGTAACAATAAAGTCCTAAAATTACGAGAATAAAGTTGTGAAAATACAACAATAAAGTCATAAAATTAAGAGAATAAAGTCATAACATTACGAGAATAAAGTCTTAACATTATGAGAATAAAGTCATAACATTACGAGAATAAAGTCGTAACATTACAAGAATAAAGTCATAACATTATGAGAATAAAGTCTTAACATTATGAGAATAAAGTCATAACATTACAAGAATAAAGTCATAACATTATGAGAATAAAGTCATAACATTACAAGAATAAAGTCATAACATTATGAGAATAAAGTCATAACATTACGAGAATAAAGTCATAACATTATGACAATAAAGTCGTAACATTACGAGAATAAAGTCATAACATTACGAGAATAAAGTCGTAACATTACGAGAATAAAGTCATAACATTATGACAATAAAGTCGTAACATTACGAGAATAAAGTCATAACATTACGAGAATAAAGTCGTAACATTACGAGAACAAAGTAATAAAATTAAGAGAATAAAGTAGTTACAATAAAGTCCTAAAATTACGTAGCCTGGGTGCCATTCCGAACTTAGTCCCGCCCACAAGGTTTGAGGTCGGGAAGTTCGGTCTGGCTCTGCTCCATAGTAGCGCGAGTATTATCGCCCACTGTCAGGCGATCCAATCAAATTGTCAGGGCGGGCTTTATATGATGATGAACAGATGATCAACAGTAACGTAATCAACCACGTGACCAAAGCGCGCTTGGGTGACAACAACATTGGCAGCCGCTGGAGAGTTGAGGTGAGTAGATTCTGATATTAGGTCTGTTCTAGAAGATATCGACAGCAAATTAATTTTAAAAGAGGAACAGAGAAACGCGATCAAGTCTCATCTTCTTATTCTAGGCGTGCAACTGCACGCTTTGATTTTTGTTGACAACAACTATGCGTGGCTTAACATACGTAACGCACTCCGTTGCTCTTATTGGTTGTAGGTCTATCCAGTTGAGTGCAGAGGCATTTTTTTCCTGGTTCGTTCAAAACACGCCCCATAATCACAGCTCTATGGAGCAGCATCAGACTCATTCTGACTAGAATTGAGTCGGACTACGTCAGGCTAAAAATTACGAGAATAAAGTCGTGAAAATACGAGAAATAAGTTCTATTTTATGACAACTCTTCCAAGAAGCCCTTTCTTCCCTAAAATGAGGAATGTGGAGCGTCGTGTGAAGTTCTACTTTAGCATCGGTTTGACAAATCAGGAAATCTTTTAGCAGCAGCATCAAACTGGGCAGGATGTCAAAGTGGACTCTGGCTGCTGATTGGTGGAGCTGGTTGGCCGTCATCTGCTGGGCGGAGCTCCAAGCTTTCTTTCTGAAACAGGTTGTTAAACGATGACTTTATTCTTGTAACATTATGACTTTATTCTCGACTTTATTCCCAGATTGTTTATTCTTCTTTGCCTTTTCTAAAAAGTGCATTAAATCAGTCCTTTATCCAAGCTGGCTTATATCCTGACCTTATAAAAAGGAGCATGCATGTAGTTAGCCAAGCCCTGTAGCTAAACCAGGTCATGAAAAGAATGTTTGTTCTCTCAGCTCTCCTGCACCCCGAGCTTTTCTATACCTTCTGTATTACAGAAGAGTTGCTGCAATACTTTTAACAAGAGTCAATGGGCAAAGATTTTTGCGCCCTATGTCGGAAATATGTCGCTTATCCGACGAAAAATGGAAGGACGCTTTACTTGTTATTAAAGATTAAATGTTTTTCTTGCACATCTAAAAAATATATATCAATAAATTTCAAAATATTTGCATTTAAATTTAGTGCCCTCTATTGACCAGCCGCCACTGGTTCTGACACACAGCAGGCAGGTGTTGTAAGGGTTTAACAGACTAAAATAATCCTAACAGCAGAATGATAACCTGAGTTATGTGTGGAGAACCAAAGGAGTTTTATTGACAGTTTGATCATGACGGCTGCTCGTCAAACACGCCTCAGCAGCTTAGATTAAAGGTTTCATGTTTAAAAATGGTCTATTATTCTTTCATAAATACCTTTAACAGAAACCTTTTTAATCTGCGCTGCCGCTGATACTAAGATGAAGTTTTAACTGTTGTTTTCTCTTACTGTTTCTTGGCTTGTAGACTAACCAAACTAATCTTTATACTCCCCTCCTGCCCCTCCCCCACAGAGGACGCCTCCTTCAACCCCTCCATCTTTAGTGCCTTACCTCCAGGTAAAACAGGGCTCAGCTCTTTCTCTCTTCTTTTCTGCTTTTGTTCCCTTTTTATCTGTTTGTTTCTTTTGTTGGGATTTTATTTGTCAGACCAACACAAAAAAAATTGCATAAATGAAAGGTCAGACTAAATCGAGACCTAAGTTCCTTACAGAGAAAAATCAAGAGATGTTGCCTGTTTTGATTTGTCAAACAGTCCACTAAGTCCGAGAGTATTAAAAGCATCTAGATTGGCTTGGCCATTCTGATGTTTTCTGGGCCTTTTGTATCTTTGAGTTTCCCTCAAAGTGAAGGAAGGAAGTCAGAAAATTCTCATACCAGCAAATTTATTGATTCCACATTTTGAAGATTTCTCCCCAGCAGAGTCAGTAGCAGGTGGCAGTTGTGGTTTGTTCTCTGCGCACCTGTAGCTTCTCTGCTCGCCCGTGTTAGAGAAAGGAAACAGCTTGTGATTGGCTACTGTTCAGGATCTCCTTGTGAAATGCCGCTGTGTTTGTGTCAAGTAACAGTAGCAGTAATGGAAATTATCATAATTTTACAGAACATGCCTGCAGCTGTCAGAACGCAGCCATCAGTTTAATAAACTAAAATAGTTAAAGATGAGTTAATTGATTAGCCTGAAGATCTTGTGCACATACTGGTCATCTTCCAGTTATCCTGACTGGGATGCAGGGCAGCAATCTCAGCAGAGACTCCCAGACTCACCCTGTCTGTAATGGAGAACCCAGCCACCCCGCAGAGGAATCTCTTCTCAGCGTCTGGACTCGTTCTTTGGGTCACTCTCCAGATTAATGATGATAGATTAGGTGTCGGGGTTGGTGGATATTGTTGTGAACCCAAATGCAGAGTAGAAGAGGCAGAGATGATTACTTAAAAAGTTTGACGAAGAAGTAAAAGAACAAAATCCAGTCCAAAACTGATCACAAGAAAACTCAAGAAACAAACAACAAGGAGACACTAGGGAGGAATAAACCTAAAGAAAAAGGATCCAGCTATGAGGAACTGAACAGGAGGTGTATATATGGGAGACAGAAACAATGGGAGGAATAATTAGGAACAGACCAGATGAAGCCACTATGAGAAAAAGCAGAGAGAGCAGAATGTTAGAGATTGAACTAACAGATTCTGCAGAGTGGGAGAATAGAGATAGAATGAAGCAGAATGATGAAAAAGGGGTCCCTATGTCCTCCAGCAGTCTAAGCCTATAGCAGCAGAACTATAGAGATAGTTCAGGATAACCTGAGCCACTCTAACTAGAAGCTTTATCAAAAAGGAAAGTTTTAAGCCTAGCCTTAAAAGTAGACAGGGTGTCTGCCTCACGGACTAAAACTGGTAGTTGGTTCCACAGGAGAGGAGCCTGAGAACTAAAAGATCTGCCTCCCATTCTACTTTTAGAAATTCTAGGAACCACTAGTAAACCTGCAGATTGAGAGCGAAGTGCTCTGTTAGGAACATAAGGAACAATCAGATCTCTGATATCAGATGGAGCTTGGCCATTTAAGGCTTTATATGTGAGAAGGAGGATTTTAAATTCTATTCTGGATTTAACAGGAAGCCAATGAAGAGAAGCCAGGATAGGAGAGATATGATCTCTCTTTTTCATTTTCATCAGAACTCTGGCTGCAGCATTTTGGATCAGCTGAAGGCTTTTAACTACAGTTTGTGGACTTCCTTATAGTAAAGAATTACAATAGTCCAGCCTTGAAGTAACAAATGAGATTTCTCATTTTTGCAATATTCCGCAGATGAAAGAAGGAAATTCTATGAACCTCCTTAATATGGGATTTAAATGACAGGTCAACCAAACCCCTGCAGCAATGCTGTCAATCTGGTTCCAGAAAGGGCCGTATGGCTGCCGGTTGTTGTTCCACCCAAGCCAGTAGCACACCAGACTCCAGTCAAGCATCAAGTCATCAGGTTAATACTGAACACGGCCCTTTCTGGAACCAGATTGACACCCCTGACCTACAGTGAAGTCTTTAGTTTCTCCCATAGTCAGGGTTAGTTTCCTGCGGTATTGATCTCTGTTGGTCCTCCAGAGCCACCGTTCTTCCTTCCTGATCGGGATCTGCCTGCCCAGCCTGTCCAGATGATGGGCTGAATCCCAGACATGAACACATGGCTGGACTCGTGGAATGCCCTCATCTCTGCTGGTCTATCACATAAAATCGCAGTAATATGTTCAGATGTTCACGATGCTGATGAACCAGATCACAAAGGTTTGAGCCTCATCATTGTTTTGGTTGACATGCAGACTGATACTATCACCGCCATATTTACACCACGCTGAGCATCAGTTTAGTCTGCCTAGCATCCATGCATCTTCCCTGGGAACCAGCCTGTTTCTGTCCTGAGCTCCAAACTAACATCTAAAGATGATGAAAGCTGCCTGCCTCCAGTGGTTCCCCATCCCGTTTCTCAGGGTCTGCATGTTTAAGCCGACTCCTTCTAGCATCACACCAGAAAAGAACGGAGAATCACCGCCTTCTGCAGAACCTGATTGCAGACGAGCCCTGATTTAAATCAGGTGTGCTGGAACAGAGACACGGCTAGAAGATGCAGGGCCCTGGGAACCAGTGCTGGGAACCACTGCTTTCAGACTCAAACAACACAGATTTCATGACCTTTTAATCCTTTCATGCCATTTTTTCCTGTGTTATCAGTCATTTCATGGAATACATGCTAACCTTTGTCTTTTCTGTTCTGCTCTGGGCTGCTGCAGACCGTCCAGACCCACCAATGGATCTGGATCTGTCAGACCCACTAGAAAGAAGTGTTCGGCTCACCTGGATCCCTGGAAACGACCACAGGAGCCCCGTTACAGGTCTGTTCTGACCTCGGTTTCCGTTGTCTCTTTGCGAGTCAGGACATATGTGACGCCTCACAGCTAAAGCACCCCCACCTCAGGGCTGAATTAGCAGCCATGGCTGTGTGTGAGCAGTGGTACTGTTCCCTCATGGCTGCAGAGTAAGGCTGATGTCCCAGGAATAGCCCCCATTGGGGGGCTCTCACATCCTCATGTTGACTAATCGAATGGGAGCATGAGGAACGCTTCTCTTCTTGGTTTAGGACTGAGTTTAGGTTAGGTTTAGGATAAGTCCATTTACATTTCAACTTAGAAAGAACAATTGCTGTGTCTTAATTTAAGGGCATTTATTTAATTATCTTATTTAAGAGTAAAAAAAATCTCATCTCGACATATTTACCTACATAAATTAAAGCTAAATACACTAATTTGTAATGTACCTGATCTCAGCCTGCTACTCCTACTGAACCTTTAAATTTTCATCAGAACTAAATGGTTCTATATTTTCAATTCAATTCGGTTTATTTCTATAGCTCCAATTCACATCATGTCATCTCAAGGCTCTTTCCAGTTCACCAGATCATCCAGTCAGATTGATTTAAAGTTTTCTATCTAAGGAAAACCAGCTGATTGCATTGACTCATTGACTCTTCAGCAATCCCTCACACTAAGCATGCTTGTAGCGACAGTGGAGAGGAAAAACTCCCTTTGAACAGGAAGAAACCTCCAGTGTGAGCGGCCATCTGCTGAGGCCCACTGGGGTTCAAGGAGACAGAAGCAGACATAGAAAAAGAAGCATAGATACAAAAGGCAACTGTCAACCAGCTCCACAGGCGGCCCCGTCCAGGAAACACACAGCCAGGCAGACGAGCTCCGAGCCAGCTCCCATGTCAGAGGATGAAGAGAGCACATCCAGTTAGTCACAGTCAGAGAAACAGGACTACACTGGAAAACAGGCCAAGCTCCAACATCTAGAAACAAAGGTGTTGATGGCAGAAGCACAGCTGATATTTCTCTCCAGGATGGAGTCACAGCCAAACAGGAACAGACCAGATGAAGCTACTATGAGAAAAAGCAGAGAGAGCAGAACGTTAGAGATTGAACTAATAGATTCTGCAGAGTGGGAGAATAGAGATAGAATGAAGCAGAATGATGAAAAAGGGGTCCCTATGTCCTCCAGCAGTCTAAGCCTATAGCAGCAGAGCTATAGAGATAGATCAGGATAACCTGAGCCACTCTAACTAGAAGCTTTATCAAAAAGGAAAGTTTTAAGCCTAGCCTTAAAAGTAGACAGACTTTTTGGTCATGTCAAAATGTATAAACAATATTTTTTAAACTAAAAATTAACATCCTGGTTCTGTTAAGTCCGTGGTACCCTGGTGACCCAGTACCTCTCCCTGGTTTGATCCGTTCTTCTGAAGCTGGTTGTGGTTTCTGCAGAGTTCTTGGTCCAGTTTGAGGAGGACCGCTGGGAAGCAGGCAGATGGCAGAACCTCTCCTCTTTCCCAGGAGACCTCAACTCCGTCATCCTGCAGCTCGCCCCCAACATCAACTACCAGTTCAGGGTCATCGCCATTAACTCCGTGGGTCGGAGTTCTCCAAGCCGGCCCTCGCCTCGATACAAAACCAGTGGGGCTCGTGAGTGACATCACACTTTGCTCAAATCCCAATAAAACCAAACAGTAAACCGTTGAATGAATGAATTTATAGATCTTTAGCAGACGTCCCCATGTTCATGATGTTTATTAGCGATTTGTAGCTCAATCTGTTTAAAGTGAAAGACTTTAAGCAGAATAACTGATCTAATTTAAAGTATAACTTTTAATCCTTCCCTGCTTTCTTTCTCGCTGTAAATCTTTCCATTTTTTTTTTTCATCCAGCCCCAGATGTCATTCCCAGAGATCTACGTGGATGGGGCTCAAAAAAGGACAACATGGAGATCACCTGGGAGGTAAGATGGCTGCTGCAAAGGTAACAGAAACCATCATCACACTCAGCATTCAGTGGGACTGACAAGAGATCAAATATGGAGATTAGGTTTTCCTCTTTAGCTTTTTTAACTGTAATATATTTCAAACAGTAATTCATTACAGAAAGAATTAAAAAACAATAAAATCCTGCTCAGCACTTCACTGGAGAGAATAAAGGAAACACCAAGTGATGCACGAAGTCCTAAAAGTATCGGTAAAGTAAAATAGAATAAATAAAGTAATTATAATAATAATAATCATAATGATAATATTAAAGTAAAAGTATTTATTACTGATGTTAAAGTATTGAAGTACTCACTTTTGAGAGTACTTAGGTATTAAGTACAGATAAAATTTCCTAAATCAGAACATTTCTGTCTAATTTTCAGAGTAATTTCAAACAACCTGAAACTTTCAGAAAGCACCTAATGTATTGATACGTAGAACCACCTATTATAGATCCTACACCACCTGGAAAGAACTTCTGCATAGAAATAACACAAAAAAGAAGGACAGATATTTGATTTTTTTGTTATGTAAAAACAAACCAAAAAGAAATGAGGAGAGTCTTGATTCTCCTCTTTCTTTCTCTATATAAAAGAGGTTAAAGGCTGAATCTATTAGAAACTAGAACTCTGATCTGAGACTCTGAACAACTTGGCCTCATGGAGGGCCCCTCCATTTCCAGGAAGCACCCCCTGAAAAATTACTCAAGTAAAGTAAAAATACTTTAAAAACATACTTGCTCTAATGATTTATTCTATTTAAGTTTCTTTGCAACACCAACATGTTCGCAAACACTGTCTGAAAAAGGAGAACTTTCATCAAACTTTGAACTGCTGATAGATGTTAGACAGGCGTTCCAGACCGCTCTGTTTTCAGATGTTTTCAATCAGTTCTGCTGTTTCCTCTACAATCCAACCAAAGCGAACAAGTGTCAGGGTAGAATTATAATCCTAATCTACACCTCCGTCTGGCAGATTAACCTGGAAGGTTTGTTGTGTCTCTTCAGCCGCTGCAGGATATGCAGAGAAACGGTCCAAACTTGCAGTACAGCGTGTGGTGGAGACGAAAAGATTCTGGGGAGGAGTGGAGCAATGTGACCACGTTCCACACCAAATATACCGTCCATCCCACTGAAACATATGTGCCTTACGAGATCAAAATCCAGGCAAGGAATGATTTTGGTTCAGGACCGGAGTCAAATATTGTCGTCGGATTTTCCGGAGAGGACAGTGAGTATGCATGAGAATTTCAGCAAACATTAAAAAAGCAAACGTAGATTTTCCTGAGTAACAAGGAAAGAGTAAACATGAGCTGTTTGATCTGCTCTCAGAGCCCACTGAGGCCCCCACTGAGCTGCGGGTGTCAAAGGTTGGCAGCACCACAGCCAATGTCCACTGGAAGCCTGTGGATCTCAGCACTATCCAGGGGGAGTTCAAGGAGTATCGAGTAAGAAGGAGGAAGGTTTTGCACTGAGAGCTGTCTCCAACGTAGCCCACTCATCACTTTCCATCATGTCCTCTTTTTGCCTCTCCCTATAACTCCCAGCTATACTACTCCCGTCAGTCCAGTCTGATCAAAGAGCGGGGGGTGAGGAAGGAGAAGAAGACCACTGGTTTCTACACCACTGTGCCGGAACCATCTGGCATTCTTAAAGACTTGGTGCCCTACTCCAATTATAGCATGTTCATGGTGGTGGCGAACAATGGCTTTGAGAGTAACCCCAGTAACAGAGTGGAATTCAGCACCAAGGAGGATGGTGAGGACACAAAGCATCAATCCACATAAACCATGAGGGCGAGTTCACTCTAAACCATGAGTTATGATAAACAACAGTGTCATCTCAAAGTCCTGCAGCCCTTTCCTGAGTACAGTAGTAGTCATTCTAAATTTCCCCCCTTTCCTTTGCTGGTTCCTTGGTTGGCCCTTGGCTGGTCCTTGGCTGGTCCTTGGCTGGCCCTTGGCTGGTCCTCTGCTGGTCCTTGGCTGGACCTTGGCTGTTCCTTGGTTGGCCCTTGGCTGGTCCTTGGCTGGACCTTGGCTGTTCCTTGGTTGGCCCTTGGCTGGTCCTTGGTTGGCCCTTGGCTGGTCCTCTGCTTGTCCTTGGCTGGACCTTGGCTGTTCCTTGGTTGGCCCTTGGCTGGTCCTTGGCTGGTCCTTGGCTGGCCCTTGGCTGGTCCTCGGTTGGCCCTTGGCTGGTCCTTGGCTGGACCTTGGCTGTTCCTTGGTTGGCCCTTGGCTGGTCCTTGGCTGTTCCTTGGTTGGCCCTTGGCTGGTCCTTGGCTGGTCCTTGGCTGGTCCTCTGCTGGTCCTCGGTTGGCCCTTGGCTGGTCCTTGGCTGGACCTTGGCTGTTCCTTGGTTGGCCCTTGGCTGGTCCTTGGCTGTTCCTTGGTTGGCCCTTGGCTGGTCCTTGGCTGGTCCTCTGCTGGTCCTCGGTTGGCCCTTGGCTGGTCCTTGGCTGGACCTTGGCTGTTCCTTGGTTGGCCCTTGGCTGGTCCTTGGCTGGACCTTGGCTGTTCCTTGGTTGGTCCTTGGCTGGACCTTGGCTGGTCCTTGGCTGGACCTTGGCTTGTCCTTGGCTGTTCCTTGGCTGGACCTTGGCTGTTCCTTGGCTGGTCCTTGGCTGGAACTTGGCTGGTCCTTGGCTGGACCTTGGCTGTTCCTTGGTTGGCCCTTTGTTGGCCCTTGGCTGGTCCTTGGCTGGCCCTTGGCTGGTCCTCTGCTGGTCCTTGGCTGGTCCTCTGCTGGTCCTTGGCTGGACCTTGGCTGTTCCTTGGTTGGCCCTTGGCTGGTCCTTGGCTGGACCTTGGCTGTTCCTTGGTTGGCCCTTGGCTGGTCCTTGGTTGGCCCTTGGCTGGTCCTTGGCTGGTCCTTGGCTGGCCCTTGGCTGGTCCTCTGATGGTCCTCTGCTGGTCCTTGGCTGTCCCTTGGCTGGACCTTGGCTGGTCCTTGGCTGGACCTTGGCTGGACCTTGGCTGGTCCTTGGCTGGACCTTGGCTGGTCCTTGGCTGGTCCTTGGCTGGACCTTGGCTGGTCCTTGGCTGGACATTGGTTGGCCCTTGGCTGGCCCTTGGCTGGTCCTTGGCTGGTCCTTGGCTGGCCCTTGGCTGGTCCTCTGCCGGTCCTTGGCTGGACCTTGGCTGTTCCTTGGTTGGCCCTTGGCTGGTCCTTGGTTGGCCCTTGGCTGGTCCTTGGCTGGTCCTTGGCTGGTCCTTGGCTGTTCCTTGGCTGGTCCTTGGCTGGTCCTTGGCTGGACCTTGGCTGGACCTTGGCTGGACCTTGGCTGGTCCTTGGCTGGACCTTGGCTGGTCCTTGGCTGGTCCTTGGCTGGACCTTGGCTGGTCCTTGGCTGGACATTGGTTGGCCCTTGGCTGGCCCTTGGCTGGTCCTTGGCTGGTCCTTGGCTGGCCCTTGGCTGGTCCTCTGCCGGTCCTTGGCTGGACCTTGGCTGTTCCTTGGTTGGCCCTTGGCTGGTCCTTGGTTGGCCCTTGGCTGGTCCTTGGCTGGTCCTTGGCTGGTCCTTGGCTGTTCCTTGGCTGGTCCTTGGCTGGTCCTTGGCTGGACCTTGGCTGGACCTTGGCTGGACCTTGGCTGGTCCTTGGCTGGACCTTGGCTGGTCCTTGGCTGGTCCTTGGCTGGACCTTGGTTGGCCCTTGGCTGGCCCTTGGCTGGTCCTTGGCTGGTCCTTGGCTGGCCCTTGGCTGGTCCTCTGCCGGTCCTTGGCTGGTCCTCTGCCGGTCCTTGGCTGGTCCTCTGCCGGTCCTTGGCTGGTCCTCTGCCGGTCCTTGGCTGGACCTTGGCTGTTCCTTGGTTGGCCCTTGGCTGGTCCTTGGTTGGCCCTTTGCTGGTCCTTGGCTGGTCCTTGGCTGGTCCTTGGCTGTTCCTTGGCTGGTCCTTGGCTGGTCCTTGGCTGGTCCTTGGCTGGACCTTGGCTGGACCTTGGCTGGACCTTGGCTGGTCCTTGGCTGGACCTTGGCTGGTCCTTGGCTGGTCCTTGGCTGGACCTTGGTTGGCCCTTGGCTGGCCCTTGGCTGGTCCTTGGCTGGCCCTTGGCTGGCCCTTGGCTGGTCCTTGGCTGGTCCTTGGCTGGCCCTTGGCTGGTCCTCTGCTGGTCCTTGGCTGAACCTTGGCTGTTCCTTGGTTGGCCCTTGGCTGGTCCTTGGCTGGACCTTGGCTGTTCCTTGGTTGGCCCTTGGCTGGTCCTTGGTTGGCCCTTGGCTGGTCCTTGGCTGGTTCTTGGCTGGTCCTTGGCTGGACCTTGGCTGGTCCTTGGCTGGACCTTGGCTGGTTCTTGGCTGGACCTTGGCTGGTCCTTGGCTGGACCTTGGCTGGTCCTTGGCTGGACCTTGGTTGGCCCTTGGCTGGCCCTTGGCTGGTCCCCTACAGTTCATTTTTAAACACCAATCTTTGTAGTAAAATATTCTTTCTGTCATGATTTCTGGACATTAAAATCTGCAGAGAAGCGTTATCTCCTGCTCAGACCCTGTAAATCAGTGAAAGGGAGTAAAAAAATATGCAAGAGGGAGTCACTCCAGTGGCTGGAACTTGGCTGCCATGCACTTGGCATTTTACTAGGAAGGGATTTTTTTTTTCTTTTTTAGGGTTTTTACGGCACTAGTGGCTCTTTTTTGTGACAGTAGGCTTACAGGAAAAGGAGTATTAGAGAAGGGGAGAGACTTGCAGCAAAGGATCAGCCGTGTGAAGGACTAAAGCGTCCGTACATGGGTCGTGCACACCAACCACTTCGCCACCCGCAAACCGGACGGAAAGGCCATTTTGAATGACTGCTACTGTTTGTATGATTTGATTTTGGCTTGAAAAGGATTGCATGATGTCTGTCTACCAAGTTCTTTAAAGCCTCTTTTCCACTGAAAATGGGAGATTCACTCGTGTTTTTCTATCATGGGTTGACCCAGTAACAATCAGCATTTGGCTCCCTTCCTATTGGCAATAGAAGCTGGTCTAAACCCTCACTGCCAGCTGCGCGTCTAGTGAAACCATAATGCTATGTTAGTGCTTGTGATGTCATCAGTTCAACATAAATCAGGGAAGTAGAAAATGGAGAGCAGCATGGAAGGAAGCCAGGGCGTAGTCAGGGTGTTTTATTGTTTCGCTGTACTATCTGTCTTAATACCTGTCAGCAGAGCTGCTCCATGTTTATCGCATGTAAACAGAGTTGTTTCCGCTTGTTAGATCAAAACCGACTGGCGCAGTGTTCACGTCCGTACTAGAGACTGACATTTTTTGGGATTCCCGTGGGATGGGAGTCAGTATTAGTAACGATCACGTGATTGGGACGCTACAGGATTAAACATTAACGGGAGCAGACGGGAGCTGGAGCAAACCAATAGTAACTAAAAAAAAAACTAGGATCGATGCCAAAAAATAAAATAAAATAGAAAGAAAAAAAATCCAGTACTGGCGCCGCCATTTTGTAGTTTTTTTCCTTGAAGCCTACACTATAATGCGAGTCAAAAAAACTACACGACCCAAAAACCAACAGTGCTTCTGCTCTGAGTTTTTCACCCGCGCTCAAAAACAACAAGAATGGGAGTGGGAGTAATTTCACCAGGAGTGGGACGGGACAGGATTTAGATCTATACTCTGGCCCGGGACACCATTTTTTTCTGTGGGAGTGGGACGGGACAAGAGTGAAAATCCACTCCCGTGTCAGTCTCTAGTCCGTACGCTGCGTTCAATGGTATCACCTAATTTAGCGGGTCAACCAGCAAAGGTGTTCCCACAGCATTTAATAAGAACATTTTAATAAGGGTGGCCAGGCAATAACCAATGTACGCTGAGGGCTGTTCGAAAGCTAACAGGAGTCAGATCCTCTGGGTCAATCTGCAATGATCAAATGACCACAGCATCATTTTTTCTAAATTAGGACAACATATACTTTCCTACATCCTTTGCTAACAAATAGATGCATACATTTAAACATCTATGCTGTGTAAATAAAAAGTATAGTGGACAAAACTTGGGGCAAACATTTGGGGCAAACATTTTTTCCACCGTCATTACTTACCTACTTACATTTACTTATTAATCTCTGATTTTCAATTCAGTTTATTTCGATATTTCTATAATTCACATCATGTCATCTCAAGGCTCTTCCCAGTTCACCAGATCATCAAGTCAGATTGATTCAAAGTTTTCTATCTAAGGAAAACCAGCTGATGGCATCGACTCATTGACTCTTCAGCAATCCCTCACACTAAACATGCTTGTAGCGACAGTGGAGAGGAAAAACTCCCTTTGAAGAGGAAGAAACCTCCAGCAGAACCAGGCTCAGTGTGAGCGGCCGTCTGCTGAGAAGCAGACAGAAGCAGAGATACAAAAAGAAAAAAAATTGAAGCTGTGAGCTATCTTATCAAACAGTAAACTAGCTTCACAGGTGGCTTTGTCTGGGAAAGAAACTGTTAATCAGACAAACTCTGAGCCAGTAGTAAAGATTCTGCAGAGCGGGAGAATAGAGATAGAATGAAGCAGAATGATGAAAAAGGGGTCCCTATGTCCTCCAGCAGTCTAAGCCTATAGCAGCAGAACTATAGAGATAGATCAGGATAACCTGAGCCACTCTAACACATTGTTTATATTCTCAAGTAATTGTAAATATATATAGAAAAATTTTAATTTGTAATTGAGAGTATTACTGCTGCCTTCGACTGTATTAGAGGGAACAAAAGGAGCTGACCAATGATTTGATAAGGGTGGCCATGCCCCCCCATCTAGCTTCGCCCCTGAGTGACATTCCTTTAAATTTTTTCATTTGTTTCAAAACAAAGGTTTTCCAGGTTAAACCTTAAAAAAACTCTTTTTATGTGAGAATTTTTTGAAAAACAACACGTTTTAGTAAAGCTTTGAACGTCAGGCTTGCTTTATGTTTTGCTCCTTCTTACTTCGGATGTTGAAATAACGAATCTAAAACTGAATAATGATTTCTTTTTGGTTTTTCTGGAATTGCAGTCCCGGACGCACCAAGGTTCTTCAGGATTAACCGCCGAAGTCTGGACACCCTCTACTTGGAATGGGGCAAACCTTTAGAACCCAACGGCGTTATAATTGGCTACCAGCTCGTTTACCAAAGAGGTAACTCCTTCTTTGCAAAGCCTGATATGTTAAACCAGAAAACAAAGGGACATCTTGGTGTGGAAAAATTTAGCTTTTTTTACATTTTATTTGTCAACCAAAAACTTGCATATATTTTATTATTATTATGTAATAGACCAATGAAAAGTAACCCATAGTTTTGAAGTAGAACAGGAAAATAAAGGTCTTTATTTTTGTTTACAAATAAAAAGTCTTTAAAGTGTGGCAAACATTTATATCCATCACTTTTAATTCTTAAAGTTCTAAAGAAAATTCAATCATTCATAGATAGTTCATCTGTGTGAAATCACAGTAAATTATGTATGCAGACGTTTTGTCTTTGACCTCATAGGTTTGTTAAAAAACACAAGGGAAGGAAACCAGCAGGCAGGTCAGGAAGAAATCAGGTAAAAAAATGGCGGCTGTACACCACAAGGGGGCAGAAGAGCAGCAACTGCTCTGGTAAGACCAGCTCAAAACTTACATTGAAATGAATCTCTAAAAACTGCCATTGCACATCATCCTCAACACACCATCCAGATGCTTTGGGGACACTTTTTTCTTTAGCCTGCTACTCAGCGTATTAAGATCTTAAATGGTGCTAAATAAAGCGCTATGCAGCGGTAGACCAGAACTACAGTCTGTTCAAAGCTAAAGGAGACACACGCTTAAGCCCAAGAAGCTGTACCTGCAGAGGGAAGGTACAGAGTACGGACCAAAGGCCCAAAAACCAATGCTTTCTACTCATTTATTTTAATTTCTAGAAAACTTTCAGGTCCTGTTTCCTGCTTTTTTATATTACCTAAAGACAACTAAAGGAATATATATATAACGGAATATTGTTTTCACCCTACAAAATATTAATTTATCATGAAATATTCATTCTATGGTGCTGAGTTTTTAAACTGCTTTATTAGCCTGTAGCATGAAGCTGCTTTATTAGGCTGCAACATCTTACTATCTAATGAGATCAACATAAAATAACTTTTACTTTGCTTTATTAAGGCTCAGAGTGACTCTGACGCCTGGATATATGTTATAAAATCTTCTGTTTATAAATCTTTCTGTTCACATTTAGCTGTTTAAACTCAGCAGTTAAACCAAGCTTTGAACCTGCTCTGTGTTTCCAGTCAACGGTTCCAGGTTGGGTCCCCAGCAGATCAAGACCTTCTGGCCAAATGTGACGAGTTTCACTCTCCGCCTGCCGGAGCGATCGGCGCGCTACAAGTTCAGCCTGTCGGCGCTCACCAAGGTGGGAGCAGGAGAGGTCTATGCTGAAGAATCGCCACACTTTACCAACGAAGGTGAGGATCGCTGAAGGACTTCTGCTCATTTTCTCCAGTTGATCATTCTGATGAGTTTTCCTGATTAGGAGGAGAAAAGGAAAGAAATAAGATTCTAGATCAGCTCCTTTGGCCTGAGAAAAGCAGCAGGACTTTTTCCAGAATATGTAGTTTCCATTATTTGACATTGTTAAACATTCAGAAATACATACAATAAAGCCAAATTTTAACCTCCTGCAGATTTAGCTTTGAACTTATTGTCATTGAATCAAGAAGTTTGTTTCTCTCAGAAAAATACAGAATAATATGTATTTATTTGTATTTCATCCAAGATACAATGTCAAAAAGTAATCATAGCTTCTAAATAATCAATTGAGACTTCCCCTTCTTACGAGGCTTATTTTTTCACTGGTTTTTTTATGATTTTCTGACTCATCAGTAGGTTTGGAAGCCCTCTTTGCCATCACCCTAATGATTGTACAGTAGAAAGCTGAAGTCTATAAAAAGCTTTTCAGTCTTACTGACCTAAAGGAAGTTCAGTGAAAAGTCTACAGTTCTTACAGCTGCGCAATACTTCATGTTTTTAGCCTCAAACCTCCTTCTACAAGCTGTAAAATCATGCTTACATCTTCCTTGCTGTTAAGCGTTCCTATTGCCTCCATATTGGCCTGACGAAACGTCCTGCCTCATGTTGATGATCTGAATGTGTTGTGAATTATTCTGTGATTTGATGTTGTTATTTTTTGGGCTTTAGCATAACTTCATGCATGCTTCAGTCATCCACACATGTTTGCTTCCAAAAAGCGTAGAAAAACAAGAACAATTGGACTTTATTCTGCTTGGACTCGTTGGGCCTAGTGTTGCAGTGTTGATGAGAGCCAAACAGAAGGTTCTGACCTGTTTGGGTTCTTCTCTGTAACCTGAGGCGCCAGCTCTAATATATGCAGCAGACAGCTTTGTACCCCTGGGCCCTGATGATGACTCCTCTACTTCATTCCCTTTGACCTAGTTATCCTACTCATTTCTGAGCCGGTGGCATTCTACCTTCTACCTTTGGAGATGAAAAACTCTCATAGAAGAAGAAGGCAAATAGAAGAAATACATTCAGTCAAGATTAAAGGAGCCAAGGTCCAGCCAGGGACCAGTGAGGGACCAGCCAAGGACCAGTGAGGGACCAGCCAAGGACCAGCCAGGGACTAGCAAAGGACCAGCGAAGGTCCAGCCAGGGACCAGCTAAGGTCCAGCCAAAGACCAGCCAAGGTCCAGCCAGGGACTAGCAAAGGACCAGTGAGGGACCAGCCAAGGACCAGCGAAGGTCCAGCCAGGGACCAGCCAAGGTCCAGCCAGGGACCAGCCAAGGACCAGTGAGGGACCAGCCAAGGTCCAGCCAGGGACCAGCTAAGGTCCAGCCAAAGACCAGCCAAGGACCAGCCAAGAACCAGCCAAAGACCAGCCAAGGACCAGCCAAGAACCAGCCAAGGACCAGTGAGGGACCAGCCAAGGACCAGCGAAGGTACAGCCAGGGACCAGATAAGGTCCAGCAAAGGACCAGCCAAGGTCCAGCCAAAGACCAGCCAAGGACCAGTCAATAACCAGCCAAGGTCCAGCCAAAGACCAGCCAAGGACCAGCCACGGACCAGCAAAGGACCAGTGAGAGACCAGCCAAGGACCAGCGAAGGTCCAGCCAGGGACCAGCTAAGGTCCAGCAAAGGACCAGCCAAGGTCCAGCCAAAGACCAGCCAAGGACCAGCCAAAGACCAGCCAAGAACCAGCCAAGGACCAGTGAGGTCCAGCCAAGGACCAGCGAAGGTCCAGCCAGGGACCAGCTAAGGTCCAGCAAAGGACCAGCCAAAGTCCAGCCAAAGACCAGCCAAGGACCAGCCAAAGACCAGCCAAGGACCAGCCAAGAACCAGCCAAGAACCAGCCAGGGACCAGCCAAGGACCAGCGAAGGTCCAGCCAGGGACCAGCTAAGGTCCAGCAAAGGACCAGCCAAGGTCCAGCCAAAGACCAGCCAAGGACCACCCAAGGGCCAGCCAAGAACCAGCCAGGGACCAGCCAAGGGCCAGCGAAGGTCCAGCCAGGGACCAGCTAAGGTCCAGCAAAGGACCAGCCAAGGTCCAGCCAAAGACCAGCCAAGGACCACCCAAGGACCAGCCAAGAACCAGCCAAGGACCAGTGAGGGACCAGCCAAGGACCAGCGAAGGTCCAGCCAGGGACCAGCTAAGGTCCAGCAAAGGACCAGCCAAGGTCCAGCCAAAGACCAGCCAAGGACCACCCAAGGACCAGCCAAGAACCAGCCAGGGACCAGCCAAGGACCAGCGAAGGTCCAGCCAGGGACCAGCTAAGGTCCAGCAAAGGACCAGCCAAGGTCCAGCCAAAGACCAGCCAAGGACCACCCAAGGACCAGCCAAGAACCAGCCAGGGACCAGCCAAGGACCAGCGAAGGTCCAGCCAGGGACCAGCTAAGGTCCAGCAAAGGACCAGCCAAGGTCCAGCCAAAGACCAGCCAAGGACCACCCAAGGACCAGCCAAGAACCAGCCAGGGACCAGCCAAGGACCAGCGAAGGTCCAGCCAGGGACCAGCTAAGGTCCAGCAAAGGACCAGCCAAGGTCCAGCCAAAGACCAGCCAAGGACCACCCAAGGACCAGCCAAGAACCAGCCAGGGACCAGCCAAGGACCAGCGAAGGTCCAGCCAGGGACCAGCTAAGGTCCAGCAAAGGACCAGCCAAGGTCCAGCCAAAGACCAGCCAAGAACCAGCCCAGGTCGCATAAATGAAAGTGGAGAAATTTTGAATGTCTACTACTGTAAGGCAAAATATCACCAAAAGAAACAAAACTTTCTAGTAAATTTGACCTTTTTCTTTCAGAGGAAACTAGGGTAAAATCCAGGGGAAAAAAAACATCCATAAGAAAATCCCATCCCTGGCACCAGCTCTTGTGCATATTTATAAATAATCTAAAATAAAATCAGCTCTCCATTTTATTCACTGTATAGTGTCTTACAACAGTTGTCCTTCCATCTAAAAGCGTGTGACCTGTCCAGCAGGATGGTTTCCAGTTGGCTGGCTGATGACTGAACCCAGCTGATTGGTTCATTTCTCACACCAGAGACTTGGTTTAAAACCATGTTGTTCTTCCTTCCTGTTTTACCCACAGCTTTCCTTTGTCCTTTGTGTCTCTGCAGAAAACTTTACTCATGCTACAGATGTAGGTAATGGGGAACATAATAACAGTCTCTCTGACCATTGCCACCCAACACTGACTTCTATTATCCCTGTCCAGAACAACAGCAGCAGTGCAGTCACCGTTCTGTCTCACTCTGTTCACAGCAGCATGAGATTCAATTGGCTCCTATTTTACTGCTATAAAGGAAACCGGTAAATGTGCAAAGTCACATTTTCAAAAGTTTAGAAATGGTCAAATTCTTGGTTCACACGACAAGACAACTGTGCCTTCCGAGAGGCCCGGGCTTATCGTGCTGCATGTGTATGGTTAAGAGTGATCGGGTCTGCTCGGAAGGCTGTTGGGATTATTCCCTTCCCAAATCAGGGAGGTCCACCAGGCAGCTGATCAGAAAGCGGTTCCATATGAAGGGTTTGTTTATTAATGCTCATTTACTAGGAAATCATGTTTGGTGAGCTTTACTATCTAATGAGATCTGCTAATGTGTGGTGTGTTGTGCTCGCCCTCTAAGTCTCCAAACCAAACAATAGAACGAACCAGTTGTAGCTCCAATTCTTTATCTTCATATGTGGGCTGTCTGAAGATCACCTGAAAACTTGAACATCTAATATCGTGCGGACCAGCCTCCACTGGCTAAATCAGGCCCGCCAAAGTCGGCCCTTGATGGCCGCTGTCCTGCAGGTTTTCAAAGGCCGTTTCTCAATTTACAAGAACGTGATTATGGACTAATGTTCTCCCCAGGTACGTTTTTGACAACAAAATAGGAAATCTGGACTCAGGTAGAACGGGAGCACGCAGCATAAATCTGGGTCAATTGGAACAGAAGCGTACTGATGACATCACCACATTCAAAGCTAGTCTGGAGCTGCATATCATTAGCCTGACGTCGTCCTACTCCATTCTAGTCAGAATCTGAGTCTGATGCTGCTCCATAGAGCTGTGATTATGGGGCGTGTTTTGAACGAACCAGGAAAAAAAATGCGTCTGCACTCAATTGGATAGACCTACGACCAATAAGAGCAACGGAGTGCGTGACGTATGTTAAGCAACGCATAGTTGTTGTCAACAAAAATCAAAGCGTGCAGTTGCACGCCTAGAATAAGAAGATGAGCCTTGATCGCGTTTCTCTGTTCCTCTTTTAAAATTAATTTGCTGTCGGTATCTTCTAGAACAGACCTAATAGCAGAATCTACTCACCTCAACTCTCCAGCGGCAGCCATTGTTGTTGTCACCCAAGCGCGCTTTGGTCACGTGGTTGATTACGTTACTGTTGATCATCTGTCCATCATCGTATAAAGCCCGCCCTGACAATTTGATTGGATCGCCAGAGGGTGGGCGATCATACTCACGCTACTATGGAGCAATGCCAGACCGAACTTCCCGACCTCAAACTTTGTGGGCGGGACTAAGTTCGGAATGGCACCCAGGCTAGCATTTCATGTCCTGTTATTAATAGTCTCTAGATAATAATAAATGATGACTTTCTTCATTTATTGGGGGAATAATGATGAACACAGTCAGATAAACACAAATGAAATGAACATTTTGCTAAATAAAACTAAATAAATTGCCATCAGAGCCAGCGGTACTTTACACGCGGCTATGCAGGAAGAGGGCTGCTGCAGACGGGTTAACGTTAGTCCACTCAACATTTATTTAACACTTATTTAATGCGTAATTTTTTCAAAATTACGCATTAAATAAGTAAATGGGCCATATAGTGAAAATTTAAGTGTAATGTACTCGTCTCAAATGATCTTAAAATGTACTTTCATTGAACAACAGCAACAGAAAAGAGAACTTTTAACTTAATACTCTGGGACATGCTGGGACAGCTGTCAGTCTGGAGAACGGACAGGTCTGCTCTGATGCATGCTGGGTAAAGAGGGAGGGGCCAGAACAACATCCATGGACGTTTGTTCGTTCTCGGCCTGCTGTTTATGCGAATCTGAACAGTACTAGTGCTGAGGCTGATGAGGTTTCACAAGGACACGAGGACGCACAAGTAAACAGATCGAGAAACAGCCAATGTGAAGATGCATTTCAGCAAAGGCCTGCTAATCAGCTATCAATGGAAATCAGATGTGCTAAAGCAGGAAACCTCTAAAACCTGCAGGACAGTGGCCTTCCAGGACAGACTTTTGGTATCCCTTATCTAAATAGAATCCAGCCCAAAATATGGAAGAATTTAATAAGAGGAAAAAGGCAGAATAACCCTTGGAAACATGGAAATTTCAGATTAGGAGCAATGCACTGAAAGGCTCAATGAGCACAGAGTGCTTTGGTAAACTCACTGAAAGCCCATCAGTATGGAAAAGAGTGAAAAGCAGAATATTACAGCCCCGTCTTCATCTCACGTTTGATGCACTGCTGCTGCTGTATCCTCTCAGGAATCCAACGGGCATGATGTGCATTCATCCTTTTGTTTGCATTTCATCGTGCATAATTTACACTGCAGTTACTGGAACAGTGCCACCTAACGGTGCATCTGTGCAATGCAGCCTCAGCGTTGCATCACAGCCTGCTGCTCATAGATGCAAGGTAACCCTGTGTAGCTACCAAAGGGTTTTCTGCCGCTGCCTTTTGTAGCTACAGCAGGAAATAAAAACCGCTGCATCAGAATACACATCCAGGAGCCGGTGTGTTTGAAGTATGCAGGTTGAAGGGAACACTGACGTAGCCGATGTTTGGACTGCTTGGTTTTCTTGGTTTTGAGCTTTTGCACATCTGCCATAATGTCATGTTTAAGGCTCACCACGGTTCCGTGAATCATTAGCACCTTCTGGCTGTAATGAAGCATGAAGTCTTTCCATGAAATGGTCTCCACCTCTGAGCTTTCGACTGCAGGAGCTTTGGGACATGTTGTTTTAGGGACATGCATGAAGTCCATGACAGCCGCATGCTGCCTGAGGTTTGGGGTGTTTTTGTTTTGCTGTGGTCTTTGATGCAGACATTTGCACTGCCAAGATTTGACTCTACATGATCACTAATCACAACAAGGGAACGCATCTAATTCAGACATATACGTACATCTCCTTCTGGAGACTCTTTATATGAGAGAACAAAGATCTTTGTTCAGATCAGTCAAAAGTTGTTCCAACACGATATCTGCCATAAATGCTTTCATTTATCAGATCCAGAGTCGTCCCTTCTGTCTTCCACAGCCTGAGGCTTATCAAACCCAGCGCACAGGTCTGCAGACTAGGGTTGTCAAAAGTATCGATATTCAAAAAAGTATCGATACTGAAATGTTGTATCCGGATACAATACTCGTTTTTAAAAGTATCGATACAGTGCCGTCACCAGTGGCACCTAAACAGTCATTCATCTAAAGTGCAGAATAGAGGAAAATGCACTTTCTGAACACTGTGTGATTGAATAATTCTACGCACTTTTCAGTTTCAGACTTTTGTTTTGTAAGAGGTGCAGCTGCTGAGAATTATTTTTGTTTCTTAACCGGTTTGGCCGGTGTCATTGTTATGTGTGCAAAGCATAGCCAAGGAAGGAACACTTAATTTTAATTTTGTAAGGTTTTTATCAAGCTTCTTAATATTGTGCACAGCATACAACCTTTATTGTATTTTATTTATTAATGAAAATATTTCTGTAGAATTTTGGAGTCTTTGTTTTTATCCTTGTGGTATCGAAAATGGTATCGAGTATCGAATATTTTCCTTAGTATCGGTATTGAGTTGAAAAGTTTAGTATCGTGACAACCCTACTGCAGACCTCTTCAAAGTCAAACAACAGGTCACATTTAGGATCTTTGGGAATTTCTCATGTGTTTGACACCAGATGCCCTAATTATAAAAATAGGGAATGAACTATGGTTGAAATAATTAATCAGATTAATCAATTATTGAAATAATTGCCGACTCATTCAGCAATCAATTAATCGTTAACTGGAGTACAGAGACTGTAAAACATGCCTTTAGCTAACAGAGAAACCCACTTAGAGCAGGAATTATACCAAAAGTGTAATAAATATATGAACATTTTGCATTAAAGATTAAAAAAACATTGTGGTCTGTCAATATGCTCTATCCAGAACTCCACAAGTGGAAACATTTTAGTTTCACCTGGTTTAATTTCTTAAAAAGGAACCTTTGGCTATCTGATTAAAAATCTATTAATTGAAAAAATAATCAACAGATTGATCGATTTGCAAAGCAGTTATTAGTTGCAGCCCTAGTATGAAGCCAGGTGTCCTGCATAGTCAGACACTATAACCACTTCAACGAGGAAACCCAACGATATGATAAAGCCATAAAATGTCCTTATACTAAAAAATCCTCAGTCACATTTTAGTGGGATTATGACAAAATGAAATTCTTTCTGAACACAGGACCATCCTCTGCCATAGATGAGAAACGTGTATTACTGGAGTTTAACCCCTAGATAGCAGCAAAGCTCAGTCCTGTGGTCAGGACTGAGGATGTCTGAAGACTGACTTCTCTGCTGCAGAACACCTAAACATGACTGTTGAATTAAATGACCTTGGAGGAAAATATTATTTGGAAGTTTAATCTGATTTTAAAGAGGAAAACATCTATAGGAAATTGTTAATCCTAAGGACCAGAAATAAGACACTCACAGTCCAAAACTAGTTTTAACCAATCAGGACTACTCCTACCTCTGACCTTTACCTAAACTTAATTAACAACATATCTTTAACCTGACCTCCTCAAATAAACAACAGACTTTTTATGCCTGAACTCTGACGATAATCTTAAACCTAACCTAGTGCACACCTACCCCTATCAGGAACCTAAACTTAATTCACACATCCGTCCCAAACCTAACCGTTAGCACAAACAAGGTGAAGACCAGCAAAATGTCCTCACATTGATGGTTAAATCAGAAACATGGCCCTCAATCTGATGCTAAAACAGGAGCAAACAACCCGCCCCGCACACTTTGAGACAAATACCCATGTTTAAGAACTTTCATTGACTTTTATTCATGTTTAAGGTTAAGCATCGACTGAATTATAAAAATTTGATTCCTCTTTTTGAATCCAGTTTCTATTGACTCTTGATGCCAATTCTTTTAAGAAGAAGAATCAGAAAATTTTCCAAGTTACAAATTAGCTAAATGAGGTCTGGATAAAACAGTCTGGACGTCTCAATGAAAGTTATTTCTTTAAAACATCTAATTGTGTTAGGGATGCACGATATTGGGATTTTGGCCGATATCCGATATGCCGATATTTTAAAACTCATGTAGCCGATAACCGATATCGATACCGATGTTAAAGCTGGACAAAAATAAGTAGTCATTGAAAATAGCAGCTTTGTTATCCATTTCTGACACTTTGAAAAATAATATACTCAAATATATTTTCATATGCTGATATCAAATAGATTTTTAAAAACGCGGTATCGATCTATTTTACTTTCAAAATCTCGTGAAATTTCATCGTTCGGTTACAAACTCTCGTGATATTTAGCAAATTCTTGTGAGATTTTGTTAGTAAAATAGATCGATACCGCGTCAATATATCAACATATAAAAATATGGCAACATTTTGTGAATTTTCGGGGGATTTTGTAGCATAACGATGACATATAGCAATATTTCATTAGTAAAAGAGATTGATATGGTGTTTTTAAATGGCAATATATCAGCATATGAAGATATTGGGATATTTTAATGGATCAATATTTTTTCCCTCGTCTTTAGAAGTTTTTAAGTCTGTAAAAAAGAAGTTTTTGAGGAAGTAGAAGAAGTAGTATTTTATTTTATTTTTTTAGACTTTAGAAACTCAGAAGCTGATCAAATATCGGGTTAAATATCGGTGGGGTGGCCGATGTCCGATATTCAGTTTTAAGGCCGATACCGATAGGGGGCCCATTATATCGTGCATCCCTAATTTGTCTGATTGTTACCATAAATTGTCACATAGTTTTTTTCAACCAGTAAATAAATATCAAACGTATAAAATCTGTTATATTCTTATTAATTTTATTCAAACAACCTCAACTTTCACATGGAGCTTTCTGTTTGAAAACATGATCAAAGCTACAGTGTGTAATTATAACTTTACTGACATAAATGTAACGTATCCATACATATGTTATGATAATCCTCCACGGAATGAAAGTGTCAGTCTTTATGTTTGCGTTGCCTTTTATATTGCTATTAATAATTGCACTGGAGCGGGTCTTACATCAATGGAGGCAGACATCTTTGGTCTACCGCAGCGCACCACAGAGGGACTGTAGAGATCGCCGATAAGCTTGAATGTGGCTGCGTCAAGTTAGGCCTCTATACCATCTATATCCCACTCTGACAAATAAAAAACTATTTATAAAACGATCTATGTGAACAAGGCTCGTCATCATTTGACAGGATTGGTGATGCAGAGATTTTCTACCCTGCCTCCGTATTGCTGGAGGGGGCGAAACGGTTCATGCACTGATATCTGCAGTCTGACCAACAGGCTTTTAGCTAGCAATGCATACCGGCGTACATTCTACGGCCTTTACTAGAAATATTAAAAGTAGTACGCACTGTTTTTGGGATGTACGGCTTTGGTACGCCCTAAATTTTTCCCCAGGAAAATTTGGTTAAATGTTCAAAATTTGCTGATCCGTTCTTCATCGGGCTGCCATCTTTAATTCCTAACCTAGTCTAATACACTCTCGCGCTAAGCTCATATCTTGTGAATCGTGAATACGTGAGCCTGTACACCTAAATTCGGCCAATCAAAAATCAACGGTCATCTGTCGATCAAATGTTTTCGGTCATAGCATCTTGATTCATGTGTCGCAGCTAATATACGCAATGGTTGAAATCAGAATCCTTTTCTTTCCCATTGAGTTGCGTCCCAGTGTTCACGGGGATGGACGTCTGTGTCTTCGGCAGGTGTAGAGCTAACAGAACTGGCAGCGTTGCGAGGCAAGGGCTCAAACATGGACGGCTGTAAACCAAGCTTCTGCCGCCCTGGCGTCCTCTTCCACAACATCTTCGTCCCCGCTTTTCTCCTCTAAATAAAAAATGGATGACGGAGGAGACTCATCCACGACCTCCGACACTAAACTCTCCTCCTCTTGCATGTTTCCGCTGTCCATAGCGTTCCTTGACAGCGTCGTTTCTAAGTCACCAATTTAGTGCTACTTGGTCCCAATGGAATTTCCCATTGGGAACCTACTAGCACTAAGTTGCTAACTGGTTAGCAACCAAACTTGCTTGTGATGCTTCCGCCACAACAATCCCCCCCAATCCCCTTGATAATCGACCAATCACATTCAATTTATACACTCGTGTCGGGCACCACTCGGGAGAATTTGGAAATGCAACGGTTGGAACAGCCGCTTCCCTACGACTTTTAGTTGTTTGAACGAACCTATGAAAAATATTATTGTACCTAAAAGTGATCTCATGTTTTCCTTATGAAATTTCCACCTCTAGTCAAGCACACATACTTCTCTTCATCAGGACAAAAGTAGGGTCGGAACGAAGACAAAAAGTTAGCTGCATTCTACCTCAAAATGCAGGAAATAGCTTATAAAGTGTTTCAGAGATTATTTTCTGGGGGACGACACCCTACAATGCTACGCTGTGCAAATTCTAAAGAAGTGTTACATCAAGGTCTACACTCTATGAAATATTACTAGCTAAAAGCCTGCTGGCCATAAATGTAGCTAAAAATGACACACTGTAACTATCAAACACATTTCCATACATACAGTGTTTGAGGCTGCCATTAGTTATGGTGTAGGAGGCAGTGTTGTTATTTTATTTAGCTGATTGTGACTGCGGTGGGTGCCAGACTGAGTGTCTTAGCCGGAGGAAAAGAGCAGCAGAAAGGCATCCATATTCTCTCAGCATGGTTTATTAGCAGGTGTGAGTGTTTGGCAGTTGTGTTGGATGTTCTTACTGCCTTGTGTTTAACTCTCTGCTCTCTCCTTCTTCCTTCCCTTGTAGTTGAGCTAACGGACGCCACCCTGTCTTCTGCTTTCTCTCCTACTCCTACTCCTTTACCTCCTCTTCCTCCTACTGACATCCCTCCTACAAAAAGTAATGCTACTACTATTTCCCCTCTACCAACTACCACTTCCACAACAACAACTACTACTACTACTACCACTGAGGCAACTACAACCACTACAACTCCTCTGCTGGTCCCCACCAAACGAGTTGATCAGAATGTGTTGGGTACATGTTGGTATTTCATTGGAATTCTTAATACTTTCTGAAGACCTCTCTGGATATCACTTCATAGATATAAAAATATGGTGGCGTTCTCCCACCTGACAAAACAGGAAACTATATCAGGGCTGCATCCTGATAGGCTGTGCTCTGACTGTTGCACTACAAGCAGACATGTTTTGCAGAATATTGGGATGTAGCCAACAGCAGTTCTCCTGGTCAGGAGGTGAGAAACCAAACTCCTCTGTTAAACTGATGGTTTGGTTTAGCTTTAGTTATTGGAGGTACTTTTTCTTGCAATTGATATTTAGCTCCAAGTTCAATAATGATTATGAGAGTAGCTGGAACCACTCTTTAGATCAGTGTGGGCATTTCTAGTGCCTGAGTGCTGGTATCCTGCAACTTTTAGATTCACCCTTGGTCTAACACACCTGACCCAGGTGTGCCTTTTGCAACCTCAGTATTCAGTCGGTCCCTCCAGGGTCCTCTGAATTATCTAATTACTTGATTCAGGTGTGTTGAACCAAAGGCATATCTAAAAGTTGCAGGATAATGGCCCTTAGGAACTGGAATTGCCCACCCCTGTATTTAGATCTTTTTACATTTGTTTGAAAGATTATGTTTTATGACTTGATAAATCCAGTAGTAGCCCTTCTCAGACTGTGCATTCAGTCTGCAATTTAAATGTGTTTTTTTACACCTCATGATTAACTAAAGACACAACATGGAAATGGGGGAGTCCAACCTTGGAAGTAGCAACAGTGTTGGCACAAGAATGAGCTGCAAGGGTAGAGTGGCATTCTTAGAAGGCCGTTATATGATAGATAGCAGCAAGTCTGTAGCTCCAAAGAAGACAGCGATGCTGCAGGAACCTGCAGTATCCCACTAAACTTATTGAGGTGAAGATGATAATAGGTTTTTTGTTATCGACAGGGCACAATAATGTTTCTTGCACTGAATTGCATTGGTGATATAACATGAGAATGATGCCTGCAAAGACTGTTTTGCAACTTTTAACTCCAGCGAGTAAAAGAACAGCCATGACCACCGTCTTTGTCCATCACTGGTTACAAGATACTCCTAGAATTCATTTTAAAAACGTACCGCTAACTTTTATGACTTGGAATCAGAAAGTTTAAAGCCATCTCTGTGCTGTTAGAGCCTAAAGGTGCGTTCACAATTAACATGACCAATTTTCCATGTGGTTCTCCTGGTGTTGGTTCCTTGACATTTCGCCCTTCTCTCACCAGCAATGCATATGGACACTGCAATAAAACTTGCTCCTGTTTACTGCACTGCCTCAGCAAATAAAATGAACGTCTATCCACTTATTGGTTTCTGCTGACCTTGTGGGTCCTTGATTTTACAGAGCGAGTCACGGTGCTGTATGTGATAGGGAGAGCTGGACAGCCTTCAACATTGTTGATTGCTGATTGGTCGCCTCAGCAGTACTTCCATCTGTCCAGGAACCCAGTATTAGGAGTTCCTGTACTGTGATGGTTACAGCAGCTCTGACATAAGCTTGACATGGCCGATTCTCAATATTCCTACTTGTATGTTCTTGTGTGCTCGTGAAACTTAATAAGTCGGATGTTGTTCTGGCCCCTCCCTCTTTACCGAGCATGCATCAGAGCAGACTTGTCTGTTCTCCAGATGGAGAGCTGTCCCAGCATGCACTGCAGCAGCAGCTTCCAGTATTAAGTTCTCTTTCCTATTGCCCTTGTTCAATAAAAATATATTTTAGGATAATTTAAGGTGAGAACATTATACTTTAAGCTTAATTATATGGCCCATTTTCTGACTTAGTGCGTAATAAAAAAAAAGTTCAGATGTTGAGAGGACCGTGGAGGTCCAAGGCTAACAGCAGCCAGGGCTAACGTTAGCTCGTCTGCAGCGGCCAGGGCTAACATTAGCTCGTCTGCAGCGGCCAGGGCTAACGTTTGTCCGTCTGCAGCGGCCAGGGCTAACGTTAGTCCGTCTGCAGCGGCCCTCTCTCTGCATAGCCATGTGTGAAAGACCGCTGCCTCTGATGGTGTTTTTCTTTTTTTATATTTGGCAAAACATTAATTTGATTTGCGTTTATCTGACTGTGTTTATCATTATTCCCCCACTAAATGAAAAGTCATAATTTATTATCTAGAGACCATTAATAACAGCAGGTGAAATGCAGCTCCAGACTAGCTTTGAATGTGGTGATGTCATCAGGATTCTTCTGTTCCAGTTGACCCAGATTATTCTGCGTGATCCCGTTCTCCCCAAGTCCAGACTTCACTGGGTTCTTGTCAAGAACAGACTTGGTGAGAACACGAGTCCGTACTCGCGTTCTAGTGAATTGAGAAACGACCTTTGTCTTTTCTTCTTCTTCACCCTACATCACAACCACAGTCCAAGATTGGTTAATGTGACACGAACTGACAGAAAAATTCTGACTTTCGAACTCCGGTGAAATTATGCTTTGCAGTATCTGCATTTCCACAGCATAGATTGTGGTTTTGCTCTGCTTTAACCACACAATTTGCTCCATTTTCATCACTCAAACGCAGTCCTTTGCATCTCACACCATTGAATTTAAATGCATCCTTACCCAAAGATAACATGTAAATCACTCTACTTGCCGCTTTCATATTGATTGTGAACGCACCTTTACACAATGGCTCAAACCCTTGGGGGAGGTAAATAAAATATATTTTGTACCTTAGACCAATTTAAAAACCTGTGAAGACTATACTGACAGAGTTGAGGCTTTTATAAAGGAGCAGAAGACTTGGAGAGTCTTAAGGTTTGTCATTTCATTACTTTTCTGATACAATTTGTAAAAGATGAACTCTCACGGTTCTGGAAAGGGCTAGTAACTGGAATCACTCTACAATCAAAACCATTCAGGGCAGACTCCCTCAGTATTGACTCCAACTATAGCTCCAAACTGAGAACTTTGCCGCTGTGCCCTTTGCTTCTGACCTTAAAACCCTTTTCCCCCAACCTGTGTACCAGCCCCTCGGAGAGAGATCTGGAATCTGACGGTGGTCCCTAACAGTTACTATGCTAACGTCAACTGGAGTCACAACTTCCCCGCTGACATCAAGTTTGTTGTAGAGGTCATTCTGGACAGTAAGACACAAAGCCTGTGCTTAAGCTATACAAACACCCAACATCCATCTGAGTTTCCTCATTTCAGAGGGAACTCTTTATAGTGACGGCACACAGAGCTCTAAAATGGTCCAAACACTTTAGGGTGAAATTTAAACCCCCTTCATTACAAGGGTTTTGGTATTGATGCAGAAATTGCTGTGCATTATGATTTACAAATGTGTACCTTACCTTATTTCTGACTGTTTGGCACTAAATCTAACTAAAACTGGGTCTCTCTTTGAGTTATGATATTTATTGTTTACAAAAGAAAAAAAAACTAAATCGAAAAACACATTTAGGAACATTTATAAGTAGCAGTAAGAACTGCCTTTTAAATGCTATGGCTTGTGTAGATTGGCTTTTAGCAACCACTGAATAATAATTCTGACTATTTATTCAGACAAATATCAATAAATAGGGATATCCCGATCTTGAGATCGGATCGGCCTGATGTTCTCCTAATTTCTGGTGATCGGAGCTCGGCTACATTAGCTGACGAGTCGTGACAATCTTTATTGGCGGTTGATGGTTGACGGTAGCTGTAAATACAAACCTCTGCTGCGGTGCAAAGCAAGCATGTCAGAAGTTTTGTAATATTTTACTCTCACGAGTGAAGACTGTCCTAAAGCTACTTGCAGTGTGTGCAACATGGCAATTTCAAGAGGAGTTAGCGGCAGAGCTACATTTAACACCACAAACTTGATTCATCATTTGAGTACAAATCAGGACAAAGTGCATGAAGCATTTTGTGAAGTTGCAGATGGAAAGGTTGCTAAAGCAAACCTTTACCCCGTCTATTCATTCTAGCTAATCTGAATCGTTCAATTCCATTTGGAGAGCGAGATCATCTGTGGTAGCAGCACTAGACATCTTCCAGACATGAGAGGAAAACTAGCAGCAGTTCAGCGGACAGGATGAATGATCGGTAGCCGGCGCGCACGGATGATTATTAGCTCAATTGGACAATTGTGTTCACAAGATTTTAAATCTATGTCAGTTTGAATTTTAAACACTGGGGACATTTTTGGTATCGCTAATCTTTTTGTGAAAGTAAAAAAAATTGTTATTAGGTTTTATCGGGTTTCGTGCAAATGTACACATTTGTAAATCACACAAATGTTTTGCTGTAAGAATTTTTTGATATCAAAAGACAATGAAATAATTGGATTTATTGAGATTTGATTTATAAGAATGTGGGATGAGGGGATTATTTTCTATGCTGTTGAACCCGCCTCTATGCTGCTCCAAGTTCTCTGTGCCGTTTCTGTTCATGCTGCTGCCTGGTTAGGAATGAGCTGCTTTAGGCTTTACGTGAGCTGCTGTTTGAACATGCCGCTGTTCTGACCAACCATGTCGCATAGATGTTTTGTTGTCTGGAACTTTTAGCTTTCTGACACACATTTGTTCATTGAATGCAACGTTCGGACGTTAAACCACCATGCCAGTGACTTCTGATTCAACAAGTAGAAACACGATGAACATGGAGCAGCTCTGGTTAGATAATAGAAACAATAAATAACACTGACTACGCCCTGGCTTTCTTCCATGCTACTCTCCATTGTTTATGTTCCTGATTTCTGTCGCACTGGTGACATCAACGCAAACCCAGCATGATGATGTCACCAGACATGCAGCTGTGGGGGGAGCTGCCAGAAAGGTGTTAGACCCAGATTATTTAGCCATTGGGAAGGGAGCCAAACGCTGATGCGAGTCGATCCATGTTTGAAAAACACGTGTTAACCTGCTATTTTCATGGGGAAAGAGGCTTATGTTTCATTCTCGTAAAAATCTTTTTACTCGTGATTTAAACTTATATTGTTTAAATGAGAAACAGACATAAATTTTAAATGATTTACATTATTGACTTTTTCACACATCCTCCCATACCTTTTTATTGACAGTCATTTTACTCCATATTTACTAAATTATGACAAATTCGATTGATGCAGAAAAGTTTATGAAGACCTTTCCACTCACAGGAAAAAGACATTTATCTGTTTTAAATTATTTCTGGAAACAAAAACTACGGAACAGTGAACTGTTCTCAAGCTTCAAAAATCTCCCCGGATTAAAATAGTTATTTAGAAAATCCGGTGGTGGTAACTGTTTTGAAATACTGTTCCTCATACGGCATTGCCTCACCAGTCTGCAAAATGGCCGTCACAAGGACATTCAGCAGCTGGTATGCTGGATTATTTAAAAAGATATGGATTAAAGGGGAAGGCAGGTTTAAATCGCTCGCTCATGTTTGACTGTTTTCCAGCCAAATGCAAAAGCTTGACCTTAGTTCATCCTAATTTAGCTTTTTTTGGTTTTGTTTGTGGTTGTCTGCTGGAACCTTAGAAATTTGCCATAGAAAGAACTTGTTTCTCATAAAAACAATCATTTATATCTTCATTTTTCAGTAAAATGTATGCTTTATTCTGCACCACTCTATGTATTCTCTGATATAGTTTTTATTTATGTTTTTTATAAGAGAGTTGTAGCTATGGCCTTTAAGTTTAGGGTTTTATTAGCCACCATGTTGAGAGTTAACCCAGACTTTATCCACCTAGATCAGAACCTTAATAGAAATTTAGACCTATTATAGTCTTTTCATTGTGCAGCCCGGCCACCTCTTCTACAGAGAGGGTTGCTTAGTGAGTTAACAATGAACAAGAGCATAAAATAAATGTTTGTTAACGAAAAGCTGCTGGTTTCCTCATTATTAGTGAAGATTTGCTTCTAATTGGTGCTTTCTTTTATTTCACCACTGGAAAGCTTCTAGTGTCGCACTGTAATGGGTCGGTGGTTCACCTTTCTTCTCTGGATGGGAAAATAGGATGAAGCTTTGCTGTATTTGGGCATTTTTAATCCTAAATGGAGTTCGGATCTAAGCTGATGGAAAAAGACAAAGTGGATGAAAGTGAAATGATGGGATTGACTCGCTGCTTTCCAAGGTCAAGCCAGAAAGCTTTGACTGGGAGAACCTGACGCCTCCTTCATCCCCTCATCTCATCACCTCCCCGCCATCTTCCTGCCTGGGAAGAAGTTCTGAATTCTGGTCTGTGGGATGATGTCGGATAAGAGATTATTTTCATCTGGATGAAGGGAAGATGTCTGCTTTGTCCTCCACTTTCACAAGGTCGATTTGGTTTTATTAGATCCAGAAGCGTAAAGCTTTTCCCAGCCTTGTTCAAACAGCACCGCTGACTCTGCGTGTTTGCATGTAGTCTGCATGTCTTCTTTGTGTGCAGCAGACATCGTTTGGCTTGTTTCAGGACCAGCATGCTTAGAACGGCTTTGAACTGGTTTGGTCTGATGACATTAAGCTTTTCACTGGTTACCGTCACGACACCATTTGTCCTCAGCTTAATTTCCCTTCTATGTTCTTCTCATTTCTGGTTTAGTCTAATAAATCAGAAGTTGTGAGAATAATCAATATTGCTTTGCCACATAGATCCTTTATTAATGTCTAGGAAAGCTGGAAGGCACCTGAACTATAGTAGCTGTTTAATGGGCCTTTGGTAGATTTGATCTAACCTGTTTTATTTGGTCAAAAGAACTTGAGGAAGTCTTCTGGACGGGTTTTTCATTAATAAGATATTTAATTTCCCCTCCAGAAGACTAAAGAAGGGTTTTTTTCTTTCTCTGTCTGGATTATTGATTGGATTATTTCCTTAAAATTATCTGTTTCATTCCAGCTTTCTCTGAAAATGAAGCCTTTAGAAACAGTTATCTTTAAGAAGAAATGCTTATTATTTATTTGTTTGATTTGACTCATTCAGCTTAACTAAACATCCATCCTAAAGGTTTTAATTAAAACCTTTGCTTCTAACTCTGATGGCAATGCATGGTTGTCTGGCTCAGTCCTGTGAATCTCTGGGCCTTTCAAACAGTCTCTCCTCTTGGTGATCTCTATCGTTCACGGCCGTCGGCTCCGTTCAGTCACAGTCACACCTCTGGAGTGTGATCGGCACCTTTCTTGTGTCCCCAAGGCAACAACACAAAGACTTTTGAAGAAGTTAAAAAACCACCGGTTCATTTAAAGGCTCTGATTGCTGGGGAGACGTACCACCTGAGGGTTTACTCCCAAGAGCTGAGCAGCGTCAGCAGCGAACCCGTCATCTTTAAAACCAAAGCAGGTGAGATGACACCTGCTTCCAGCCACGTGGGCCCATCCCAATGCATTTCTATCAGTAATGTCCGGCACAGCTGGGAGAGTCATTGTAACTCTTCTCTTTTCTATCTGGTTTGTTCCTTCAAAGATACATTTCTGTTTGATCTGATGTAACTTTTTATGTCATCCTTTGGATAAATGTCTAATGAAATGTGAGGCAATGTAAGTACCATACCTGCTCGGGGCCCCGTCCCTTCTTATGACATGATCATATGGCAACTCCACTCGGACAAACTGTAATGCACCCGTTTCTTAAGGATCAGATCTCTTCTTGAGTCTCAACATATTATTACCTGTATTTGCTATGATCTTACATTTTATTGGCGATTTAAAGTAGCCAAAAGTAGAAAACCATCATTGTCAGTCTGGAAAGTACTGCGTTCTAAGACAGACTGAGCTCTGCTATTTAACAAAAACAGTCTCAGTTTATTTTTATTCTTTTCATGAACCGGAACTGAAAGGTGAGGGGAAGACACCGCGGTTAGTTCAAGGTTCAGTGGGAGAATTGATTCTTGAACTTGAAGAGGAGAAAAGGTTGGAAGACTCACGTTTCCAGAGATTAGGTTGACTCTTAGACATCAGTAGGTGAGGAATGTGTTCCGGTGTTAGTCTCAAACGGTGGAGGGCGGACAGGGTTACCCAGAATGCGGTTGCTTGTAGGTGAATAGAGAAAAACTGACTGCCACTCAGATTTCCTGCAGTACTTGAACGGACTGTTGCGCAGATGAATCCCTTGCTCAGTGTGAAGCTCAAACGTTTCCTCGGGGAAAAGTGGATCCAAACCTCCGGTTTGTTTCCTCAGCTCAGTTTGAAGCTCAGTTGTTCCTTCCAGGGAGAGAAGGTCCGAAAAATCCAGTTCCTGCCGAGAGGCAGAGTCAAAAAACAATGTTAAGACTCAGGTTGACAAAAACTCAGCTTGGCTAGAGCACCCAAAACTGGCAAACACTTTGGCGTCGAGGTAGTGGCAGTCAGCAGCTTTCATACATTTTTAAAAATGTATGAAAAAGATAGAATATATTTTATTGTTTGTTTCTTTTAATATAGTGTGAAGAAGAACAAAACACCGTTTCATTATTTATCTTTTCCAATGCTGTAAAAATTTGCATATACACAAATATAAACATTTCTATCAACAAAGATTTGCGTCATAGCCTGTGACACACTGCCAGGCAGGTGGCTGTTGTAACCCAACCGATGGGTCCACAGTAACTGATTAATAGCGTCTTTTTTTCATTTATATTATCTACTTACATCATCCAAAGGCTGCTGTTGCAGGCCGCATTTTATTGCACTGTTACCCAAATAAGGAGGGGAAGAGGATTGTATTGTTACGTTGGTTTGAAGACGACTGCATTTTATTTCCACATGGAGGTTTTTGAAATGACAGGAGTCCAATTATGCACATTCCATATAAATCCTCAAAATAAAAATAACACCAAAAATCATATTTTTTTATTGAATACTAGTGGTGGGCATAGATTAATTTTGTTAATCTAGATTAATCTCACTGTAATCTTGGAATTGATCTAGATTAAAATCGTTCATTTGAATGATGAGCAGTGTGTCGCAGTTAGCTCATAATATGTGTGCGCTAACAGGTTTACTTTTTATATGTTTGCAAAATCACTTGTAATTTTGTCTTCTCACTGAAGATATTGTAAGTTATAAATACTTATTTTGCTCATTTGTTTCTGTGTTTTTGCTGAAAAAAATAGAGTGTCCCCCTTCCAATTATAACTGTCCCACTTTAACAATGTAGTGTCTCCAAAACACGTTGCCTCGATCAACTTCTCATCTTTCGCAGCTTTCTCCATGGCGTGCTGGTCGTGTATTCTCCTCATGATGGTTCATCAGGTAGTGTGTAAGATGGGTCACCTGTGGCCGCCTGGAGCATGAGCTCTAGCGCAACTTGTTGCGATGCACTGAGAGAGGAGATCATTAGCTCGGCTGATAGAGTTGTTCTAATAGCTGAATCCATGTCAGGACGTCACGGTTGATTGTGGTAATTTCACAGTAAAGGCCTGGTTATCCTCCCGCGGCAGTGTGTCGCAGTTAGCTTGTCGCAGATATGACGCAGATATTTTTGATTTATGCACAATTTCGAAGCGTGGTCTGCGCTGTGTTATTCCACGCCACAACTCCAGAGGGCCAATCAGGAAGTAGCTAGGATTGTGGGTGTTTCGGTTTGACCAGCTTGTTCGCCGTCTACACATGAGTGTTCCCCAAAGACTAGCCGTGGCGCTGCGAGTTTTGCCTTCGATTCCAGATATGCAACACACACGCAGACGACCTGTTTTCTGAGCAGAAACCGGGTTTGCCTACACAGTTTGGAAAACTGATTCGTTCTTGACCCCAGATTTACATCCCTGCTAAAATATCAAGGTGAAAGTCACCTTTAGTACAGACCTAGCTCCCACCAGCTGTGAGAATAGATTAAAGGCGCACCGCTAAATAATCCTGTAATGAAAGTAAAACTTAAAGCACCAAATATCGTACAGCAGATTAGTCACATGGTGTCATTTTCCCCAGGATGCGCTGCAGGGAAAATAAACATTTAATCATGAATGTTTTTTGGTGTATTTAACCCATCATAGTCATTTTGATAATGGGCTAATATACACTTATATAAGACTTACATTTTTGTGTCTCCAGACAGATCTGTTTTATGTTGTTTGGTCCAACATGGCTCTTTGAACATTTTGGGTTGCTGATTCCTGCACTAGCGTGCTGCTTGGAGCAGATTAGCTGCTTATAGATCATCACTCTCTAATCTCAGAAAATTGGTTAAAGAAGCTGCTTCTAGGAGGCACATTTCTCCAACTGCTCATTTGGAGAATATCTACGTCAGAAGGGAGGGGCTGCTGCCCCAACAGCAGATTCATGAGGTTTACTCACTGATGCATGAATCCAGAGACAAAATATTTGGTGTCTGATTTATATAAAAGAACAGCATTAAAACAATGTTTGCTCAAAATAGTTGATTTTGCATGATTTGCACCCTTTATATCATAATGAAGGACACAGTCAGTGCTGCAGCAGTCATAGACATTTTTCTGATGAGTACAGAGATATTTTAGCTGCAGAGGGAAGAGGAAGAGAGTTTATAGGAGGGGTCTGAAAGCCTATTGCTGGAGGGTTGATGTCCTGCTGCCTTTAGACGTGTCCCTGAATCAATGGCAGTGTGGAACCAGTGGTTTATAGCAGAGTTTAGTTTCTTCCACAAGGAACTTGAAAAATCCTTTCACTAAAATGCCATCAGAACGCTTATAATAATTAGTGTGTCTCAGTGTCCACCATATTGGATCAGTCCATTTCGTTGCCAACTTAGCGCTTTAGTCGCTATATTTAGCCACTTTTCAGACCCCTCTAGCACTTTGATTTCTAAAAAGCTCCTAGCGCCAAATCTAGAGACTTTTTTCTGCTACTGGAGACTTTGGAGACAACATCTAAAAGCAGCGAACTCTGCTCTCCAGAGCGAGTAGATTGGTAACCCCGCCTCCTGCTCTCCTCTATCTTGTCTGCTGTGATGATTCATGCAGCTATTATTTCATCCAAATGAAAAATGGAGAACAGATAAGCAGATCATGGCTTGTCTACAGTGAAAAGAAGGACTGGGTTATTTACTTTGGCCTTTTTGGAAACACAGGAAGGAGCAATCAGCTAAGTGAGCTTAGTGCTTGGAAAAAATCTTTCATTCCTTTAGAGACAGCATGAAAAGTCAGCTGAGTACAAAACATAGAGAGGAAAACAAGAAGAAAAGGGACAAGAAGAGAGGGACACAACCTAGAACAGATAATGGATGTATATTCTATTTACATTTCTCTATCTGTAGGATGGGGCTGCTTTATGTCTTCTCAATTCAGAGGGGCCCCTGCCTGTCTTTGCCTAGGGCCCCAGATTTCCTAGACCCACCCGTGGTCTGAGCAATGTGGGCCATGCCTGCGTTTCTGTGCATGAATGCTAATCCTCAGGAACAAACAATGGAGGATGAAGGATCCTATCCTGAGCAAAGCTGCAGCTTCACTTAGCAGCAACACCACAAATACAGTCATAGAGCCCAGAGGAAAGAAAGTCCAAAATTCTTCCTTTGTCTAATTGATCATTAGGATCAGATAAGGAGTTCTGAGTAATTTTATTTTAATCATTTATTAATAACAGGATGGAGGCACTATGTCTCTGAGCTGGCCTGGTGTCGCTTCAGGGTCCCTCCGGACCGACTGGAGGAGGTATGTGTGAATTGGGAAGTCTGGGCATCTCTGCTTAGACTGCTGTCTCTGCGACCCGGCCCCGGATAAAACGGAAGAAAATGAATGGATGGCATTTCTTTTTGTATTTAAATGTGTAAAGAAATTTGTTTTGTTGTAACTCCTTTTAAAAATGAGATGCCGATGAGGACCAAAGTGGCTGAGGGGAGCAGAACTCATGCTGATCCAGAACATCCTCTCTGTCTCTGTCTCCAGCTCACATAGACCAGGTGGACATAGCCACTCAGGGCTGGTTCATCGGCCTGATGTGTGCCATCGCCCTCATTATACTGATTCTCCTCATTGTCTGCTTCATCAAGAGGAGCCGCGGAGGCAAATACCCAAGTAAGGCCAGAAAATCTCTCCATCCAATGTAATGTCATTTTGATGTTTTTATAGCATTTCTATGTTCCTGTGTTTACATTTCTGTTCAGTTACACCAGTAGTCTGATGTAATACTTTGCTTTGGTAGCAGAACGGTAAAATCTGATTCGATTTTAACTAATAGACCAGTAGCTCAGATACTGGAAGCACTTTAAGGAAACTTATACCCCTTTCCCACCGGCTGAAAAACCAGTTTAAGAATAATTGGCCTTTAGAGGCAGCGGGAAAAGCTCATTGACGCCTGTCTACCTGGGTCAGACGACCCGTGTTATAATCGACTCGGCTCTGATCGCCATGCTGTGGGAACACCAGAGCCGGTGTTCTGTCAGGTGAGCATACCCCGTCAGACCAGCATACCTACATATTTGCATTTATCCCTTTAGTTTTGTACGAAAAACATACTTAAATCTACCTCGACAGGCTTGTATCTCTTCACTTACAAACAAAAAAAAACAATTTAAGGTGAGATCACCATGCACTTTAATAAACACCAAAAAGTAAGTAATTAAATAGTTATTTTGTACATGACTGAAGGGATACACACCTTTTAAGGTAGTTTAAAGTGCATTTTTCATACAAAACTAAAACTAAAGGGATAAATTGGTATTGACTATGGGTATGCTGCTCTGACCGGGTATGCTCAAATGACAGAACAGCGGGTTGACCCGCTAAATTACATGATACCATTGAACGCAGCGTCACACCGCTCCAGTCGCTTCTTATCTAACAAGCGGAAAAAACTCTGCTTACATCGGATAAACATGGAGCAGCTGTGGTGAGACGGATTCAGACAGATAATACAGAGAAACAATAAAACACACTGACTACGCCCTGACTTCCTTACACGTGGCTCTTTATTGTTTACTTCCCTGATTTCTGTCAGACTGATGACATCATCAATGCTAGCCCAGCGTGATGGTGTCAACAGAGAAGCAGCTGCCAGTGAGGGTTGGAAGTTGGAACCCATGTTTGAAAAACACTTAAAGAGGCTACATAATCTAGCTGTGGACCTGAGATCGATTAAAGTCATTGAAAGTCGTCCTCTAACTGTAAAACAGCACCCTCTTTGTGGAGTGCATAAAAAGAAGGCCCACAGCATGATGCTACCACTTTCTTGACAGCTGTTGCTTTGTTCTTTGGTGATAAAGGCTTAGGCCCCGTCCACACGAAGTCAAACCCTGGCCTAAACGCACACATTTTTCACCAAACCAGCCTCTCATCCATACGAAGCCGGCGTTTCGGGGGTCTGTAAACGATCTTTTTTTTATTCAGCCTTCAGAGTGGGAAGATTTCGAAACGCCGTTTTCGCGTTTCCATCTTTAAGCTCTAACCGCATATTTTTTTTTACACGCATGCGTCATAGCGTCGCCTCTACACACGCATGCGCGACCAGTATCACAACAACAATGGCGCCGTACTGTGTTGAATGGTTGCTGCTCATGCTACTCACCCTGCTGTCGGGCTTACAACAGAATCTTCTTCTTCTGGAATATCTCCAGGAAGAACAGAGCAATATCGACGACATAGTTCAGCACCTGAATTTGACTTAACCACGAAAATGGACCCGCAGGGCAACCATGTATAAATATTAGTGCGCATGCCCAACATTTCGTCGCCTATTTTCGCTTTGGCACCACAGCGCCACTTACAGGCCTGGCATACATTTTGCAGCGTTTTCATGCATTCGTGTGGACGATCACATTTATTTTACGTCTCCGTCTTTACGACAAACGTTCTGGAAAATATTAGCGTTTCGTGTTCGTTTTGACTTCGTGTGGACGGGGCCTTAGTGGCTGTAATGGAACAGCTCGTTCTCCACCTTTTAAGATGATTTCAGGAGGTTATCACTGATTATTGCAAACAATTTATTTCATCCATTGGAGGAAGTGTGGGTGAGATGGTGGGAATATGGTCTCCACCCCAACCTCATCGGTGTGGGTTATGAGTTGGTGAAGCGAGATTTGGGACTGGCTTAAGGGTGCTTTAATCTACGTCTTAAAATGAGGTCAATTCTGATAGGAGCAGCTTTTAACCAATCAGGGATCTTTTTTTTCCAATATTAGGGGGAGGAGGGTGGGTACATGTGCAATGGTCATTTCTAGGCACATTAAAAGGAAAACCTCATAACAGGCTTCAGTTGAAGCTTCTCCTCTTTGGATAATTTCCATGATAGAGTTGTAGATGTTTGGTGCTGAAACCACAGCGACGGTTTGCATCTGACTTGGAATGTGCTTAAGGCATACACTGTACGATTTTTTTTCCCGATTCGGGACGATTCTCCAGTCTTGCAAGAATTTTTCAATCGGGCCGGCTTTGAAATTCATTCAGCCGTCATAAGGTGGTTGTGGGCAAATCCTGCTGTTGAAGCAGAGCTACGAGCCGATTTACCAGAACCTCCAGCACTGGGAGTTCTTCCTCCAGAAGGACGAGTCCGAGTCCCACCTGGTTTTTAGATGTACAGTGTGACAAGTAGATCGCATCAGAGCATCAGGTCGCACAGTGTGAGAACAAACATCATGAGCTGTGAAATTTTAAACCCACTTTCATCGTTTAGTTTGAGCTGTAGCTGCGTGCAACGATTGGAAATATCGTACAGTGTAAGCGGAGGATGGCAGAACAGAGGAGACCTTGAATAGATGTCAAAAGGTTTTTAGATCCCCTCAGATTGAAGCCCTGGAGGACTGAGAATCGACACCATAGACATAATATCAGAGTGGACCCCCCATCGATCGCTTTCCCCCATGACGTGATTTAGCGGCGCCATCTTGGGGCAGAAGACAGCTCCGCTCAGTCTGATGTGTTGAGCAGGCAAAGAAACTATTTTAATCAACTTTAACTTGCTGAATATTGAACTCATTTTCTTGTTTTTTTTTTTTTTGCTGAAAACAAACAAAATGATTCAGTGTTTTTAAATATTCTTAGTGGGATTAAGAGTAATAGAATATTCTCATGTGATCTATGTATGCTTCAAAGCACAGCCACTCATACATTTTTATATATTTTTTATTACTATGTACACAGATATATTTATACAGGTATACACATATATATATATATATATCGGTATATATCTGTATGTATCTCTCTCTTCACAAAGTTATCATCGATCCCTGATGTCAATAATCCGTTAACCAGCAAGTTAGGGCCGCAGGTCGACCTCCCCAAGATGGCGCCTGTAATTATTGCGCCAAAACAGTCAATGCGGCGTCTACTCTTATATGTATTTCTATGATCTGCACAGGCATGAAAGGGTCTGCTGTTGTAGTTTCTTCCGTCTATCTAATGTGATGGAAAATTAAAATAAGATAAGCTTAAAGTGCATTAGTAATATTATGGCTGTCTGCTGACCTGAGGTCTAAAAGTGATGTTTTTCAGTTTCTCTAATGTGCAGGTTGGGGCTCCTTGACTGGTTTCACAAAACTCCTTGGTAGGTGAAGGGATGCATCAGATTAAAAAAACTAACTTAAAGGGACTAAGGGCATAACATTACGGTGACTGACTGAATAACCACAGAATAATTCTTTATTAATAACAAACAAACTTACACTCCTTTAAACCCAACACTGTTGAAATGTACTGATTATTCTGTCTTTCTAACACATATTCCAATCCCCTGAACTACTTATGTCAGAAATACAGAAATCGCTGCTGAACATTTTTTTTTGCAAAAAGTAATATGTTTTATTTACTTTAAAGAGAATCACAACAGTTGTTATATATATGTAGGGCTGTGAGAAGGTAAGTTTCCTCATTCAGTTCTCGTTTGGTTCATCAAGTTTTGATCTCAGACTGATCACCTTTTTAAATACATTCCAGGCTCTGTGGGAAAGTTTTTTTTGTCCTCTAAACCTCGTCTTCCTGGCAGCAATAGTTGCCATCAAGCATCTGCAATGACTGACAATCAGTCCTTAAAATCACTGTGGGAGAATTTTGACCCAAACTTTGATGCACATTTGACAACATTACTGAATGTAATGACTGAAGTGCTATAGACCATGAGGTGCCTGATTCTGGCCATGCCACAGCATCCCAGTATGATTAAGGACATACTTTGACTAGGCCAATTCAAAACCTTATTTCCACTGTCTGCATAAAGCCAGGCGTACACTGTATGAGTTTTTACCCTTTTTGGTAGGGATGCACGATATAATCGGCCCCCTATCGGTATCGGCCTTAAAACTGAATATCGGACATCGGCCACCCCACCGATATTTAACCCGACATTTGATCAGCTTCTGGGTTGCTAAAGTCTAAAAAAAAAAATTCTTCTTCCTCAAAAACTTCTTTTTTAAAGACTTAAAAACTTCTAAAGACGAGGGAAAAAATATTGATCCATTAAAATATCCCAATATCTTCATATGCTGATATATTGCCATTTAAAAACACCATATCAATCTCTTTTACTAATGAAATATTGCTATATGTCATCGTTATGCTACGAAATCCCCCGAAAATTCACGAAATTTTGCCATATTTTTATATGTTGATATATTGACGCGGTATCGATCTATTTTACTAACAAAATCTCACAAGAATTTGCAAAATATCACGAGAGTTTGTAACAGAACGATGAAATTTCACGAGATTTTGAAAGTAAAATAGATCGATACCACGTTTTTAAAAATCTATTTGATATCAGCATATGAAAATATATTTGAGTATACTATTTTTCAAAGTGTCAGAAATGGATAACAAAACTGCTATTTTCAATGACTACTTATTTTTGTCCAGCTTTAACATCGGTATCGATATCGGTTATCGGCTACATGAGGTTTAAAATATCGGCATATCGGATATCGGCCAAAATCCCAATATCGTGCATCCCTACTTTTTGGGCCGATTCTCCAGTCGTGTGAGAATTTTTTGATCGGGCCGACTTTCAGCCTGATGGTGCGTGGTGTAGTGTACAGGGGGGTAACGAGGGGCGATCAGCCTCTAACGACCACCTCCCCATCAGGAATCGTAAGATCGGGAGAAAATCAAACATGTTTGAAATTCAGTCGGTGGTCGTGGGCAAATCATTCAGTGGGAAAACAAGGATTCTTCTTCTTCCTCTCAGAGAAAAACCCAGCATCATGGCGGGGGGGCAATGAGTGAAATGGAGTTCTTTCTGTCAAACTGTCAGACCGTAGTAGCCACGTTAGCTCAGCCATGTCTTTGTCCAAATACGTCGTCTCCTTTTCTTTTTAGGGCTTTCAGCACAAAATTGCCCAAATATCCAAGGCAGCGCGTTTCACTCTAGTGAGCTTCATGTTCCTCTTCTACTCGTTTGGCTTCCGGATAGACGAGTCTGAGTAGCGCCATCTCACTGCGGAGCTGAGACCCACCTGGTTTTTAGACGTACAGTGTGAGCAGGTAGATCGCATCAGAGCGTCGGGTCGCACAGCGTGAGAACAAACATGGTGAGCCGTGAACTTTAAAACCCTGTGGTTTCATCGTACGGTGCGAGCTGTAGCTGCGTGCAACGATTGGAAATATCACGCAGTATACGCCTGGCTTAATTCAAGTTCTCAAGCTCAAGATCATAGACTAGTGCTGAGATTCCAGAGTCTTATTGGCTTCAATCTGCTGTTTGCTGTAGGATGTTTAAAGAATCAAATAGTTTGTGATACCTACCGCCTTAATTGTCTGCAGGTCTAAGTTTCTATCAAAAACGTACTCACCTGCATAAGATACCTTTAATTTCTAACATCTTTGTTAATCATTATTTAGTATCCTTATCTTGAAACTGGACCTTAATCCCTGAAATAGTGACTCAACATTTGCCTCATTGACTTGATCTGAAATAACGGCCATTTAAAGGAAAAGTCCGATGAGCATGACTCCTGAGACTGAGTCTGGGAGCGGCCATTTTTGCCCAAAAACACTCCCTCCATCCATCTTCCGTTAGTGACGTCACGGTGCGGTAAGCCTAGCGCCGTTCTCCCCGCTTTACAAGCTAAATCAATGGGAACTACTAGACACATCTGCAATTAACAACAATAATTGAAGATTTCCAGAGGACTTCACCATTGAAATTCACCAGAGCTATAGTGAAACTGACAATGCCCACGTGCATGGCAGCTGGATGCTGGAATACATCGGGTAAAAGTGGAAAAAAGAGTTATTCCACCTTTCTGATTCCTGATCCTCCACGGACGGGTTGGTCGTTGAATCGCCAACTTGAAGAGGGAGGATTTGCCATCGAACTTCTGGCCAGAGAAAAAACCCGTAATATGTAGCCAACATTTGGAAGAAGAATGTTTTCAAGATGACTTGGATAATAGCGCGTTGTGACAAACACCAGATACAGCACTGGGACTTGATCAACAGCCGATACCGCACCGTGACGTCACTAACCAGTAGGTGGCAGTAGTGTTCTTTGACAAACATGGATGCCTCCAGTAAAGCACATTCACATGAAAATTACTCTGAATTAAAAACACTGATCATTTATTAACAGGATGGAATCATTTCAGATTTAAAGAACTTTCAGAAGTTTGAGTTCTGAATATGAGCGACTTTTCCTTTAAACATCCACAAAATATTTTTTTCTGCTCTCTGCGTTCAGTAGCTCCTTTCTCCTGATGAATGCGATCCTCATCTAAGACGCGTTTGTTATATTTACTGCAGTTATTGACTGATTTTAAAGTTTGATGATCTGGAAAATGTTCACTGCAAAAACAATCAACATTTCTTAAATTAAGTGTATTTACCTTTAATTTGATCAGGTAAATAAGATGATTTTCCAATAGAATGAGTATATTTACTCTTAAAATAAGATAATTAGGTAATATGCACTTGAAATATGACAACGACATTGTTGTTTATTTTAAATTCCATTGGCAAAGAGTCTCACTTACCTCCTCAATTCAAGAACAAAAAGCATTTGTTTTAAGAAAAAAATACTTTTTTAGATTTCTATTATTATGCAGTGTATGAATATAAAAACACTTTTTTTATTGACAGCAGAGTGTGCAGACTGTGAGGTGACACTCTGGAGTCACACTGGCAGAAATTTGCTTTTTTTAACCAACCTGAAAAACAAGCATGAAGGCTTCTGCAGAGGAAACAGTTGTGATGTTCTGATTAAACTTCTGTTCCTGTTTCTCTCAGTTCGTGACAAAAAAGATCTCCCCCTGGACTCGGTGGATCACAAAGATCCCGACGGATCCTTTGACTACCAGTAAGTATATACAAACAGCTCTTTGCATTCTATTAAGCGCAGTTCATTTTAAAAGAGTAGAGATAGAAATGTCATGGAAGTGATTTAATGTGATTTTGCACTTAGTTTGCTTTAAAATTATGCTAATTTATTCTAAACATAAACTGATTTTATGAACCAGAACCTCGTGCTTCATGTGAAGAGGCTCCTATAATATTGTATTTTTGAAACGATAGCGTGTTTATATCAGTCCACCTCAGTGTAAAGGCCTGAACACACCGGTTACACCCGACTTTTTAATCTCCCATCTCATTTTTTTTTCTATGTCCCACTGACTGCATATAGAGAGGCTCCGAATAGGCAGGATGTGAAGATCTGTGTAGATTTTATTCACTTCTGTCTCTGTGCTAATAAAATAATTTCCCACAATTGACCAGAACAGATTATAAAACGTTATTTAAAATAAATAAAAAAAACACATTCTATAAGGCAAAGCTCTACTTAATGAGTCTTTGCAGTATCTAGAACAGGGGTCTGCAACCTTTCATATCCAAAGAGCCGTTTTGCCCAGAGTACGACCAAATAAAAGTTGTTTAGAGCCACAAAATATACCATGACTTTATCTAGAAAACCTTTTTTTTTAAATCTTGTATAGGAAATTAGTTGTTGCCATCTCAAACAATCAATTCATCTATTTTTTATGTTAAAACGTATAAATTTCAAGCTAATTCATAGAAAAATGTCTCTTAAAACATATTTCTGGTTCTTTTAATCTCATTCTTTTCCATCTTATAAAAAATGCTAAAGCTATTGATACTGGTATATATTATAGTCAATTATTTAGCTCTTTATATACATTTTAGCCACTCTTATAACCCGCTGGAGAGGGTCCAAAGAGCCATATGTGGCTCCGGAGCCGCAGGTTGCAGACCCCTGATCTAAAACCAGAACAGATAGAAATTGTTAATCAATTAAAAACATAATGAGATCTACGTCTAAAGAAAAAAGCAGCAATAAACTCTGTGGGACGGTTTCTATGGTGACTGAGGCAGAGAGGTGATTCTCAGAGAGATCTGGGAAGTTTATCTTTCTTTTTTCCATAAAGAGATGAGATAGATACGCTGTGCTGACCTGCTCTGTCTGCTCCTCCTTATTTTGGTTTCTGTGAGGCTCAGGCCCCCTCCACACGAAGTCAAAACGAACACGAAACGTTAATATTTTCCAGAACGTTTGTCGTAAAGACGGAGACGTAAAATAAATGTGATCGTCCACACGAATGCATGAAAACGCTGCAAAATGTATGCCAGGCCTGTAAGTGGCGCTGTGGTGCCAAAGCAAAAATAAGCGACGAAATGTTGGGCATGTGCACTAATATTTATACATGGTTGCCCTGCGGGTCCATTTTGGTGGTTCAGTCAAATTCAGGTGCTGAACTATGTGGTCGATATTGCTCTGTTCTTCCTGGAGATATTCCAGAAGAAGAAGATTCTGTTGTAAGCCTGACAGCAGGGTGAGTAGCATGAGCAGCAACCATTCAACACAGTACGGCGCCATTGTTGTTGTGATACTGTGATACTGCATGCGTGTTTAGAGGCGACGCTATGACGCATGCGTGTAAGAAGAAAAAAAGCGCTTAAAGATGGAAACGCTGTTTCAAAATCTTCCCACTCTGAAGGCCTGATAAAGAAAAGATCGTTTACAGACCCCCGAAACGCCGGCTTCGTGTGGATGAGAGGCTGGTTTGGTGAAAAATTTGTGCGTTTAGGCCAGGGTTTGGCTTCGTGTGGACGGGGCCTCAAAGAGGATCACTACTTTATCTGTTTTCTGTCCTCCTGAAGTCCCATCATGGGGAAACTTTTCTATTTGAATGTTTCATTCATTGTTTTTGCTCCAGTCTGTCCTGCTTACTATAAACACGATGAGCGACTCCAGACAGACTCTTTCCTCGTGAGATTAACAGATTTTATTTGGGATTTTCCTCCAAAGCGGATGAGTTTTTCTTTGTAACCGCGTCTCTCTTCCTGTCAGGCCCATGAAATTGCTGCGGAATTGCTGCGTAGTCTGACTAAAATAGACCCAGGTCCGTTTCATGAAGCAGGTTTTTTGAAAACTTGAAAAGTTGTTTAACCTAAAAACAGGGAAACTCTGACGTTTTCAGTTCACAAAGAGAGTTTCCTCAACCTCTGTTTCTGTTGCCGTAGTAACATCCTGGTCAGCAGCAGGTTTTCTTCAGTCTGTCTCCGCTTTCCTTACAGCCAATCACAGTTTTATTTCCTGATAAAGTCAGATTTCTGTCGTAACGTCTTGTCTTGTCGTATTGTATTCGTCGTTTGAGCATTTTTCTCTAAATGACCATTTCAAACAAAACAACATTTTCCACATCTAGAATAAACATCCTGGATGTCTAGACAGTAATTTCAGATCTCCATATTGCCAATATTACTAGTCATTATTTTTATTATTTTAACTATGAAAAAACAGAACAGCCAGTTAAAATGTATAAACATTTCTAGATGTATAAAACTTCATTTCTACTAGTATGATTTTGGTTTTTTTTATTTCTAAAATCCAGTTTCTGCTACAAAAATGTGATTAAGAAAATATCTTATAGTTCAGTATAGGAGTGTGATTTTGATCAGGAAGAATCAAGAGAGGAATGCTTTTAGTAAATGTAAAAACAGCCTGCCATAGATGCCCTCATATAAACTTAGGCATTAACTCAAGCAACAATCTTCTCCATCATCCTCTCCTTTGCAGCTGTAGCGCTGTTTCTCTGCCTTTTAAACACATTCTCCTTTTTTTATTTTAGATTTTTTGTTCTGCCTTAAAATCTCCAGTGTTGGTTCCAGTGTGGTGAAATAGGCACTTCCTGTTGCCTGTAGTTGCTTTTCGTACTTGTTGCGCACGTGCTTAACTCTGAGTGGACCGAGTTAGAGTTGATTGAAGTAATTGATAGCAGCTGTTGTGAAACCGAACACTCAGAGTTCCCAACTTTAGGCTAGATTAATTTAGAGTTGAGGATTTGAATCTGAATTTGTTAAACCTGCTTCGTTAAACGGACCCCAGGGCTCTATCTCAGTCGGAGCTATGCTGCCCCCTGCAGGAAATCGTGTTGGATGTGTCCATCCCCACTGACCTTATATGAGCACTAGGGGTGGAACGGTTAACAAAATCCACGGTTCGGTTCGGTTCATGGTTTCGTGGTCACCGTTTTCGGTTCGGTATATGTTTATTGTTACACCGAAAAATTAAAAAAATTATAAAAATTAATGAAAAAATGAAAATTTATGAAATTAATGAAAAAATCCAAAAACATTAATGAATTGTAATTCCCTGGATCATTTCCGCATGTTTTGCTGCTTTGAATTTAATCATCTGGCGCATGCTCTCTACGATCTCCAAGGAGGCGGTCTGGAGCGCAGCAGAGGATTTCAGTGTTAGCATGACATGTTGGTCATGTTGCTGTTAGCATAAACAAAACGTGTTTATCCACAGCTTTCTTCCCGCCGTCATCGTAGGTCACTCTAAATGCAAAGTGGTCCCATACAGCAGACCTATAAAGTGCTGCTGGCGCGTCTTCCAACTCCTGTTCTTTCCCACTCGCCATACCCGCACAATTCTCCACAACAACTGATTTTTTTCTGCTACACCCGGCTACGCTGCTTGTCATTACCCGATCCGTACCATCAGCTCATTTGCGCGTGCGCAAACAGAATAACTTCCGGTGGCAATATTTCCTTTTTCTTACTTTTTTATTCTTTTGTATTTTTTAGAGGCATGGGTTTCTTTTTGTATATCTTTGTATTTTCATCAATATTGCATTTTCAAAAAATAAAAAAACAGAAATACATAAAAAAGTTCAGTCGCCTTGTGATAGTTACTTTGACTGCTCTGAGCATGCGCAAATATACGTCACACAGCGTATATATTTAAATTTGTTTAAATATTTGATTTACTCTGTACTTAACTATGCACTCCAGCAGTACTGATCCCACAATGGATTCATTTGCTACCCTTTCGTGACCTGCAGTTTTTCATTGATAAGGGAACATTTCCCGAAAATTTGGATTTTTATTCCAGAAAAATGACGTCAAGCAATACAATGGATTGAATTCAAAAAGCATCCATTTCTTCCAGAAAAGTCTTCAATATTGTCTTTACGATGTAGTTTGGTATTCTTTAATTATTTAAGGATATAAATAAAGTTTTTTCAATACCGTAATTACATTATTTTTTGGCGACCCAAAAGTTATTCTGTTCGCGCAGGCGCAAATGAGCTGATGGTACGGATCGTGCTACCGGTGTAGGTACCAGATTGACTCGGGCTGCCAGATTGACTCGGGGGCCTGCGCCTTTTGATGACGTCACAATACATAATTGTTTTAACGTTTGCACAATTGCGGAAAACATTTTGATTGGTCTGGACAGCTTACTATAGTAATTATAGTGGGGTGTAGGTTTTATTCGAAAGCGGGATTGCGGTTTGTAAACGGACAATTTTAAGAAGAAATTCTCCATGGTCCCTGCGCCTTCCGATGACGTCACTGAATTCGCCATGGGCCTTGCGCCTCCCGATGACGTCACATTATGGCAACGCCACTCAAACAAACTACATTGAGCCCGCGGTCTGCATTTGTAACGAGAATAAATTCAGGAGAATGAAGCTAAAGGGATACAAAAAATAAACTTGTAATATTACAAAAACAAAAATACTACAGTGCCAAACGATTACCGTTTATTGGCTAAATAAAATAGATTTGTGACAAATAGAGACCCCGGGCGCAATGTAGTTTTTTTGAGTGGCGATGCCATATAGTGACGGGCGGAGTTGCCATATTATGACGTCATCAAAAGGCACAGGCCCCCCGAGTCAATCTGGTACCTACACCCATAGATAACCATAATAAAGGCCTGATGTCTCGTCCGCGCTGCTGGCCAATGGGGGTCGACGTCCGCACGTGGCGGCCATCTTGCCACAGGCAGCTCGCTCATTCGTAACATTGTGTTTTAAAGGCGCATGTACTGAAATAACCATAACTTCCCCAATTGTCTAACTGTTTGGTTTGTTAAACAAAAGTCAGACATGTAGTTATGATACTGCACACTTATGAATAATTATAACCATGGAATTTCATATGAAAAGAACATTGAATAGAACATACAGGTGCAATAAATATACACATGCACAAGGTATTTATGTTAAATCAATATATGCTAATAAAACTCAGTGTACTGAATGGCAACATGATATATAGATATATCTATACATATCTATATATATATAAATATGTGTATATATATATATATATATATATAAAAATATGTATATATATATAAATATGTATATATATACATATTTATATATATATATATAAATATGTATATATACATATATATATATATATATTTTAATATATATATATATATATATATATATATATAAATATGTGTATATATATATATATATATATATATAAAAATATGTATATATATATAAATATGTATATATATACATATTTATATATATATATATATATATATATATATATATATATATATATATATATATATATGTATATATATATATATATACATATATATATAAATAAACACTTTTATTTGGGTGTGATTAATTATTTCACAGTCCTAATTTATTTATATTTACATACATACTTTTATAATATGAATATTATTATTATAATAAAATATGAAATACAAAAAAGGCTTATTGTGTGGCAACCTCTTGGTGTAGCAGCATAATCCAGGTTTCAAATTAAAGGTAACACTTTGAAGTTTCATGTAGACTATTTGGATTATATATCAGGGGTAATTACACAAAAGTTCCTATTTTTAAACCATTATAAAAGTGACATTTATTTGCTATTAAAATTGGTACAATAGTCCCCTTCACAAGTATATATAGATGTAGCATGTTGAAATCCCCAACTACACTACTGTGATGGTATACACATGGAAGACAGAGATTTAAAAAATGACCCAAAAAACATAGCTTGGCTAATGCCCTTTGAAAAGGAAGGTTTTATTGAGCTTCTGTGTAATGTACAAGAGAGCGTTGTCCACAAGGCCATCAAAGCGGACAGGAAGGTAGCTGTGGTCATGTACCAGCACAGGAATGTCAGCAAACGGGGATGGAAGATCTTCTCCTCCTGCTTACACATTATATAACCTGCAGAAACAAAAACAAAAGTGACCAACAACAATTCACGGTGTATAAGATTGGTATATCAATATGTGATTAAATTTCAATGATACACATGCCCTTTGAAGATGAGCTGGAAAGTTGAAAATGTTTGGCACAACACCATCTTTAAGTTGTCCAAAGGAAACTAATACAAACTTATAAAAGCTTTGAGTCAACAACAGTCTTGTAATACTATTATGTCAAAGCAAAAGTCTGGCATCTTCCTTTTAATAAACCCAGCAAATTCCTGTAACATAATGTAAGATGTGTTGACAAACCAAATCGATTGGAAATCATGTTAAATTTTGCCTCTTCCACTGATGTAAAGTTGCTTGTTAACGTTAGCAGCTAGCTAAACTGTAACGTTAGCTGCTAACTTACTAACGTTAAGTCTCACTTCGCAGCTTCTTGTTATTAGCCAGCTAACGTTAGGCTAATAATGAAAATACAACAACACTCAGATTATTGTTATTAGCCAACTAATAACTACAACCACATCCACAAATATTGTAATTTACACCAAAGATTAACTGTCATACAATCGTTATTGGTGTCAGTAAAACCTATATAATTGACTAATAATCTCAGCCTTGATAACTTGCGCAAGTAGCCGTGATGCACAACTATGCTGCGCGATTAAGTCATTTTTCGACAAGAAAATCTGCAATTTCGACATGTTCAAGCATCAAGAATAATAGCCACGTTCATAATGTTTGTAAGAAACCAAACTGTTTGTAAATCCGTCAAGAATTCAGTGAGGTAAGAGTATTTGTGTCCGTGCTGATCACTCACCTTACATTAGGTACCACAGAGCACAACAGAAAGCCTGCCTGAGGTAAGATGGCCGCCGGTGATGACGTTTGAGACTCCACCGTAAGACATCTAGCCTTTATTATGGATATCTATGCCTACACCGGTACGGATCGGGTAGCGACACTTCTTCGCTTCTTCTTCTTCTTGTTTACTACTGGTGGTTGGCTTTGGTCGCAGTACCGCCACCTTCTGCTCTGGAGTGTAAACGCTTCGCCTATGAGAAAAAGGAGCAGCGCATGAACCGAACGCAACACACGCGAACCGAACCGAGACAGTCGAACTGAACGGTTCGGACGGTTTTCAAAAACCGTTGCATCCCTAATGAGCACTAAACGCCACAACCTGATCCGACAGAGGTTTCTGTCGGATCGGACACAGAATCGGATTCGGTGTGTTCAGGCCTTTAGGTGGGAATGATCATTTGCCCTCATATCCATCCTTGTAAGTGATTTGTCTTTTGCTCCTTCCAGGTTCAACTGATCTCTGTGGTTTTTATCCTTATTTCCATCCAACATCTGCTTTCATCTAATATTCATCTTATTAAAAAGATCTTCTTAATCTGTGATTAATACACACCAGCTCTAACATTTACCCTTAACTGTGTGCGTCGGAGCTTCAACAAATCTTCCTGTATTTTTGCCTGAAACCTGCTTAGTGCAAAAAAAAAAAAAAAGAAGCTTAACAAAGGTTCTACTCCAAGTCTGGAGACATAAAAGTAATAAATAAAAGCCTAATATTATTATTAGGCTTTTATTGAGCAAAAGATTGAGTCTTCAAAGGAAAATCAGCTCTTTAGAGAGACGAAGGTGAATTTGAAGGTATAAAATGTCAGACATAGTTTTATGTTATGAGCTGCTCTTTGATTGACACAATTAATCGTTTCCAATTAAGGAAGTTTAGTTCATTTACTAACTGTGTAACTTTTCCACCACTGCTGTTTAGATTGTTGCTTTTGTGAGCAGATCCTGGCTCAGACTGAGGTCCCTTCATTTAACCGGCCATGTTTGTGTGCATGAAAGGTCTCCCGTGTTTGCACAGAGTGGAGCTTGTGTTTTGTCATTTCTATCTTTTTCTCTGGACCCCTTCTGCACCCCCCACGATTCCTCACATTTCAACCCTTTTTCCTTCCAAATGCGGAAATGGTTCCTCTGTTCGTGACAGGAACGAAAATGAGAACAGGTACATTGGTTCCGGCACGACTCTGTGCATGATTTGGGTTTGGTTTGATATGGGGGGGGGGACAATCAGCTGGAACTTGATCTGGAACACCAAAGAGCTTGCACTGTTGGATCTTCGATCATTTTTTTATTTATTCTGTCAGCTGTATGGCTTAAATAGATTTTTGTTGCCTTTATATTAAGCATTAAGCTATAGTCATACTACAACATAATAACTTTGAGTGGTTCCTCCTTTGAGCCTCTTATTTTCTTTACATTAAAGGTGGTTATACAAATATTTACTATTTCAATTCAGTTTATTTTTTATTTGCCAATTCACAACACACGTCATCTCAAGACACTTTCCAGTTCACCAGATCATCCAGTCAGATTGATTCAGTTTCAGCATCGACTCATTGACTCTACAGCAATCCCTCACACTAAGCATGCTTGTAGCGACAGTGGAGAGGGAAAACTCCCTTTGAACAGGAAGAAACCTCCAGCAGAACCAGGCTCAGTGTGAGCGGCCATCTGCTGAGGCCCACTGGGGTTCAAGGAGACAGAAGCAGACATAGAAAAAGAAGCATAGATACAAAAGGCAACTGTCAACCAGCTCCACAGGCGGCCCCGTCCAGGAAACACACAGCCAGGCAGACGAGCTCCGAGCCAGCTCCCATGTCAGAGGATGAAGAGAGCACATCCAGTTAGTCACAGTCAGAGAAACAGGACTACACTGGAAAACAGGCCAAGCTCCAGCATCTAGAAACAAAGGTGTTGATGGCAGCAGCACAGCTGATATTTCTCTCCAGGATGGAGTCACAGCCAAACAGGAACAGACCAGATGAAGCTACTATGAGAAAAAGCAGAGAGAGCAGAACGTTAGAGATTGAACTAACAGATTCTGCAGAGTGGGAGAATAGAGATAGAATGAAGCAGAATGATGAAAAAGGGGTCCCTATGTCCTCCAGCAGTCTAAGCCTATAGCAGCAGAACTATAGAGATAGCTCAGGATAACCTGAGCCACCCTAACTATAAGCTTTATCAAAAAGGAAAGTTTTAAGCCTAGCCTTAAAAGTAGACAGGGTGTCTGCCTCACGGACTAAAACTGGTAGTTGGTTCCACAGGAGAGGAGCCTGAGAACTAAAAGATCTGCCTCCCATTCTACTTTTAGAAATTCTAGGAACCACTAGTAAACCTGCAGATTGAGAGCGAAGTGCTCTGTTAGGAACATAAGGAACAATCAGATCTCTGATATAAGATGGAGCTTGGCCATTTAAGGCTTTATATGTGAGAAGGAGGATTTTAAATTCTATTCTGGATTTAACAGGAAGCCAATGAAGAGAAGCCAGGATAGGAGAGATGTGATCTCTCTTTTTCATTTTCATCAGAACTCTGGCTGCAGCATTTTGGATCAGCTGAAGGCTTTTAACTACAGTTTGTGGACTTCCTGATAGTAAAGAATTACAATAGTCCAGCCTTGAAGTAACAAATGCATGGACTAGTTTCTCAGCATCACCCCTGGACAGGAGATTTCTAATTTTTGCAATATTCCTCAGATGAAAGAAGGAAATTCTAGAAACCTCTTTGATGTGGGATTTAAATGACAGGTCCTGATCAAAAATAACACCAAGATTTTTTACTTTATTATCTGAAATCAGTTTAATCCCATCCAAATGAAGTGACTGGCTAATCAGTTTATTTTTCAGAGACTCTGGTCCAAAGACTATAACTTCTGTTTTGTCTGCATTCAGAAGCAGAAAGTTAAGAGTCATCCAGGTTTTTATGTCTTCAAGACATGCCTGTAATCTATGTAATGGGTTAGCTTCATCTGGATTTATAGACAGATATAGCTGGGTATCATCAGCATAACAGTGGAAATTAATCCCATGCTGTCTAATAATTATATCAATTGGAAGCATATACACTGCTCTAAAAAATAAAGGGAACACTCAAATTACATGTCTTAGATTTGAATAAATCAAATATTCTCATTGAATACTTTGTTTTGCACAAAGTTGTTGACAAAAAAAATCACACAAAAATCATCAATGGAAATCAAAGTTGTTAAGAAATGGTGGCCTGGATTTGGAGTCACACACATAATGAAAGTGGAAAAACCCTTCATGCTGATCCGGCTTCGATATAATGTCCTTCAAACTGGTCAGAATGAGGCTCAGTGTTGTGTGTGGCCTCCACCTGCCTCTATGACCTCCCTACAATGCCTGGGCTGCTCCTGATGAGGAGGTGGATGGTCTATTGAGGGATCTCCTCACAGACCTGGACTAAAGCATCCTCCACCTCCTGGACAGTCTGTGGTGCAATATGAAGTTGGTGGATGGATCCAGAAATGATGTCATAGATATGCTCTATGGGATTCAGGTCTGGGGAATGGGCAGGCCGGTCTTCATTATGCAGGATCTGCTATCACACTCCAGCCACATGAGCTCTAGCATTTTCCTGCATTAGGAAGAACCCAGGGCCAACAACACCAGCATATGGCCTCACCAGTGGTCTGAGGATCTCATCTCGGTACATAACGGTAGTCACACTACCTCTGGCAATCACATGGAGGGTTGTGCAACCCTCCAAAGAAATACCACCCCACACTATTACTGACCCACTGCCAAACCGGTCATGCTGAAGGATGTTGAAGGTAGCAGATCGCTCTTCACGGTGTCTCAAAACTCTGCTCAGTGTGAACCTGCTTTCATCTGTGAAGAGCACAGGCAACCAGTGGAGAATTTGCCAATTATGTTGTTCTTTGGCGTCCTGCTTGGTATTGTCTGTCCGTGGACATAAGGCCCTCTTACCATCCTCATGGAGTCAGTGTTTAGTCATTTGTGCAGATGCATGAACATTTGTGGCCTGGCTGAGGTCATTTAGCAGGGCTCTAGCAGTGCTCCTCATGTTCCTCCTTGCACTAAGGCCCCGTCCACACGAAGTCAAAACGAACACGAAACGCTGATATTTTCCAGAACGTTTGCCGTAAAGACGGACACGTAAAATAAATGTGAGCGTCCACACGAATGCATGAAAACGCTGTAAAATGTATGCCAGGCCTGTAAGTGGCGCTGTGGTGCCAAAGCGAAAATAGGCGACGAAATGTTGGGCATGCGCACTAATATTTATACATGGTTGCCCTGCGGGTCCATTTTCGTGGTTCAGTCAAATTCAGGTGCTGAACTATGTGGTCGATATTACTCTGTTCTTCCTGGAGATATTCCAGAAGAAGAAGATTCTGTTGTAAGCCCGACAGCAGGGTGAGTAGCATGAGCAGCAACCATTCAACACAGTACAGCGCCATTGTTGTTGTGATACTGTGTCGCGCATGCGTGTGTAGAGGCGACGCTATGACGCATGCGTGTAAAAAAAGATATGCGGTTAGAGCGTAAAGATGGAAACGCGAAAACGGCGTTTCGAAATCTTCCCACTCTGAAGGCTGAATAAAAAAAAAATTGTTTACAGACCCCGAAACGCCGGCTTCGTGTGGATGAGAGGCTGGTTTGGTGAAAAATTTGTGCGTTTAGGCCAGGGTTCGTCTTCGTGTGGACGGGGCCTAAGACAGAGGTAGCAGCCCTGCTGCTGGGTTGTTGCCCTCCTAAAGTCTCCCTATTTCCTGGTGTACTGGCCTGTATCCTGGTAGTACCTTGAGCCTCCGGAGAATATGCTGACAGACACAGCAAACCCTCTTGCCACAGCTTATATTGATGTGCCTTCCTGGATGAGCTGCACTACCTGAGCCACATGAGTGGGTTGTAGAGTCTGTCTCCTGCTATCACGAGTGTGAAAGCACCACCAACATTTAAAAGAGACCAAAACATCAGCCAGAAATCACAGGTACTGAGAAGTGGTCTGTGGTCCCCACCTACAGAACCACTCCTTTATTCGGTGTGTCTCACTAATTGCCAATAATTCCCATTTGTACAGCAGCATGTGGAATTGGTTGTCAATCAGTGTAGCTTCCTAAATGGACAGTTTAAGTTCACATACGTTTGATTAAATAAAAGTTATAGTGTGTTGTTGATGTTTTCCTTTATTTTTATGAGCAGTGTGCAAAATAAAGAGAACTGGTCCTAGCACTGATCCCTGTGGTGCTCCACTGGTAATACTGGAGCATGAGGAAGATTCGTCATTAACGTCTTTTTAAAAGAATATTATGATCAAATGCAGCACTGAGATCTAACAGGATGTAAGGGAACATTTTCATTAACTCTTTAGGTTCTGCTGGTTCCAAAACACATTTCACATCAGAGAAAATAATCCTGTTGCTCTACAGCTCCGAGAACGTTTTGAAGTGTCTGATCTACAAACATTCCTGACCGCTGTGAAACGCTTTGAAAACTCAATCTGGGAAAGATATTTGGAAACATTAAGTTGATAAGTTGTGGGCGATGGAGTCAGTGGTTCAGGGATGCATGCGTCTTTCTGATTTTCTCCTTGCATGCTGAAACTGCATTCTATCTAATGTGCTGCTAAACGCTACATTCAAAGAATCATTTTTAAGTCGGGTTACTGCAAAAATCCACGAAAAGTCGAGTCAATAAAATCACACAGAGAGATTCAAACTCATCCTACTTCTAAAACATTACTGCTAAGTTTATAGACGAGTATCAAGCGACAGTGGATGGGATTACGGATCAGAACATCTCAACTTTGATTACCAAACTGCATAAACGTGGAAACACTTTTAGGGTTTGAAATCAAAAGTGCACATCAATCTGTTGATGTCTAATATGAAGCCATATCTGTTCTTAGGTGGGTGCAGACTATTATTATGACCTCCAGACAATAAATCATCTTGTTTATTCAGAGGAACTGGTGTTACTGGTGAACGTACCGTGATAGACTGCGATCTTTCTGTAGTGCACCATGTTTTGAGCCAGTGATTAGTGGAGAGTTGCACCAGTCTCCCACAGTCCAGCAAGCATGGATGGATGAAATGTTTCTGAAAGATTCAAGCACTGGTTCCTTCCATCATTAACACAAATATATATTTTCATTCATTAAATAAAATCAATTAAACAAATATTATTGATATTTTTCTTTCTGCTGTGAAGTTAAAGATTTTTTTCCATTAAAGAAATCTGTTGAATCCTGTTTTTTTTATATATCTATATTTAAAAACATATATTTGTTCTTTATTGCTTTCAGTCAATATTATAAATATCCACTATTGAAGGTCTAAAGGGCTTTAAAATATGGAAAATTGTATTCTATATCTCCTAATGTCACACTCTTATAAACGTGACTAAAATCTTCCATGTCCAGTGGGGCTGAAACAATTAATGGATTATGGAGATACTAAGAGGCTGTAAAACAGGCCTTTAGCTGACAGAGCGACCCGCTTAAAGCAGCAATTATACAAAGATTGTTAAAAATATATATAAACATTTTGCATTTAAGTTAAGAAAATAAAAAATTCTCTGTCAATCAGATTTATCCAGAACTTTATCCAACTTTTTCCAGTGGAAAAGTTTTAGTTTAGCCTGTTTTAACTTTGGTTATCTGATTAAAAATAATCGACAGATTAATCGATTTGCAAAATAATCGTTAGTTGCACCCCTAATGTTCAGTGATTCCTTTTTTCCAGTTCTGTGTTTTGTGGTTAATTGACGCTGATTTGGGTTTGTCAATAGTTGGGTAACATTAGGGAACAGGTTATTAAACCATGCAATGTTAAATGTATTATTTTTATGGACTGTATATGTATGTAAAGGACTTTTAGATATGCAGCTACAGTAGCAGCCATTCAAAATGGCCCTTCCCAGTCAAACGGCAGACGAATGGCAGCCCACTTCCAGCCCCTGGCTGACTCCACCCTTTCACTGAATTACAGGGTCTGACCAGGAGATGGCGCTTCTCTTTAGATCTTAAAGGAATAGTACACCCAAAACATGATTAGCCTTCATTTTCTACTCACCCCCATGCTGAACAACACTCTGGAGTACTTTTTTGATATCACAAATGCATCTGGAGATCTGGGAGGCTTCTTGCTGTCTGCTGACATTCAAATAATGGAGGTCTATGGCGCCCGAGGCAGAAAGGTCCATAAAAGTCCTCAAAAAACGTGTCAATATTCCTCCATACTGCTCGTCCAATGTATTCCAAGTGTCCTGAGTGGGTAGCGTCCATAATTTACTCGAAACGAAGTCATTTAGAATGTTTTTAGAGCATAAACAGTAGTGTATAGGATTTCCTGAAAGCGCGTTCACGACGCTACGGAAACCGGCAGACCAAACCAGATGAAAGTGCGCATGCAGCGTCTGCTCTGCCGATAATGCAAGCGTAGAAGAAGAAATGTGCTGTTTACCTGTGCAAAGAAAGAAACAACGAAAGAAAAATGTCTGAGGACTTCAGTGTTGAGGAAGAGCATGAGTTCTTTGCCGAGCTGAATGCGCACTTTCGTATGGTTTGGTCTGCTGCGGTTTCCGTAGACTCGTGAACGCGCTTTTAGGAAATCCTATACACTACTGTTTATGCTCTAAAAACATTCTAAATGACTTTGTTTCGAGTAAATTATGGACGCTACCCACTCAGGACACTTGGAATACATTGGACGAGCAGTATGGAGGAATATTGACACGTTTTTTGTGGACTTTTATGGACCTTTCTGCCTCGGGCGCCATAGACCTCCATTATTTGAATGTCAGCAGACAGCAAGAAGCCTCCCAGATCTCCAGATGCATTTGAGATATCAAAAAAGTACTCCAGAGTGTTGTTCAGCATGGGGGTGAGTAGAAAAGGAAGGCTAATCATGTTTTGGGTGTACTATTCCTTTAATGTCCACAAATCATGACAGAAAGAATATTTTAGTACAAAGATTGATGTTTAAAAAGGAATTGTAGGGGACCAGTCAAGGAAAGTGGGGAAATTTGAATGGCTGCTAATGTAATTGAAACAGAATATATTGATCAGCCTGCTGATCTGGATAAAAATTATAAAAACAGACGGGTATGTTGTCCATCCATCTGGGCTGGTGTTGGATTTTCATCTCTACCTTCTATGTTCATCATTGCAGCAGCGACGAGGACAACAAGCCTCTGCAGGGCAGCCAGACTTCGCTGGACGGCAACGTGAAGGAGAGCGATGACAGCCTGGTGGACTACGGGGAAGGAGGCGACGGCCAGTTCAACGAGGACGGCTCCTTCATTGGTCAGTACACCGTGAAGAAGGACAAGGACGAGACGGAGGGCAACGAGAGCTCTGAGGCCACCTCTCCTGTCAACGCCATCTACTCCTTAGCATAGCGGAGCCGCGCCGCACACCAGGACTCGGTCTTATTCCTATTAGCCACCTCACCGTACACAAGACACACTTGATTATATGAATATTTAACACCTGCTACACGGAACAAGCAGGAGGGTCTTTGTGGAGAGGCTCTCCTGAAGGGATGAAGTGGAAGAACATGGGCGAATCTTAGACCACAAGCCTTTAATTTGTGTTTTCAGCTCTGATAACAGGATCTGTTGGAGGTGATGGAGGGACAGAGAGAAGAAGAAGTCTCCATGGCGCCGGGTCTGCTCCTTACCCACGCTAACTTGAAGTGTGCCTTCAAGGCAGCTTTGGATGTTGTTGTTTTGTGTATGTTTGCCGTTCATCTCTCTGCTGCTCTGCCTGAGACGCCTCCCACCGAATCCAACAGGGATGACATCACTCCCACGCAATCCTGTCACGTATCAGCCTCTCACCGTTAATCTGAACTGGATGCTGGCAGATATGTTTATCATATTGATACTTGCGCAACGAACGATTTTTATTTCTCCTCCCAGCTGGTAGATGATGGAGCGAATCCTAAGGAATGCCGTACACCTTTCCTGGCACACCTTTCCGTGCCCCTTTGAAACTATGCACAACCTCCCTCCTGTTTTGAGTTTGATCTGGTCTGTCAACCTTTGCTTTGGCTTTCGTTAACCATCTTAAATCTGAACACAGGCGCTTTTTCAACATGTTTGTCTCCTATCTTCAATTCATTGTTTTGATCCAGCGGCTCCGCAGGCTGCAGCCCCTCTTAGGTTCTTCTAAAAAAGTCCATCTTTGAGGTAATGAGAGAGAAAAGATTGTGTCGGTGCATGCTTGAAAAAATAACACGAAAAACTGAAAAATGTAGTTTAGCAAGCAGGAAGAAAGTCCTGGTAATAGATCATATTTTGGAGAACTGGGAGAGTTCCATTGAAAAGTCAACTCACTATATCCACCAGGCTACATGAGGAGAAGCCCAGCAGAGAAAATAATAATAAAGAAGTGATCATTTACTAACAGCCTTTAAATGGTAGGAAAACGCTTTCTTGTATCCTCAGATTCAACCAGCTGGCTTTCTGTTTCTTTCATTTCTTCTGCTCTTCATGCCTGCTTTATAGATGTTAAACCCCACCTCAAGGTTATTACTGGATCTGGGCCTGATTAAGGCAAAAATATTCAGTAAATTTGACCTTTCAAGTTTCTTCCGGCTGCAAAAAAAACATGGAAAAATCGCCATCCGGAAAAAACTTCCAGCCCTGTTAGCAAGAGACACCAAAAGAGGATTTTAGTTCCTCAGAAACAAGTAGGCTTTAAGTAGTGCTTTGATTGGAAATCAGATGACTCAGCTTCTATTCTTCTCCCCGTTAAATTCAGGTTATTTAAAGACGAATATTAAATCTAAAGGAGCTCCCCTGTTTGGATACAAGACCGAAGGAAGAATCCAATCCTTGTAACATAGGCACGCATGTTTTAGACGGTCAGAGCGGATCTTTGGGGTTCGGGGTTCTTTGGTCGATCCGTTTATCCTGAAACCCCTCAAGCAGCTTAAACGTTTGGAGCAAAGCGACTGTTTGCCCCTCTGGACATGGAGGAAGGAGAAAAGAAGATTGTGTCCAGACTGAAATGATTTCATGAGTTCTATTGAAAACTGAACAATATTGAAGATGCTGAGATATTGTTGAATCACTAAGGCCCCGCCCACACGAAGTCAAAACGAACACGAAACGCTAATATTTTCCAGAACGTTTGTCTTAAAGACGGAGACGTAAAATAAATGTGATCGTCCACACTAATGCATGAAAACGCTGCAAAATGTATGCCAGGCCTGTAAGTGGCGCTGTGGTGCCAAAGCAAAAATAGGCGACGTTGGGCATGCGCACTAATATTTATACATGGTTGCCCTGCGGGTCCATTTTCGTGGTTCAGTCAAATTCAGGTGCTGAACTATGTGGTCCATATTGCTCTGTTCTTCCTGGAGATATTCCAGAAGAAGAAGATTCTGTTGTAAGCCCGACAGCAGGGTGAGTAGCATGAGCAGCAACCATTCAACACAGTACGGCGCCATTGTTGTTGTGATACTGTGTCGCGCATGCGTGTTTAGAGGCGACGCTATGACGCATGCGTGTAAGAAAAAAAATGCAGTTAGAGCGTAAAGATGGAAACGCGAAAAACAGCGTTTCAAAATCTTCCCACTCTGAAGGCTGAATAAAAAATGGATGAGATGAGAGGCTGGTTTGGTGAAAAATTTGTGCGTTTAGGCCAGGGTTTGACTTCGTGTGGACGGGGGCTAATGCTGCGTTCACACCACAGGCTTCCCGTCGCTCTGGTTGTTTATCTGCTCTGTTCTGTAGCTTCCAGCTAGAGAGCAGCTCGGCTTTACTGACTTTATTGAACAGGTTTTTATTTAGAAAGTACATCTCCAATCATCCTCTGCTCATCAGTCCTTCAGGATTATAACCTCACTATAATCTGCTCTGCTCTGTTCTTGTTGGGAGCTCCGGACCTCCAGCATCCCGCCGGGAGGCGGCGCTGGGAATCCCCGCTGAAAGCTCTCTGCCTGTGGGGGATTTCCTGCTGCCGTTCGTAGCGGCTGGAAGTCAATAGAAACAGTTTTTACGACACGAGTGGCTCATTTTTTTCGACAGTAGGCTGACAGGAAAGGAGGTATAAGAGGGGGGAAGAGACATGCGGGAAAGGACGACGGGCCGGATCCCAACCCGGGTCGCTGTCGTGGACTATGGCCTCCTTACATGGGTCGTGTGCGCTAACCACTACTCATAGAAAGAGTTTTAGGGTTTGTGGTAAAAACTGCAAGAACCAGAATATATAATCCAATATTTTTCATCAGCTGGTTTTAACTTTTCTACTTAATTTGGGTTTTTATAAACTGTTTCTCCATAGTTCATGAAAAATGTTTTAGTGCAGCAATAATGATCAGAGCTGCTCTCTGTTCCTTCTGTATAACATTCTACCTGCTTTATTTAACCTTTGGAGTTTAACTCCTTGATATTTATTTATTGTTTATATGCAGAATGTCTGCAGAAGAGATGACAGCTTGCAGATAGAGTCTATCTCTGCCAAAGAAATCCTGGATCAGCTTTCCTGATTGGTTGACGCTCTGGCGTCCGGCAGGAAAAGTTCAATTTACTGAACTCCAGCGTCAAACTCTCAAATGCTCAGACGCCAGAACTCTCGGATGCTCGAACCTCTCAGCTTTGTCCCCCATGAAACTTTGCATGTAAAACCTGGCATACACTGTATGAGTTTTTTACCCTTTTCTCTAAGTCTATAGTCATGCTAGGAATTTTCTGATAAGGCCGACTTTCAGCCTGATGGTGTGTGGCGTAGTGTACAGGGGCTAACGAGGGGCGCTCAGCCTCTAACGACCACCTCCCCAACAGGAATCGTAAAGCTGGGAGAAAATCAATCATGTTTGAAATTCAGTCTGCCGTCCTAAGGTGGTCAGGGGCAAATCGCTCAGCGTGCAAACAAGGATTCTTCTTCTTCCTATCAGAGGAAAACAGAAGCATGGCGGGGGGGCAATGAGTGAAATGGAGTTCTTTCTGTCAAATTGACAGACCATATTAGCCTCGTTAGCTCAGCCATGTCTTTGTCCAAATATGTCGCCTTTTCTTTTTAGGGCTTTCAGCCAAAAATTGCCCAAATATCCAAGGCAGCGCGTTTCACTCTAGTGAGCTTCATGTTCCTCTTCTACACCTGGTTTTTAGACGTATGGTGTGAGCAGGTAGATCGCATCAGAGCGTCGGGTCGCACAGCGTGAGAACAAACATCGTGAGCTGTTAACTTTTAAACCCTGTGGTGTCATCGTACAGTGCGAGCTTTAGCTGCGTGCAACGATTGGAAATATCATACAGTTTACGCCCGCCTTAAACCGGACACTTTGTTGCCCAGAACACACCCGGTGTGAACGCAGCATCACTGAGACGTTCCGAAGCAGTAGGAAGAACTTCGGATTGGATGACCTGCATTAACATGACAAACATAAACCCCAGTCCAACTTTACAACAAATTCCACCTGCCTGTGTTGTTTCACTCCTTAAAGGGGCGGACTTTCCAGCGGTACGTTGTTTCCATGCAGCTTTTAGACCGAACGTCATGAACTGGACTTAGATGCGTTAGATGCATGGAGCCATGGCTCGGTTCGGAAACGTTGGCTCAGTATTTCCAGCTGATCCGTCGTGTCCATGTTCAGTTAAAACAATCATGGACAGTTTGATTTTAGATGTCTTTATATTTAACTATCTGATAACTAAATCCCTATTTAATGCGTTACTTTATTCTTCGGTGTCGGCCATTCCAGACGAAGGCGTCGTTGAACTCTTTAATGAAAAATAGCCCTGATTTTTAGCTAGGTTGGCAGTCTATGTAAATATTTTATTTATATGTTTATTACAGAAATACTATCAATATTAATTCTACATATTCATATTTAATTTAACAACAAAAAAACACACTTTGCCTTTTCTTGTGGCTGTATTTCATGTGAAAAAATAGAAAAACACCAAAATAAAAATGACTTCATGAACATTTTGTCCCTTTTTTTGTTGTTTCAAAAAAAAAACAGAATTAGCAAAGATTTCCTTTTAATGTGTGAAAGAAACATCTTCCTTGTTATCATTTTGTTGTCTTCATACACACTGTACAGAAACTTCCAGTCCTTATTTCTTACTTGGCATTTATTCTGTACCTGTAGATCCTGGAAGAAGATCTACCATTTATATATCTATAGTTATATAACTTCCCCATAGAGATTTCTGAAAAGAAAATCACAAAGTGACAGATTTCCATCCCTAAAGTCTTTAATCTTTGATAACCTGCTTCCACTGGGATCTGTAATGTCGTAGAGGTTAACTTCATTCAAAGAGGATCTATTTACTCTATATCTTTCTTCAGATAATCTCTGATATGACCCTTCTTTCAGCGAGGAAACGTAGTCCCAGCGTCTCCCCGGCTTTTCTCAGCTATCTGCTGTATTTTGCATGGAGACGTGCTTCATTAGCAGTTATATCAGACTTGATTTTACGTCAAGCAGCCTAAATTTTCTTCCAGGATCTCATTTTGAAACGCGCCGCCATGTTGTTGTCACTTTATTATGTAAATGTTAATAATGCAGATGCTTCCCATTCTGGCTGCCATCCACAATTTATTTTATGGAGATCATTGTTTCCTTAAACTATTTTCTAAATGATGTAAAATTAAATTTCCAGTAAGTTATTCCAATAAAAGTTATTAAGTTGGTTATTAGATCGGCTTCTTTAATGAGATAATTTGCAGAAGTCGGTTCATGTTGGCTCCTATGTTTGTTAAAGGAAAAGTCCGGTCAGCCAGCAATAATCAATGCATCATTATTTATACCTAAAACTAATATGTTTGCAATGATTTCATCAATTTAGGGTTAAAACAATAATTTTCGTTGCAATCACTGAGTCTGGGAGCGGCCATTTTTGCCCAAATATAGTAACCCCTCCCTCCTGCCATCTTCCAGCAGTGACGTCACGGTGCGGTAAGCCTAGCGCCATTCTCCCCGCTTTCCAAGCTAAATCAATGGGAACTACTAGACACATCTGCAATTAACAACAATTATTGAAGATTTCCAGAGGACTTCACCATTGAAATTCACCAGAGCTATAGTGAAACTGACAATGCCCACGTGCATGGCAGCTGGATGCTGGAATACATCGGGTAAAAGTGGAAAAAAGAGTTATTCCACCTTTCTGATTCCTGATCCTCCACGGACGGGTTGGTCGTTGGATCGCCAACTTGAAGAGGGAGGATTTGCCATCAAACTTCTGGCCAGAGAAAAAACCCGTAATATGTAGCCAACATTTGGAAGAAGAATGTTTTCAAGATGACTTGGATAATAGCGCGTTGTGACAAACACCAGATACAGCACTGGGACTTGATCAACAGCCGATACCGCACCGTGACAATGTCACTAACCAGTAGGTGGCAGTAGTGTTCTTTGACAAACATGGATGCCTCCAGTAAAGCACATTCACATGAAAATTACTCTGAATTAAAAACACTGATCATTTATTGAACAGGATGGAATCATTTCAGATTTAAAGAACTTTCAGAAGTTTGAATTCTGAATATGAGCGGACTTCTCCTTTAAATCTGGTAAGCAGACCTTTGTAGCCAAAAATGATCGTTTCTGC